GCTGCAGCCTTTCTTGAAGAATGTCCCTGTCAGAAGCTGGACCGAACTGAACCCCATGTGACATGAAGGCCCCGCTGGTACCAGGCTCTCAGGCCTGGTCCCAAGCGTGGCTTGCTGATAGGCTGTCCGGCAGGGCACACCAATTGGACAACTGGACGATTGGGCGGCTACTCGGTGCCCCCTACGTAGCTGCCCTGAAGGCCAAGCTTCAAGTGGGTCTTTAACCAGGCGTCGACAAAACATATTTTGCAAAAAACAAAAAAAACAGACCCGGATTTGAAACAAAACACATGTCTCTTCTCTTGCCTCCTCAGCGGATTGGCCAAAAACTCCAAACTTCTGGCTTTCTACTAAAATGGTCTTGCAAAAAAAAAGGTCCAACAACTTGGGAAGTGAGGAATATAAACTGCGCAAATGTTGGGTTGCAGCTACGGGGGAGGAGGTCTGCTACCACCGATAGCCTGTTCCCCCTATTTGGTCGCTATTCATTGGCGTATACGACCCGTTACCCGTTTCAAAAATCGATATTTGGTTGTCAAACAAGCACGTAATTAAACCAGCCTTTTCTGGTCAAAGGCGTATGACTAACACGCTGCCATATGGGGTTCAAAGGCTCGAAACGCAAGCGCGAAGCTTTCACTTCCAAAGGGGATTGGTCCCAAATAGTCTGAACTTTGTTCTAACATGGTCTTCCCAAACGTATGACCGGGAAATGAGGGAGTGAGGAAACAGGAGCAAGAACGATCAAACACGAAAAAACAAAATCGGGAGCAAGCCCCGCATGGATTGGATCAGGGGCGGTTTCCATCATGGGAAAACTTTGCAGGAGTGAGCTCCTTCCTGCAAACAATGCGCTTGCCGCCCGTGACGCGAATGTGGGCCGGCCCAAAAACTGAGTGAGCTTTCGGCAAAAAGAATCCAACAGGCACCCGTCCGCCGTCCACAAGACCAAGCGCCAGCAAAATCCAATCGGGGCTTCTTTCCCATGGTAGTTGTCAGGGACGGGCACCCGAAAAACCCACAAGCCTTCTATTCCCCAATTGAGTTTTTCGGGGCCGTATTGAGGGATGCTTGTTTTTTTCCCGCACGAGCACATATGGGCTGTTCAAAGGCAATCCTTGATCCGTAGCTGGTTAATAAAGAGGTCCCCTTAGCAATGGGTTCCAAATAGACTTGGGGTGTCCACACTCCATCTTCAGCGCAACTCACTTGACCCATAAAGGTTCACCTTCTGGGCTATAACTATTAAAAAAAAAAAAAAAAACTCGACCCGGCTAACCAAAAAGCCGACAGGTCAGGTCGATCCGTAAACGAAAGCCGCCCAGCTGTTTTTTGGAGCCGAAGGCCCAGCTGGGATCCCAAGGGAAGGGGCCTTCCGAGTCCCTGAAGAGGCAAACTGCCCTGCTGCGGCCTTGTTTTGGTGCCTGGACAAGGTGGAGATCAAGGCGTTTTTTCGTTTTTGTTTTCGTGGTTTTTGAGCTTCAAAAAAGAGAAGAAGGGCGCTGGCCTGGATCAAGTCAAACAGATTGCCTCATCTTCAAAGACCTACTGTGACGAATTTGGTGGCTGGAACGACTCGTTCTTGAGATTTTCAGGACCGGCCATTGGAATCACAGCCCCCTGGGATCCACTTCGGCCTTCCAACCTTATGGCCATGGCCGCCCACGGCCTTCATGTTGCAAGGCATGTCCATGCGCCGGGATATGCATTCGGCAAGGTACCCAGAGTTGCTTCTGGAGAGTCTCCGAACACATGCAAAGAGCAAGGCCACAGACCCATGCAGGTCAGGAGCAAGGCGGGCTGACACAGTCGAAATGCTCTAAAAGCGCTATGTGTGCATGCGTGGTTGCGTGTATGTCAGAGTAACATGCTCGCACCAACAAAACTGCCCACTGCAACTTTCTTGGCATCGATGAATTGTTCCTAACTTGCTCAAAGGACCGAGTCGCCTGAGTCCGTGCCTCATCTATCTATTTAGATCCACCTGGCTTTGGAGCCGGGGACCAAAAGATCTATTGGGAAGGACCAGACGGTCCGTTCCGGGCGGGAGGAATCGGCCCGTGCCGACGCAAAGCTGCCAAAGGCGACCAAACATATACACACACGTCGGAAAATAGCAGACGTACAAACAGCCGTTGCCATTCACACATAAAGACTGTGCTCTTGGGACATGGCTTTGTCTCCCGACAGGGGGACACAAAGTACAAAGGAGATGACTAGGAACCACCAAGAAAACAACCTTCCAAGTTCTCCATGGAATTCATGGTCCCTCAGTTGCGACACGAGTTCGCGCTCAGCATGCAGCCTTGCGTTCTTGAAACATCTCCCCGATCCCTCCAAGGCCTCAATCTGAGTACGGATTCCTTCCATTTGGCTTGCTGGCAAAGCCACTCAGTTCCCAAACAAAAACATGCGCTGTGTTTTCGCATGAACAAATAGGGTCCTTGCGGCTGTTCAAAGTGGAGCGTTGCCCACTCGTTGCCCAATTCTAATCCATAAACCCTATTTGGAAACCACTGCCAAGGGAACCTCTTTCCTAATCAGGTACGGAGTAAGGAATGCCTTTGAACAGCCTGGTTTGATTCAGGTGCAGTATATCTATTTTCTCGACTTGTTGGCGCCTGCAACTACTGGGACATATTGCGCATCCTGGGCCAAATCACATGGGTGTCTCAACAGTAGTGGCCTGAAATCCTCCCTTCTCAAATCAGGCAAGTGGCCCCCTAATATTGAGCAATGACGTACACCACAACAACACCTTCCATTCGTCGAATGCAAGCACTTTAAGGGACCCATGCGCCAGGATATGCATCCGGCAACGTACCCTGGAGTTGCTTCTGGAGAGCCTCCGAACAAGTGCAGGGAGCAAGGCCCACAGACCCATGCAGGTCAGGAGCAAGGCGGGCTGACACAGGTCGAAATGCTCCAAGGGCGCTATGTGTGCATGCGTGATTTCGTGTATGTCAAAGTAACACCTTCTCACACCAACAAGCCCACATCGGATTCTTTCGCACGAATTGGTACCAAGTCGCCTGTGTCAGTGCCTCATCTATTTAGGTCCACATACTTTGAAAAGATTGATTGGGAAGGACCAGACGGTCCGTTCCGGGCGGGAGGAATTGGCCCGTGCCGCCACAAAGCTGCCAGAGGCGACCAAACATATACACACACGTCGGAAAATAGCAGACGTACAAACAGCCTGTGCCATTCACACATAAAGACTGTGCTCTTGGGACATGGCTTTGTCTCCCGACAGGGGGACCCAAAGTACAAACATTGCAAAGCAACCGTGGTCGCCTCAACTAGCATTAAACCCTAAAAAGCGCAAAGCAAAGGAGAGGGCTAGGAACCACCAAGAAAACAACCTTCCAAGTTCTTCATGGAATTCATGGTCCCTCAGTTGCGACACGAGTTCGCGCTCAGCTCGCACGCCTCGCGCTCTTGAAACATCTCCCCGATCCCTCCAAGGCCTCAATCTGAGTACGGATTCCTTCCATTTGGCTTGCTGGCAAAGCCACTCAGTTCCCAAACAAAAACATGCGCTGTGTTTTCGCATGAACAAATAGGGTCCTTGCGGCTGTTCAAAGTGGAGCGTTGCCCACTCGTTGCCCAATTCTAATCCATAAACCCTATTGGAAACCACTGCCAAGGGAACCTCTTTCCTAATCAGGTACGGAGTAAGGAATGCCTTTGAACAGCCTGGTTTGATTCAGGTGCAGTATATCTATTTTCTCGACTTGTTGGCGCCTGCAACTACTGGGACATATTGCGCATCAGTGGCCTGAAATCCTCCCTTCTTCAAATCAGGCAAGTGGCCCCCTAATATTGAGCAATCACGTACACCACAACAACACCTTCCATTCGTCGAATGCAAGCACTTTAAGGGACCCATGCGCCAGGATATGCATCCGGCAACGTACCCTGGAGTTGCTTCTGGAGAGTCTCCGAACAAGTGCAGGGAGCAAGGCCCACAGACCCATGCAGGTCAGGAGCAAGGCGGGCTGACACAGGTCGAAATGCTCCAAGAGCGCTATGTCTGCATGCGTGATTTCGTGTATGTCAAAGTAACACCTTCTCACACCAACAAAACTGCCCACATCGGATTCTTTCGCACGAATTGGTACCAAGTCGCCTGTGTCCGTGCCTCATCTATTTAGGTCCACATGGCTTTGGAGCCGGGGACCAAAAGATCGATTGGGAAGGACCAGACGGTCCGTTCCGGGCGGGAGGAATTGGCCCGTGCCGCCACAAAGCTGCCAGAGGCGACCAGAGAGATACACACACACACACGTCGGAAAAGCCAACGTACAAAACAGCCTGTGCCATTCACACATAAAGACTGTGCTCTTGGGACATGGCTTTGTCTCCCGACAGGGGGACCCAAAGTACAAACATTGCAAACAACCGAATGAGGTTCCCTCTGGTCACGATCATGGCTTGTCAAATAGACTCGATGTCACACATGTTAATATCTCAGGATGTGTCCATCCGAAAAGTTGCAGCACTGCTATGGAAATTGGCCCAGTCGCCAAAATCAAGCAACCGTCTTGCTGGTTCGATGGGCGATAAGCTAACTCTCGATTGCGTCGGGGGTCCAAAACGCTGGTCAATCCCCACTCAGAACCAGCAAGACATAAGTCGGAATCCCAGCTGACGGATTGAGGGGGTCAGGCCACGCCCTGCGACAGCCTCCCACTCTCAAGCAACTGACCTGAAAACAAATGATTTTTGGTTGTCTTTTGAGGGTACCCTCTTCTGGGACTGCAAAAATAAACCAAAAGGACACCCATCCTTTCTTATTCACCCTGTTAGCCAGTGTTGTGCACATGTCGATCCAAGTCAGGCGGGATTCAATCAAGCCTCAACTTCCGAGCACCATTCAAAGGGTTCTTGCATGCGCAAGAACTCCTCTCTCAGTCGACTGATGCGCTTCGCACCACGCCGCGGGTCCAAGGAAGCAGAACCAAAGCCCCCTAAGGCTCCTTCGACTGATCAACCCATCAACGGCCAGCCGAATCAAGGCTCAGTCGGGACCGGCGAATCTCCACTTCGCGCTTCAGGGCCCCCGAATTCGACGGAACGGCATTCAGGAACTTCTCCAACCTTGGCATGAGGCTCTTTCCTCAACCGATCCCTCCAACCCTTGGCATGTTCGCAACACGTCCTTCTTTGCAGCCGGTTGAACATGAAGAGAACCTGAAAACAACAACAAACGCGAATCATGGTGAAGGCTTCATTTGGCACTCACGCGGTGGACTCATTAACTGTCACCTGCGCAAAAGTATGGTTGAGTTCCACGACCAAAGCACGTGGGAATTGTAAGCTCTGCGATTCCACAGCAAGTAGTGATTACCTCCCTGCAGATTCACGCAGAGCCCCAAAACTCTTCATTAGTGGAGCAAGCTTTGCGGGGAGCCCCGCCACATTCTTGGGCTCCATGTTAGCTTGCAGACGGAGACAAGTCTTCGTCAATCAAGTTCCCTGGAAGATCTTCCGCTTGCCACAACCTCCGTCCTGCCACAACCCCATGATTCCCCGCGACGTCCAGAGAACAGAGCGCCAACTATTTCCGCTTTAAACATCACCCCACCGAAAGGCAATTTGTTTTAAGCTTCTTAATAGGCAATAGGTGATATTCAGCCAAGCCGTCAAGAGGACATATAGAGAACCCTTCCCAAACTGTGGTCGAAAAGCCAGGGGAGTGTGCCCCACCCACACTGCACCTGCTTAGAAATAAAGATCGATTCATCCGAGGAACCCTGCTAAAGCAAAGGCATCACATAAATTGAAGGGAGGCCATCTCAGATCTTTATGATCCTTCCATGGAAGCATCTAGGAAATTCTAGATTCTAAGCGACTTTGTGGTTTTCTCAGAAGGGAATGAGGGAAGGACTGAACCATCTCTTGAGGTGTCCAACCGAAACTCTTCCAGATCCATCATGAAGCCTTCCGCAAGGTCACCCCTCCCAAATGGAAATCATGTTTCGTTTTCGCCCCTTGAAAGTGAAGCCGAAAAAGGGTGCGATGGCAAGGGCACGACAAGTTCAAGCAGCTTCTCCTTCGAATACGGGGCCCCCTAAATGAGCGGTTCCTTTGCAACCGACACCAAAATGGGCGCCCAGCCTTTGAACAATTCATGCAGAAGCAGTGCAAGAGTTGTAAAACAAAAAAAACTAGACACCTTTATAAGGCATCCCTGAAAGGCCTAACCAAAACTTCCATTCAGAGATGCACAACATCTGACCCGCCGGCCAACAACTCCAACATTGAGCAAAAATGGGAGTCATTGCAGCCCGACTCTAGATGCTAGGGGCAATGACTAATTGCTCGAATACTGTTTCAGAGCTGGGGAGTCATTGCTGAAAAACGTGACTCTTATAGGTCAAGAAGCATTAATGACTGGGATTGTGTTGGCATGGCTCAACCGGAGCCATGAGTCCCCGAAAGCCGTTCCGCGCGCACCCTCGGAGCCGCCCCCAGAACCCTCCTCCGCCCTCCTGCGTCGGAACCGTCCTCAGAACCGCCCCATGCATCAGCCCAGAACCCTACCCCGGAGCCGCCCAAGACTTCTAGCTAAAAATGTGGGCAAGGTTGTTTACAACCACCCTTTGAGGAAAAGATTTGAGTTTAAAATCTCCGGAACCCTCAGCCTCCTCCTCCACCCCGGAGCCCAAAGCTTTCAGCTGCTGCTGGGCTGCTGGGGAAAAAGGGCACCCTTAGACCTCCTTCTAGTTGCTGCAGTCCTGGAAAAGCCGAATTTTTCCAGCGCTGATGCAGAAGATTCCTTTCAAAACCACGAAGTAAGATGGAAGTGGTTTGGGGCTGAAATGGTGCCAGGGCGCCTGGCCACGTGACGAAAGTGGGTGTCCGCCACTGGCGGGAGTGGGCACCCGTAATCGCGGCGGGTGAGTTTGTGGGACATGGAGTCGAAGGACTGTGCGCGCTCCTCGCTGCATGGCCAAAAGTCCCCCAAACTTTGGTTCACTGCAGTTACAATCTCCAAGGTTTGAAGGCGTGAGCTTTTGGGAACTGACCACTTGTGCGGTCCGTCCATGGAACTGACAACTTGCGACTGGAAGGCCCCAATTTGTATAAGGGCATTGACAATTTAGTTGGCCAAGAATAAATTGCGCCAAATAGCGCAATTGTTGTTGGCACTCGAAGAACCAAACGGAAGGCCGCCGTTGGTTTTGGGGGAGTCCTTAGTGGGTGACAGGGGTGCCAAAAAAGGCAAAGAGCTCCCTGTAGCCCTGGTAAATGGATCTGTCTCAAAATAGGGGGGCCGGGAAGTTTGGACAGGTGGTATGCTTCGCTGCTACTACTACTATTGCTACGACTACTACGCCTACTACAACTACGACGACAACGACAACTACTACTACTGAGACTACGACCACTACTGCTACTGCTGCTACTACTTCTACTTCTACCCATACATTCTACTACTGCAAACAAATATTTCGATCCATACCCTTTACTTGCGCGAGTGACTCTGCGACCACGCGCGCGCAACATGAACGGCAGTTCGCGCAGCTAATGTTGCAGTTGTTGTAATGGAAGCAGCAGCAGTAGCAGCAGTATTAGCAGTATTAGCAGTAGCCGAAGTAGAAGTAGCAATGGTAGCAATAGTAGGAGCACAGCAGCAGCCGCAGCCGCAGCCGCAGCCGCAGCAGCAGCAGCAGCAGCAGCAGCAGCAGCAGCAGCAGTAGTAGTAGTAGTAGTAGTAGTAGTAGTAGTAGTAGGAGTAGTAGTTGCAGTAGCCGTAATAGTAGTAGTAGTAGTTGTACCAGTAGTAATAGTAGTAGTAGCAGCAGGAGCAGTAGTACTAGTGATAGAAGGAGTAGAAGTAGAAGTAGAAGTAGAAGTAGAAGTAGTAGTAGTAGTAGTAGTAGCAGTAGCAGTAGCAGTAGCAGTACCAGTAGCAGTAGCAGTAGTAGTAGTAGTAGTAGTGGTGTAGCAGGAGTAGCAGTAGCAGTAGCAGTAGCAGTAGCAGTAGCAGTAGCAGTAGCAGTAGCAGTAACAGTAGCAGTAGCAGTAGTAGCAGTAGTAGTAGTAATAGTAAAAGTAGTAGTAGGAGTAGCTGCAGTAATACTGGTAGCTGGTGTCGTCGTTGTAGCAGTAGTAGTGGTAGCGGTGGTGGTGGTGGGGGTGGTGGCGGCGGTGGTGTAATTGCGGCAGTAGCAGGAATAGTAGCAGGAATAGCAGCAGGAATGGTAGAAGTAGAATCGTAGAAGAAGTGGTAGTACTAGTTCGGGGTTTGTGGGTAGCAATAGCAGCCCCTGTTGCAAACGGGGGGTTTGGTTCTTGGGCACCTAAAAGTACACACCCAGATCCGCAGTGCTGGGACTGCCTGAGCGCTTTTTTCGCTGTGGACGTGCTTGTACGCTAAAGAACCATGTGCAGCGTGAACTCGCAAGACTTGCAAACAGACATGGGCAGAGACTGTCGCGAAATACGGGGCTTCTCAGCATGTGGCAAACCAGCAGTCTCGGCAACGGGCCCAATAACACCAGCGCGCTTGCTTTTTCGCAACCCGCTGCGCACTTTGGCGGGTCGACCTTGAACCTGTGTTGCTTCCGGGACTTGTGTTTTCTCAAGTTGCCAATTATAATCCGTGCTGAGACGTTCGGTGGGTCAAGCCCGCCAAAAACCTTGGTTCTCTGCGAGGAAGATCGAAAGATAGAGAGATAGACAGAGCAACAATGAAACAAGCAGACTACACCGTGAACAGATAAACGATTAGCCCGGAAGCAAGTTCCAACGAGTAGCCACGTGTTTAACCCTCAGGACAGCCCCTCACAAAGCAGCCCTGCCGGAGATTCCGGAGTGCCAGGTTCCAGTCAAACGACCTGCAAAACTTGACCCGCAGTCGCAAAATCGCTAAAAAATCCTCAGCTTTTGCACATCCACCACGCCGATCCCTCAAAAGGGTTAATCCGCACACAACAAAATCGTATCAAACCCTCAGTTTTTGACATCAACCACGCACCACACCGCGAGCGCGCCGCAGAAATCGGAAAAAAACATCCTGTTTTGGGACATATTCTTCCCGAAGTCTGCCGAGCCCAAGAACCTGACCTGAGGTACCCAACCTGTAGCTTTGCCCACATGCCCACACCGCTCATGCCCAGACTATTGTGCCCAGATTACTTGCAAGACTATAGCCCGACTATAATCAAACTATTCTCAAACTACTCGCCTCTATGCAAATGGCTCTGCGCAAGTTGCTCTGCGCAAGTAGCTCTTTGCAACTTCGCTCTGCGCAAGTGACTCTGTGAAACTGACGCTGTGTGCAAGTTGCTCCTTGCAGATGGCTCTGTGCAAGCTGCTCTGCGCAGATGGCTCTGCGCAAGTAGCTCTGTGCAACTTCGCTCTGTGCAAATGCCTCTGTGCAAGTTGGTCTGTGTAAGTGGCCCTGCGCAAGTTAGTCCGCACGGAAGAACCCTTTGCGATGCCTTCGGGAGCGAGTGAGAACAAGAAGATACAGAGGACGAGGAAGACAAAGTGTTAGAGAGAAAGAGGCGAGAAAGAGGAAGAGGCAGGCAGAGAGCGAGGAAGACAGAGAGAATGACAAGAAACAGAGAGAAAGATAAAAAGAAAGCTCCCCCGCCTTACTTGTAGCTGTTGTGTTTTTCGTGCGAGGTTGTCATGGGCCGGCATGTGGAAGCCTGCCTGCGTTTGGGGGTCACTTGACAACCACCCGCGCCTGAAAAGCAACAGAAGTGCAATCCTTTGGGTGGCATACGGTGGGTGGCAGCAAAAGAGCTCACTGAACCTATTTTCGGCGCCCATGCCGATTTGCACTGAGGGCGCCCCTAGCCCCCGTAAACCCGCCAACAAATGAACTCCCTTAAGTGGCACCCCCTGAGAAACTGCTTTCAAGTCCAAGGAGCTGTGAAGGCGATGGCGGGTTCGCGGACCCTCTGCCCGAAGGAGTCCTGAAATCAGGAAACCTGTCAGTTGCACCTCCATGACGGATCTGGAAAGGAAAAAGTTGGCTTTCGGCAAACAAGGCACCCCGAAATGCCCCACACAAAAGCACTTCAAGTACAAATGAAGGTGCTGCAATGTTCACCTTGGAGCGAGTTGCGAGCAACCTCCGAACCACTATGTTGATACAAACCTGCCTCCTGGCAAGAAGTCTGAACTGTTCTGTTTACCATCTTTGGTTGCGTGGTCGCGAACAGGTGATGTTCCAGAATTGAATCCGCGCCAATGTCATAGCAGCCTATCCCAACAAGGGCCCCTCGAAAACTGACGGTTGATGAAACCAATATTTTCCTACTTTTGTATTCGCGAGGTATGGATCTTGCCATCGCACTCTATACCTCTACCTTGTTAGGCTTCCTGCAGGCAAGGACAAACGCTGAGACCGACGCTCAAGGCTCAAGTCACGACGGGCCTGCCAGTTGTTCGACGCCTGTCGAGGTTATGCATCCCAACTCCAAGCCAAACTGCTTGAATGCCGATGAAGTATTGACAGTTATTGGCCAGGAAGACGCGAGATGAAAATCGAAGCGCGGCGCGCAAGGTCAACGCCCAGATGACCTAGGTCACAACCCGCACTCTTCTCATTGCAATTGAGAGAAAATCTCAGTTGCCCAAAGGACCTGGAACTAAAAGGTTAACCTTTTGGGGTCATGACTAAATATGAGCCAAAATGGGAAAACCAAAAGGTCAGGTCGGCTTTGAACAACTGAGAAAATACATGTGGTGTTCCAGAGGGCCAGATCGAATGTCACGGCGCATCCCTGGCGGACGGGCCGCTGCGTGAAAGCTCCGCCGAAGCCCTCCCAATCAAAGAGCCTTTGTGGTGAGGCGGTTGTGGATCGTTGCGATCGCTACCCATAACAAATGCAGCTGTGTGTGTGTTAGGGCGGGCGCCCGTTTTGGAATTCTGGTTGGTTGCCGTTGGGTTTCCACTTGCCAGGCAAAGGAGACCTCTACTTGAAAAAATAGACCAGAATACAGGTTGTTCATTCAGTCTCCTACAGCCACGAAAAACCAATAAAGGGCAAACCCATTCCGCCCACGGCCAAAACTACCGCTAAGCCCTCCTTGCGACTCAGCACGCAGGGCGCAGAGTCGCCTGGTCGCTGCTTTTGGGTGTCGGAAAGACCCTGAAAGAAAAGGGAACCCTTTAGGGCGTTGACCATTTTTTTGTGGGGAAGCCGTCCTTAGGCAGGTTCTGAAACCAGCTCTTGAATGGAACTCAGAAACCTTTCCCAAGCGCCATGAGCAGTGTCACAGCTGCCTTGGTTTTGTGGTCCTAAAAAAAAAAACACGTAAGGAAATCCTGAGAACTCCCCTAAGCTCTCTGAACAGAGGGCCATAAAACTGCAAAATCAGAAAGCCTGAAACTAACAACCTTACCCCTTAGTGGCTTGCCGCTCGATGGTTTGGACCTTAGGTACCTTCCTCCTTCAAAGGAGCCGGGGTTTAAACCGCCAAGCCGATCCAAACCCAAGTGTGCACGGCCCAAACGACTACATTTATGAAGACAACTGCCAAGGAAAACGGAGTTTGTCAACTCATCCTTTGACTGCAAACCCAATTCGTGAACAGTTGCAAAAACCTCTGGAGACGGATCTCTTTTTCTTTAAGACCAGATGTTAGTGTGATCGTGGAACCTGCAGCCACTTGCGACATGCTTGCATTGAGGGTGTTCTTGGGAAGGTTGAAGTGCAAAAGCCAAATAACAACAGCCCCCGCAATGCAACAGCTAAATGAACAACAGCCCCCACCAAACTGCTCCTACGACCTGTCAAACCGATCGTGTGAGAAAACCATAAATCAGCTTCCCCCCCCCGTCGGCGGTTTGGATTGGTGGTTTGCGGGTGAGGCCCCTTGTGAAACCAGGGCTTCAACCCCCCAAACCAATCCAAACCAATCCAAACCAATCCAAACTTACCTGAATAACCCCAGCACAACGGTTTTATCTTTTGGTTCCCCCTGAATGCTTTTGGTTTCCCCCTGAATGCGGCCCTCTAACATGGGCACCCTCACAAAAGAGCCCATGTTCCTAAAGCCTTCCAAGGAGAGGGATCCGTTCACGATATTCAGAACGGCAGCGAGCCAGTCCGAGCCAGTCCGAACCAAAACTCCTTGGTTGACCTCAATCTGATCCGATCGAGCCTGCTTGGTTGGCGACGCTGGATGAGCAGCCCATGCCTCTGGCTTGGACTTTTGGCGGTTTCGCCCCCTGGATTTTTGTCTTAACCAAAAAAACATACCTATACTCAGTTGCCCAAAGGACCTGGAACTAAAAGGTTAGCCTTTTGGGGCCATGACTAAATATGGACCAAAACATACCTATATCGATCCAGCTACTTTTTTTCCATCCACTTTACCCCAAACACCAGGGACCGAAAAAACTGCAACTTGGCTGTCTAGGAATTTCCGGTTGATAGATTCCCTTAGACAAATATTCTGAAGCAAATGGAAGTGAGGGTTTTTGTCCTGCCCCCAACATGTTTTGTCCCAAAGTTACCCCAAGTGGTAGGTTGAAGGAAATTGCCAACCAGTTTCTACTTTCCCCCTCCCCCCCAAACAGTCCGGATCATGATCCCATTCATCCCCTATCTTCAGGGGGGCGGTCTGCCAAGTCCATGTAAGCACTCCCCAGGGTGGGTTGCGGGTTACGAACCAAAAAGTCTCAATCAGGCACCCCGCTTAGCCTCTTAGTCCTGGTACGCCAAAATGAAACAGAGGGTGTAATCTAAGGGTCCCATCACGCGCAATGCCCCGCAGGGCCTCTGTGCACCCAAAACATGAGTAGCTGGGGACCCTCTTGTGGACATAACTTAGGTGGGGATTAATACCCAAATGATTGGGAGAGTATGTCTCATTCAAAAATTGTAGCCCTCTATGTCCTTTGACCTTGGGTTGGTAAGCGCGGGGTACGGTCATGCAGTTGGGCCTATCAGGGGATGTGATGAGAAACTCAACCCACAAAAGCCAGCCTACGCCTAGGTTCTTAGAAGCTTCTTATTAGGAGGACATGTTGAGAACCTTTCTGCGGAGGGGCTATTTTCTTGGAAAAACCTAGTTGCCCAGTGGGACAAACAAGGACAACATGACTTGATTCCCCCCACGAGGCTTAGGACAAATTGGGCTGCCAGCGACTCATACTGACTGGGCAACCCCCCTGAAAACAGTTGGTCAGCTTGTTCTTTGCCTAAAGTTTAATATAACAAACAATTGAGCTGCTGGTTTTCGGCCCACACTCATCTAGAATCAAGCCACGAGCAAGACCCAATACCGCAAGGGAACTAAACCACTCCGGCAAAAGGTGCTCCGTGCTTGAAGGCAAGCTATCCTTGGAACCTTGCGCGCTGCCTGGGAATACCAGCGAGAACCTTTTGCGACCCTAGAAGTGGTCAGGCCCAAACGCCCAAACCCCCTTTTTGCGTGGAGCGTAAGACTTGGCTTTTATCGAACCCAAACCCTTTGCGAGGACTTTTGCAACTAGCGAAGTCAACAAAGACAGCAAACCAAAGTAAAGGCAAACCTTTGAGATAGCAGCGCTTCCAAAATCAAAAGCTACATGTGTGTGTTTTTTGTGTGGGTTTCTTTTTTCATGTTTGTCTTTTTGTTTGGGGGGCGGGGAGTTAGAGGGAAACCAAAAGGAAAAGCACCGTTTTGGGGGTAGCTTAGAAAAAGACGCGCCTAGGTCGGCTCGCACTTGACCACACCCAAGGCGCTTTGATCTCTCGATGTTAGTCTCCAAGGGAAATGCTTGGCCCCAGGCTTCATAGAAACGCAGCTCCACAAATGATGTATATGTTAGTCTTTGCCAAGGGTGTGTTTACTTGGTTGACGTTGGAAGGGGAGAAACATTTTAAATTTTAGCAGTTAAGTGGGGATTCCCACTAAACCACAATAAGCAAAAACGTAAGATGTTTTCCAACAACAACCATGTTTAGGGGGGAGGTTGGAGGGGCTTGCGTTGCCTTCAGGGTGTGAAGGGAGCGAGGTTGCAACGTGTTGCGACTCTGGGCACCCCAGCTCAGCAAAGAATCACTCGGCACGGAAATCAGAAGCTTGAGCACGGAGTGAAAACACGTCAACCATCCCGCCAGCCAAAAGCCGCAGCTTTGCTTCTTGAAGGATGTAGGGTTTGGATTCTGGACCGAACTGAACCCCACAATGCAACATGATGTCAAGGTCCCGCTGGTACTGGGCCTTTTACGCGGGAGGCTTGCTACTGGGCTTCAGGGCACACGGATTGGACAATTGGGCAAATTCCCTTCTCGAAGCGAGCAATCCGGACTGCAAAGGGATTTCCCTTCAAGGATAAGTGGGGCGTTTTGACCAGGCATTGACAAAAAGACACGGACCCAATCTGAGAAGGTTTGTCTTTTCTCGCCTCCTGTGTGGATTGGCCAGAAACTCCAAAGCCTAACATGGTCTTGCCAAAAATCACACGTCCAAAAACTCAAGAAGTGAGTCTTAGAAACTGCGCATCGTTGAGTCGGGCCATAATTGTCCCAGTATGACCCATTTCGCCGGTCATTGGCGTATACAACCCGTTTGAAGGCAACAGTTGGTTGAAACAAGCAACTGTAAACAACTTTTGTTGCGGGTCAAAGGCGCATGACAAAAGAAGAAGAGGCCCCAAAGGCTGGAAACACGAGCGCGAAGCTTTAACTCTAGAAATGATTGCCCGAGCGTCACTTCCTAAGTGGATTGGCCCCAAAAAGTCTAGATGGTCTTCCCAAAAGTGCAGAAGGTTGAAAAGGGCAAACAGGTTGAACAAATAAATGTCCGGCAATGAAAGAAACCTCTTTTTCTTGGCCCTTCGTCTGCAATCTCCCAGGTGACCATCCCTACCACTCCCATAAGGGGGTCTATATTTGGATATATTTGGCCTATTCTTGGCCAGGGTACATTGAAAAGGATCTCCTCAAATCAGGGAGTGAGGAAAATGCAGTCATAGAAACCAGCCACAGGAAAATCTACGGGAAGCTGAGCTGATTCAAGTGGTTTTGGCAGGCATTTGGCTAAGTTGTTGCTGAACATGTCCGTATTCCTTGGTTTCTATGATGCATGACAACAACAAAAGATCACACACAAACAAAGAATCCAAGTGGAGCAAGCCCGGATCCGCACGGATTGGATGGGGTAGGGTCCCTGTTTCCCGGATAGGGTCCCTGGCACTGTCAGGAGTGGTTGGGCTCCTTCAGACATGGTTTCGGGGTGGTTTATGTGTTTCTGGCGGGCGTGTGGTTTTAGGCTTGGTTTAGGACGGGTTTAAGGGTTGGTTGAAGGTTGGCCTGTAAGTTTAGGCTGGGGTTGGGTGTTAGGTGGATTGGGGTGGTCTTAGGGTGGGTTTTGGGTGGTTCGACGTTGGTTTAGGGTTGGTTACCCAAATGTGGCAGAAGCTTGAGCCCACACTTTGGTGGTCTACCGGAAATGTCCCCGAATGGAACGGACTGTCTTTCCTTGAGTCGAACTGAATACATCCGGGCATCCCCAAAAAAAGCAAAACCAAAAACTTCAGCTCGGGAAAATGACTCGCCTTACCCCTCGGTGGTTTTGGTTTGGTGGTCTGGACCTTTAGGGGAAGCTGGGGTTCAAACCCCCAAACCACCAATCCAAGCCACCAACTAACTAGGCTGGAATTAGGACCCCAGCAAATAGATATATATATATATATATATATATATGTACCAGTCCCTGGGCCACGTACCCCCCCCCCCCCCAATGGTATGGTCCCCCCACTCGGGATGATGCTGGCAATGCTGGGGATGCTGTCCAGTACCGTGCGAGCCCTGCAGCTTCGGTCCCAGACCCCCTTTCACCCCGTGAACCAACACCCCCGCACCTCTCGCAACATCCTACCCTAAACCAAACCACCCTGCAACCCCTCCTTAACCCCAACCCTACGCCACCCGAAACCCACCGCAAACCAACCCTGAACCAACCCTGAACCAACCCACCAAGCCTCAACCAACTCCGAACCACACCCCAACCACCCAACCACCCAACCACCCAACCACCCCACCACCCCACCACCCCACCACCCCACCACCCCACCACCCCACCACCCCACCACCCCACCACCCCACCACCCCACCACCCCACCACCCCACCACCCCACCACCCCACCACCCCACCACCCCACCACCCCACCACCCCACCACCCCACCACCCCACCACTCCACCACCCCACCACCCCACCACCCCACCACCCCACCACCCCACCACCCCACCACCCCACCACCCCACCACCCACCCCACCCCCACAGGGCGGGGGTTGGCCCAACCACCCAACCACCCCACCACCCCACCACCCCACCACCCACCCACCCCACCCCCACAAAAGGGGGGGGGTGGGGGGGGAGGGGGGGGGGGTCCACGGCCTGGAACATATATATATATATATGTTTTGCCTGGTTGGTGGAAAACAAAGCGAACCCAAAAAAGCAAAAAAGCAAAAAGGGGAGCTAATTCTGGGGAAGCTAAGAATACCTGAGTGACTGGGTGTCCAGCCATGTCCAGCCCATAAGCCAAAAACAACCGCCCGCTCTTTGCCAAAGAAGAACAGAACCGAAAACAAATGACTCCAGTCGTGCGCAACTCCAGGTGAATCCACACGTGAAAGAGTATTCTCTGCCAAGTCACATGGAAGCCGGAGATTCCTCTGAAAACTATGGATGTTTGGGTCCCGCATTCACTGAAAACAGAGGCAACAGGGCAGACGCGCATCCAAACCATGTTGCTGGTCAGCCCAAAAAGTAATAACGTCTAGAAGCTAGCTAGAAGCAAACCCATCCACAAGCCAGCCAGCCATCTGCTATTAGAAGCTCTTTTTCTTTCCGGCCTGAACCCCTACAAAGAAGCAAGGCCTGTCAATATCATTCACACCGCTGCAGACGAAACGGTCCGCTACACACGCAACGGTGGTCTCACAATCAGTTTGTCTGCCTCAGCTCTTCTAGCTTGTGCCCCGACCAAGAAACTGCTTTGAGTTGTGTCCATATTCACGACTCTCAAAGCACAAAATAATCTCGAAGCAAATCCCAGCTGCAAAGGGCTGAAGCTATTAAGACACCATAACTAACACGCCCCGATCGAAACAACACACTTTCCAGCTAAGGTTCACTTCGCCAAGGGAGTTCCTTCAGGAACTTGGTCTATAGGGGGTTCTTCTGAGTAGCAGGGTTGCCCGGAACAAACATTCCGCCTCACGCCAACCGACCAAAAACGGCCCGAAGAAAGGCTAGCGGATCGGCAACATGGGGAGGTATCAGGATCTGCGCGAAACAACATGGCGCGTTGGCACTTGTCGTGATCGTTTTGCAGTGGGGGAACACACATGTTCCCAAAAGGAAAAGACAAGTCCATAGAACCCAATGCCACATTTGATGAAAGCAACAAGGCTCAAGATCCAAGGCGGCCTGAAAGGCCACGGAGCACAAGCGACTGGGGCCAGAAAGTCGAAGCCATAAGGGATGGGCTTGAGGCGCGCAGCGCTCACTTAGAACCAGCCAACTTTTCTCATCTTTCAACTCAACATCCCACACAATCTAGATGTCTGTTAACCACCAGGCTTGAGCTATATGGCAACAGGCAATGTTGAAACGGCTAAGTTGTAGAACAATGAAGCGTTTACTGGATCAATCTGGGTTAGACTGGGTTAGACTAGGTTGCCTGCTCCAATACACGGTACACTTAATACAACTGCTGTTGAATGCCTGACGTGTGAGGAATTCGCTTGCTGTATTGTGAACACTTGTATTGCATTTGCTTTCCATTTGGAAACCAATCACTGCCTTATATATATATATATGATCCTCTTCGACCTCCTCTGCATATTTATTCTTGCATCGAAATAAGCCTCAGGGACTTGTGAGGTTCACGTTGGGGCCCATTTGGGACCGGGCATGTTGCGATTCAGGAATTCGAGTCCCGCTAACCACTGGCAGAAGCAAACACGGGTGCCAAGAACTCTCAAGTTCGCTTGTTAACCCTCCCTCACGGCCGCAAGGCTGGCTCGCCAAAAAACGCATACATGAATCTCCGACTCTCTCAGTCCAGCCCCGTTGGGGAAGGACATCCTTGAAATCAGTGGCCTGCAGCTAGCCCCGACTTGCTTTTCCAAGGTATTTGTCTCCACATGGGGACCCATAACCACATTGGTGGGTGTCCTGTTGCTTCTCCCCCAAAAAGGGGTACCATCAAAGAGCGCACATCCATGTGCAAAACCCCAGAGAAAAGCCGTCGGAGGCAGGCACTGCCACCGCATCTCCACGGAAGAAGGTCCGCGCCGTTGACAGTAACAGGGATGAGTCCGACAATGAACAACGGCGAGACTGGGCTTGGCCAGGCCAAAGCCGAAAAGGGCGCGCTATCAAGGAGGGGAAGGTGCGGGTCCAAGTAGACCGTAGCCATCATTGGATAGGCACTTCTTCCAGCTCTCAAGAAAGCGGCATCCGGGCACTTGCCCGAGATGCAGAAAGCATCAGCCCACTTTAAACTGTGGAAGGCGATTGTGTGATTCGAACATCTTCAGGACCCCTGGTTCTGCTCGCCCGAAAGCAACAACCCCCCGAACATCAACTCGGGGGTTGCATGCGGAACTTCTGAATCGGGCATAGGATTGCAGGTAGAAAATGAATCAGCTCGTTGTTCCTTTCCAGTCGATCGCCTTCCCGAGGGTGCGCGAATCGAAAAACAAGGCCAAGTGAAAAGGCAAGCAAGACATATGCCCCTTGTCCATTTCCTTGGGCCAAACGCAAAAAGAAGCTGCACGCAGACAATGCGGCCGGGGCTCTACGTGGGACGTGCCTGTACTAGCTCATTTAGGGAATGTTGCCAGAACATTAAAAGAACAACATTTCTTGGACGGGTCCTGCCAGCCTCTCTGGCGGGTTAGGGCCCCAATGCTTCTCGTAGCTGGCGTCTCTCTCTACCATATTCATATCCTCTCTTTGTCCGGGCCCAACGCAAGACTTGCGCAAAAAATGTGTTGTAGTTTTTTAGTCCAGCTGTTGGCTGTGTTTTCTCAACACCGCGAAACAACTCCACCCATTGGGCTATCATGTTGGGCCTTGCTTAATGTCACCCCCCCAACCGTCCAACAGTCCAAACAGTGCCCGGGGATCCTGAACTAAGGCCTGGCAGGGAGGTTGGATTGGATGACTTAAGTATTGCTTTAGAATTGCCGCAACTTCAATTCGTACTGCCAGCACTTCCAGGACTTGCTCTCAGATTCCCAGTGCATTGTTTTTCTATTGCCTAGATTAAATTGCCAGGACTTACTCTCAGATTCCGAGTGCTTAGTTTAGTATGCCAGGACTTACTTTTAGATTCCAAGCACTTGATTCAGTACTGCCTAGTCTAATTTAGTACTGCCAGGACTTCCTTTTAGATTCCCAGGGCTTAGTTTGGCATGGCCTGGTTTAAATTTAGTATTGCCAGGACTTCCTTGTAGATTTCCCACCCCGGGACATTGAAGCCAAAAACCGTGCCCCGTTTATTGATGATCAGGGCCCCTTGTGGGCAAACCCCCGTTTGCAGAACTGTGGCAATGGGACCCAGAATCAAACCAGGAATTCTCAGACTCTGGGACTGAGCCATGAAGCTGAGAGAAAGCAGCCCATATTGTATTGCGTGTGTTGCTCAGGATTTGTGAAACGCTCTTTTCAAAATTGAACTTGACAGAACACATGGTACCGAAACAGTGGGGGATCCGAGGAAACTTAAGACAGAACTCAGGGCACAGGATTTTAAACCAGGTGCTACGTTGAGCCTTCTCCTGGATATGGTAATTTGGGCACTTTTCGGCACTTTTCGCGCACTTCGCTTTCGGCAAGGGGTACGCTCCCCACAAACGGTTCTCGCCCACACGTAGGGTACCAAATATGTTCATTCTGTTTCATCTTTAGCCCCTACAGAACATGTTTCTAGACACCCCAGAAAAGACATCTCGAAATACAGGCCAGCCCACAGCAATTGCACAGCGCTCCTCTGCGATTGGGCGCGTCTTGGTTTTCCAACCCAGCTCTCTTTGCGAGCTCGCATCCTGCGAAATTGAACAAGCGGCGTGAACAAATATTTGTTCGCCAGCCCAAATCGAACCCGAACTGAAACATAACATGGCGGACGCCAAATGTTCAGAGGTCCTTAGGATCCCCGAAAGCAAGTTCGGAATGGTCCAAATGGGTGAACCCGTGATCTATTTGCAAAGGGCTTTGTTCTTTGCAGCCCACTCATATTTTGTGAACAGAACCAACAAGAAACTCAAACACATGCCAATGGATTAGCCATCCGGGTGATGCTTTCTGACGCGAGATCCCAAGGATTCTCTGGTTCAGTTGTCAGGTCGTTTTCTGCAACCGACCTGTTGCAGTTGAGAAACAGACACCTCCGTTGCTCAAATGGAAAGGACAAAGGGAGGCTGCTGCATGTTTTTGGCTTTCGTTTCGACGGCCGGGCACCAGGCAAGCGTTCTGCTGAATGCTTCCAGATGACAAATTCTCCGTTTGAAGTGGAGCCTCCCTGGTATCACAGAAGAGGGAACCAGAGCCTGGTTCACACAACCCTGGACCTAAATGATGATGCAACCATGACAATTATTCCCATGCCTGTGTCAGTGACTGGCCTTTGAGATGAGAACGAGTACCAGCAAAAAGACCAAAGATTGAAAACTGTAGATGTGAAAGGGAAGTAACGAAAACCAGATCTTCTCTTTCGCAGCTGCCTCCTTACACAAGTCATGCCAAAGGCCGGGCCTTTGGATCAGATCTGAGCACGGATGCACATTGCAAGGACAGCCCGTAACAACACAGCTGCTCAAAGCCAAGCGCTGAAAAAGCAAACGCGACAAACACTTCCTTGAAACACCTTAAACAAATTACGCCCGAAGGCCGTCCAATGGATGACAATGGTTCCGATCTGTTTAATCTCCACTTAACAACTCACTCCCCGGGTTGGTCAAAACTTGTTGTCTGCCACTGGTCCAAACCAAAAGCAAATGAACAAATGAAGTCGGGTAACTCAGGGAGTGAGACCATGCTCCGGCGCAGCTCAGCTCTGCTCCATTTGCTTAAGTCCCTTAGGAAATAAGACATACGGACGCTTTTTTTGGGGACCCCCAAAAAGTACCCTCAAAAAAGCAGTGATAGGTTCCCCTTCAGGGGGAAACAAGCCATGTTAAGCAAAAGGAAGCGCGCTTCAAATATCTTGGGCGCCCGCCCTCACGACGAATCTTGCGGACCGCCAAGATCATTAGGGTCGGCTTCCCATTCTGCGAGCCCGCACTACCCTCCTCAGAACGTTCTCATTGTCTGGAAGCGCCTCCAAAAACCGCTCCAACCTCAGCCCCGGAAAATGAAACTGAAACCACAGAAGTTTGGTGAGACAGAAATGGGAGGGGTGGGCTGCCTGGACAGCTATACCTCGGACTTTGTCGAGAAAAAAGGGTTCTTGGGAGGGTTCCGCAAAAGTGATCTTCGAAGGGTTCCTCGAAGCTGTGGCGCAATCTCAACAAGTACCGCAGAACCGCTAGTCGAAGTTCCGAATCAGTTCCTGAAATCACGTGCATTTTTTGCAAATTTCCCAAAAAAACTTTGTCGAAGTTCCGCGGTGCCGGAAATCTGCCGGAAATCCAGACCCGCGCCCCTTGCCGAAACCTTTTGATTTGGGGATTCCTCTGGGATTTTTCTACGCAGTTTGACATTCCCAAAATGAACAAGTAGGGAACGCTCCCAGTAAAGGACCTTCATCATGCTTTCGTGTTTCTCAAAGTGATGCCAACAAATTGTCGTTAAACGAGCCAAAAGTTGGGTCCACTATTCCCCAAGCCCCATGAGCCAAAGGTCTTTTGTAGGTTCAGTTTGGCAAAGCCAACTTGCGTTCGAAAGGTTTATCTCTGATACCACAGACCGGCCATCTTTCTCTGTTTCTCATACAATTTGGAGCCGATTCGGGGGATTGGGGATGGGGGTGGGCCGGCGCCAAGGTGCTTGGCCACGTGGCGGTCGTGCATCGCAGCCACCGGCGGGAGGATCGTGTCCTGCCTAGTGATTTGGTGCGTCATAGAGTCGAAAGACAGCGACGGTTCCTCACGGTCCGCGATCGGAAGTGAGCGACTCGGATGGTACGCCAACTTCCCCCGATGGCACGTGGAAAGTCCCTCAGATTTCCTTCGACAAACCCCATGGCAACGGAGGGTAGGCACAAGCCCCAGGAGTTACAGCGATCCTCGAAATCGGCTGGTATTTGTGATTTCTTTTCGGTCCTTGGGGCCATCCGATCTGACTGGGAAGTTTTGGATAATGGCACTGGTAAATGGTTCGAGCCAAGCTGAAACCCGAAGAATCCATGATAATCCATGTGTTTTCCGAAAACGGTCATGTCCATCACCGCCCTCGCCTGGCCCCGTGGTCTGAGTTGCTGGGCTTGGACTCCCAAATCAATGGAATCTCTCACAATCAATCGCAAAAGTTGACTTTCTGATGGGGAAACTCATTCGCCCGAAAAAGTCTGAGCTTTTGGCTGCTAACATGGCTTCCCAAAGTGTAAAGTTCAGGAACTCAGGGAGTAAGCGTTATCGCCGAAAAAACACCATTTAAAAAATGCCATTGATGCACATGGCGCCACTGATGACCATATGAGAAAGATTCAACGTGTGCTGTGTGGGCTGTATTCATTCTACTTTTACTGAGTCCCCCAACGTTCTCCGCATTTCGCGCGTGCGTGCAGTGCCCGGTGAACCCTGTGCAGGGAACGCACGCCTCGAAGCGCTCTCACTGCGGCGCCGTGTGCAATAGATTCCCTTTAGAAACCAACAGAGAGAAACAAAATAGCAGACCCGCAGGCTGCAGGCGGGTCGTGGTTTTTACTCTTACATCTTGTAGAAACGTGGGTCGTCTCTTAACAAAAGGTTCCGAAATCGGCAGCATGTTTCCCAAACCGCTCGTTCCCGGCCATCCTCAACTTATGAACGCGCGGGCACGCGAGTCGGTGTGCGCGCGTGACTGCGTCCAGTGTTGGAAACTCCCCCCCCCAAAGCGCCCCCAACAGCACACAAAGTCGCGTGGTTTGGATAAAAGCTCGCAACTGAATAACAAATCCCGGATTTGGTTGCCATCGGAAAGCCACGACTCCCTCAAGGGGTTGGCACCGAAAACAACAATACTTTAATACTTCATTTTAGCAGATCGTTCTTCAGGTCCTTGAAGTCGATAGAGGCTTCACAAACTCTCTGACCTTTGTCCTGGCCGTCTTCGGATCCCGGCTCGCTTGGAAAGAGAGGCCAAAAAGGGATGTTCCTTTTTCGAATTCTTGGTGGTTTTAAAACGAAACAAGCAAGGAAACCGTAATCCATTTCAGGGGGCGCTACAAAAGACACACCCAACTGAGGTTTGATTCAAAATGTGCTCCTTGTGGCTTCCATGTCACAAAAAACAATCCTGACTCGGAAATGAAAGGAGATGGCTTGCCTGAGCTTTTGTCTGCCAGATTGTGTTTTTTGTTTTTCAGGTTCTCCATGGTTTTGTCCCAACGCAAAACCGCAGGCCCCATGGCGGCCCCTTCAAGAATAACTTTAGATAATGCACTTGCATCAAAACATAGTTCAGTGTCTCACTTTCCGAGTTCCCGGACTTTATCGAACGGTCAAAGAAACCCATCTGATTGCAGTGAACCAACCTGAAATGCCGTTTTGGGTTCCCTTTTTACGACCCAAGAGGTGAGCTCACCTTTTATTGGGCGCAAACTGGGCTGACGCTGTCTTTTGATTGAAGGTACCCTTTTCTCGTTTTAAAAAACAAAACAACCAACCAATCTGGCAGACAAAAGCCCCGGCTCTCAAGCTCCTTTCGTTTCACCAGGATGTGGTTCGTGTGTTTTTTTGTTGGCTTTGTTGCTTTTCTTCCTCGGGGTGGTTTTTGTTGCTCTCTTGTACTTCAAGCTTGGGTTGCCGGCTCAACTTGAAGACTTGAGTCTCACTTGTGGCCGGCTTCTTGAACATGCACTTTGGCTGGATTTTTTCCTGCACAAATTCTGTTAGAAGTCCAATTGAATTCAAGCTATGGGGCACGGTCGAAATTACTTACTTGCAGCCGTTTCGCTACTTAGTTTGAAAGCCCCCTATCGCTTTCCAGCGTTTTGCGTTTCTGACACTTCTCGTTCAACGAGGGAGGGAAGAAGGGAGGAAGGGAGGAAGGGGAGGACGGAAGGAAGGAAGGGGAGGACGGAAGGAAGGAAGGAAGGAAGGAAGGAAGGAAGGAAGGAAGGAAGGAAGGAAGGAAGGAAGGAAGGAAGGAAGGAAGGAAGGAAGGAAGGAAGGAAGGGAAGGAAGGAAGGAAGAGGAAGGGAGGAAGGGAGGGAGGGAGGGAGGGAGGGAGGGAGGGAGGGGAGGGAGGGGAGGGAGGGAGGGAGGGAGGAAGGGAGGGGAAGGAAGGAAGGCAGGAAGGAAGGGAGGGAGGGAGGGAGGGAGGGAGGGGAGGGAGGGAGGGAGGGAGGGAGGAAGGGAGGGGAAGGAAGGAAGGCAGGCAGGCAGAAAGGCAGGAAGGCAGGAACACAGCAAGGCGGGCAGAAAGGAGGAAGGAAGGCAGGAAGGCAGGCAGGAAGGCAGGAAGGCGGAAGAGGAAGGTAGCAAGGCGGAAGAGGTACGCAGAAAGGCGGAAGGGGAAGGCAGGAAGGCGAAAGAGGCAGGCAGGCAGCAGGCAGGCAGGCAGGCAGGCAGGCAGGGAGGCAGGGAGGCAGGGAGGCAGGGAGGCAGGGAGGCAGGAAAGGCATGGAGGCAGGGAGGCAGGGAGGGAGGGAGGGAGGGAGGGGCAGGCAGGCAGGCAGGGAGGGGCAGGCAGGCAGGCAGGCAGGCAGGCAGGCAGGCAGGGGCAGGCAGGCAGGCAGGCAGGCAGGGCAGGGCAGGGCAGGGCAGGGCAGGGCAGGGCAGGGCAGGCAGGAAAGCAGGAAGGCAGACAGGCAGGAAAGCAGGAAGGCAGGCAGGCAGGCAGGCAGGCAGGCAGGCAGGCAGGCAGGCAGGCAGGCAGGCAGGCAGGCAGGCAGGCAGGCAGGCAAGCAGGGCAAGAGGGCAGCGGGGAGCAAGAGGCCGCCTGGGAGTTGGGACTATGTGGCAAGTGTGAGTCTGGGTGAGCGGTGGTCTGGCCGTAGTCTTTCTTGTCCGTGTATCGTTCAGGTATCCTTCGGGTATCGCTCAGACAGCCTGCCAAGACTAGAACATTCCGCCCAGCTTCCCTGAGCCCAAGCAATGTGCAAGAAATAGCTACGTACGCATGGCGCGCGCGAGCATGGGCAGTCCATTTGCCACGTTGCACGGAACCACAAGAAGAGCGCGCGCCCCAAACAGCGTTCCCAAAGCACCCTGCCCAGACAAAATGCATCTCCATCAATATGGAAGCAATTTGTGCGCTGCGCAAGTGGGCGTGCAATTGGTCAGGAAGCTATCAAGAAGGGTAACCACTGCCATCTGCCATCGGGCATGAAGGCTAAGGATTGACTTTGGACTGGAACAAGGGAACACACGGTGGCGGGGCCAAGGGCCAAGGTCCACAGAAAGGCGGGAGTCACGCGCAGGCGTGCCCCAGCAAAAGTAGCCTGTATGAAGCGAGTGCCCCTTTTCAAATTGAGTGCCCAACCCCCTACAGAAACAAAAAGCAGCACACGAGTAGAAAAAATAACTGCTTCCGAGGGTACCGTTTTTGAGAGCCCCCTATCGTTTGCCATCGTTTTGCGCATGTCCACTTAACATCAATGAAACGCCGAACACTAAACTCAGCCGAAGTAATTTTGACAATGCTTCATATGATTTCCAGTAGGATTCTGGTCAAGTATTCTTTATTGAGCCCCATTTAAGTCCTACTCAAATGCACATTGACTTTTAGAGGGCGGAAAAACACTACCAAACCACAGTGGTTTGCGGCGTTCTCCGTTTAAACGCGTTATCTTTGCAATCGCTTCCACATGAAACGGCAACACGTCAGAGTGATAGTTAAGGAAAGCCCCCCTCCCCTCCACACCAAGTCGAATCGAACCCACTGAAATTCCAAGCCCAAGACCTGACAGTTGAAAGTGGGGCCATGGCTTTCACAAGGGTTCCTATAGATCCGAAGGCCGCCTCAAGAAGCCTCTTGAAATCTTGCATTTGCTTAAGTCTCCCGGAAATAAACTTATTTCCGGTAGTTAAAATTGACTCGCTTTAAAACCAACACGGAAAATGAAACACATCTTCTCAGGCAAATGGAAGCTGAGGAGTGGCCCCCTGCCCCTATCAAAACACAATGCAACACGATGTCTTGTATGGGGAGGTCAACCTCACCTCACCCAAAAAAGGGGCAAATGGAAGAAATGGCTCCAACATGGTTTTTCCCAAAGACACCCCACGTAACCAGTTTCGGACCTTCAACCAGGCAAAGATTGGAACTTTCCTCGCTCAAACAAGACCGGTGAAGCCACAAAGCGCTGAGTCGTGAGACCAACTCTTCACTTTTTTTAGATGTGGTTTTGAGGACGTTTTCTTGAACGACTGCTTTGAGGCAGCAAAAACTGAGAGAACTTGGTGAGACTTGGGTGGCTTGGGTGGCTGGGAGGCTCACTTCCCCTTTGGGCTGCCACAAGAAAAAATACTTCCATTGGTTGTCGCCTTCTCATTTTTCTCCATTTTGGCATTTTGGCAGCTGCCCCCCATTTCCCCTTATCCCGGGCTGACGCCAACGCTTTCTGAGAACGCCTGATTGAGGGCTGAGGAATTTGTTGCCTGACGCCCCCCCAGACCTGCAGCCATCTACACACCCGCAAACCAAAAGGAAACAACTCTACAGTGGCCAATAAAAATTGCAGGCCCAATCTGGCAACTTGATGCCGACTCCTGACCAAGAACCCCCCACTTAATGACTTAATGATGTCCTTCTGAGTTGGGATTCCTGTCAGGGCCGGGGATTGTAATTCATGCCACGTCATGATTTCGCCACTCAGAAAGCTCCGTGTAGATTGAACGAAGAGGAAACAACTTCAAGCCAGTGTCCGACTTCAGTGAACCCTCTCCGCACCCATGCTCGCGGCCAGCTAAAGCACCGCGAGCTAAAGCCGCCCAATTTCCCAAGGCCTGCCGAATGAGAGTGTGACCTCAGTTGGCCAAGGGTCCAAGTGCCAATGGCCAAGCACCTGGCACCTGTCACCCTCGCAAAAGCATAGGTCGCGCTCAAGTGCACCCATGACGCCCTTTTTTGGACAACGACTGGGCATGCGGGCTCCTGGATCTTTTGGTTGTCAGAGCCCAAAGGGTCTGTGATCTAAGAGCCCTGTCAGAAGTTCCGTGTTAGCTATGCGTACGAAAACCCGAAATGGGAACGACCCCCACAATTTGCCATCCCTGCGTGTGTGAAACACAATTATAGAGGGAGGTCAACCTCACCCATGGAGGAAATGCACAGGGGGATAAAATGCATTCGTTGGTTTCCCCGCGGCTTTCCTTCAAAAAATGGGAGTCCGAGGCTTCAAGAAGGGGCTGCCATAGAGTGGCCACCCACCTACCCACCCCTTGACTCCATCATGTGGCTCGTTTTTGAGGAAGGGGACCGTGTCCTGTTTGTTTCTCAGCTGAAAGGCTTGGACCGTCGGGGTGCCTATGTATTCCCCCGCCCCTGTAAAAAGTTAACAGCTTCTTGCCGGTTGAATGGTCAAATGATGGAACCCAAAAATGCAAGAAGTTGAAAAGGCAAACCAAGTCTGACATAACAATTAATTATTTTCGAACCTTGACTGCCAGACCAAAACAGGAAAACCAAAAGGTGTAAGGGTCAAAAGAAGTTGCTTCCCATGTCCAAAATCCCTTGGTGTCCCAAAAAAAGCTGTGGCTTTTGGGGTGGAAGCTAGGCCAAGCCCACAGGTACCCTTTTTGGGAAAATAGATGGCCCTGGTATTTGATTGAACCACCAGGTAAACCAGGAATCCCCCTCTATGCTTCCACCACATCAACCAAAAAGGACACCTATATATATATATTAAAAAAAAAAGCCTGAGGCCCCCGACCAGGCACCACCACGGAAGGCTCCAGTGGCCCCACGCGGGTAGCTGCGCAGCCCATGGCCTGAGCTTCAGCCTCCGTCAGCCAAGGAAACCCCTGGTAGCTGGTACCAATCCCTGGTACCTTGTCAGTTGGTCAAGAAATCCCGTTGCCAATCCCAGCTCAAACTCGCAGCTTGAGCCCCTACCAATACCCTCAGCTGTGGATGGACCAAATCCAGAAATCGATCAGCCACCGTTCAGGATCCCTGGAATGATGATTCGATTCCCCAACGCAAAGACCAAGAAACGTTATGGTTTCAACCATGGTTTTCGAAGTGGTGCAGGATTTTGTCCATCCACAGTAGGAAAATCAGACTGTGGATGAACGAAAGCCAGAACCGCAGCACCTAAGAAACCATGGTTGAAGCCACCTAAGAAGCCACCATGGTTGAAACCATACAATTTTGCAGCACCTAAGAAACCATGGTTGAGACCATAGTTTGTTGGTATTTTCAGGGGAGAATCGAATCAGAAACCAGGGTTTCTTAGGTGGTGCAGGATTCCGTCCAACTTGCTGGAAAACGTGGAGCATGGCAAAACCCGAGGGAAGGTGTGGAACACTTGCTGCGAAACGTTGGGGGTAACCGTGCGGGTAAACTTGCTGGAGCACCTGAGAAAACCACGGGAAAACCCGGTTTTCCCAGCCGAGGGAAGGGGTCTTTGACCATGTGGCACACATATGGCAGGCTTATTATGGTTGACTGCCACTTTGGGAGGTCCAGAAATCTGAGAAGCAATGTCGTGTTTTGGGCCCCATGGCTTTGGGTGAAACCGGCAGCGGCGTGTTTCACAAACCCTCTCTTCACTTCCGGAGTGGCCAGCAAAAACTTCCAAAGCTTTTGCTTGCCACCATGGTCCAACCCAAATGATTGAGCTCAGCCTTTTTCCAGCGCGAAAAAATCCAAAGGATCCTTCGCCATGGACTTTCCGGACCTTCGCTTCGTTAGGAGAACCCAACTGAAACCAGTGAACCCGTGGATGTTTCACATCTCACTTTCCAAGTGGAACAGTCCGAACTTTCTGTCCATCAAAACCTTCTTCCCAAAAAGTGCGAAGTCCAGGAACTCAGGAGTAGAAACACATCCCCCATCAAGACTTGCGCCGACTTGCGCCTCCCCGCACAAGTAAATGATCAAGCCGGCCGTGGGCAAACAGCGCAGCTGTTCGGGCCAAAACGCTATCCGCCGCGTGCATGCCCGGCAGTCAAGGCCTGACTATGCGATGCGCATGAAATATAAAACCCTGCCTCAGGAAGCTCACAACTCCGATCCGCACACCAATTTGTCCCACGGGGGTCAAGTCTTAAGGAATCCTTACGCGGATCGATTCACGACTCGGTTCCCTTTCCGAGAAAAGCAAGCAAGCGGGTATCTCGGAGCACGAAAAGCCCAGCGCATTCCGCACCTACAAGTAAAGTCTAACTGCACCTACCAGCGAATTTCCCGCCGACCCCAACTCCAGTCATATTCGGGGGCATGTTAGAACCAACATACCAATTCAACATACCAATTCAAACGAACAACCTTGATGTTCAGCTGCATGATTGAATTCCTTACTCGGAAACTGCCGTTTTGAACAATAGTTGGGCCTGGAACGAGGGGGGCCATTCGAGGACCGAAGCGGAATCCCCTGGAGCAGAACTGGACCCTATTGACATTAATATGTTTCGCTCCCAGTCCACCTTCTTCAGCTGGGCTGAAAGGGACGGATCGTACCGCTGTCCCGACCCATTTGGGTGGCTTGAAAGTTGGCTTTGGGCGAGTCTAGTGAAGCGAGCTTTGGTTTGCTTGGGCGTTCGCAAAGTAACCGTTGCTGGGCGGAGTTCAGCGTAGCCATTGCACGTGCTAAGGATCCCCCCCCCCCCCCCCGCCCTCAAAAACACATTCGGCTGGCCAAAAATTGGCGCCCAAACTTCCAAAATGGCAACCACACCCTCCATTTGCTTTAGGTCCCCCCGGGAAAAAATGATGACAGATTTCCAGTAGCGAATCCGATTCCCTTTCAAACCAACGGGGGAGAGTGACAAATATGATCATCTTTCCTCTATTTGGTGGTTTGGATTGGTGGTTGGTAGAGGGGGTTCATATTTAAACCAGGAGTTCAAATCCAAATCAAAACCAACAATCCAAACCACCAAGGGATACCTGATACTTGGGTAAGTCTATTGTTAGGGACGTTGGCGGTTTTCCCCATGGCTTCTCTTTAAACCTTCTCAACAAGAGACCAACTCCAGCCTTTCAAATGGGGCCTTCCCTTCAAAACCAATCTTCACTTGCCCAAAACCACTGGAAATAGGTTGCGGCAACCTTAAAAGAACCAGCTCTTGAAAACCACCGGTCCCCCGACAGCGACGCGCCTCGGCTCCCGACCATGCGTCCCTCTTGGGCTCCATGAGCACCTCGCCTCGAGCACCGAGCGCCCAATCCATGTGGGGGCGTCTAGCGTCTGCCACCAACCTAGCATCACTGTGGGCTCCCTACATTTCCCCTTACAACATCACCTCCATTAAGGGATACTCACCTTTCATGGGCCCAAAAGGTGATGTTTAAAGCCACCAACGCCCTGCATCATGGAACCTTCTACATGGCAATTTAAGTTTTAATTACTGCGGAATTCAGTACATTCAACATTCCCCTGAATAATTTCGACCCTGGATTGCTCAACTTGGGCTGTTTCGCCAAAAGTGATCCGGACTATACCTCCTATACTGGGCCGCCCTCCGATCAACTAGGCTGTGTGGGTCGACATTGAAACAATATTTCCAGGCCCTGAATCTTGAAAGTAGCCAGACTTTACAACACTATGGCTTCTTGGGTTTCCCGTGTTTCCCTGCCTCACTTCCTCACTGAGCTTGCCATTCAAATGTTAGCGTTTCCCGAGTCCAACTACGAAGTGAGACATTCTAAAGCTTCCTCTCGTTCCTCAGCACTGTTGAGCCCATATTAATCAACCCCTGCTTGTCAGGGGGGCGGAGGCCCTCCGAAAGCGTTCTGATTCTCAACTAAACCCATAAATGAACACACCCGGATTCAATAAACTGGGCTCTTTAAAATGGGGTCAACGTTAGTTAGGGCTCACCGGCCATCTTGGAATCTGGACTGTGACTTCCCCAAACCTTGGCTGGAATCAGGACCCCAGTAAGACATATGCGTGTGGCTCAAAAATGGGGATCCAAAATGGAACCTGGTAAATCAAAAGACAGACTCAAACCTGCATAACCCCAGCTGTTTAATTTTGAGCCACACCCATATAGGTGTTGCGGTCAACGTCACTCCCGTTTTCCCCCGAAAAAAATGTTTTCCCTTCGCGGACGCTGGGGGCCCAGGCTCTCCTTGTACATCTCCCGATACATGGCCTCCTCTGTCCATCCTTTTCGCGGGACACGAGTCGACGTGTTTTCATACGCGAGCCCGAAGCGTAACAAAACCATACCCCTAAAGAAAGCGTGAGTCGATTTAACTCTCAAAGCCTAAATGAGAGTTAAAAAGAAGGTGGCTGGCAAAATGTGCCCGAGATTTTGAACAAATTGCCCAAGAGAAAGCATTGATGTGAATTTCAGATCAGGAGACCAGTTCTCAAGCCGCGCGTCCTGCATGGCAACTCACCACTGACACCTCTTTCGCCCAGTGCTCGCAAAGCAAGACCTGAACGGAAGCCGATCCCACAACGCCGCATCTTCGCTACTTATCCCTCCAGTGGCCATGAGAAGGTTTTTTCTTTTGGGGGGGTGTGCAAGCAAGCCTTCATGAGTGTGAGTTCAGTGGGGAAAGAGTGGGGTCTTATCATGTCGAATCTGGCCGGTTGGAAGCCTCGAGTTTGCTTGCTTGTTTCATTTCACCTATCGCCCGTCCCCAAACACCAGCCAATGCGGCACTTTTCGTCAGCTTTCCACCAGTTGGAGGTTTGGAGCCCGGTGGGTTGGTGGTTTTCTGGGCTGATGAAACCCCTCTCACCCTCCACAAGAACCAGGGGTTCAGCTCCAAGTCCAAACATGTCCAAACCAACTGCGCAGATCGTTGATCCACACCCACTCGCCCCCCCCCCCTTCGGCCGGCTGGAGTCCCCCCAATCCCTCCCCCATACCTCATCTCTTTCGGGGGAGGGTAAAGTACCTTTCCACGCAACTCATGTGACAGTTTCGGATTGGTGCCACAGCAACACACAGCGCCGCGATCCGATCTGTTGACGACACTAAAACAGCTTCTTGGTTCTACCGCATCTTGAGACAAATATCTATGACAGCACCGACCTAGCCCGAATCCGGCCTTCTTCTGAAACAACAAATGTGTCCAACGAAAAGGCCGAGGTGTCCCAGAGCCGGAGAAACGAACAGGACAGGATCTCGCACAGTGCAACGTAGTTGTGGGTTCCAGTTTGGGCTCAACGCAAGCACCGCGGTTTTGCCTTTTCACGGGAGACCGTGTCCAAGGATCTTCGGGCCTTTTGACTTTTCAAAGCCTGGGCACGGTGTTGAAACCTATGACTGGGAACTCCTAATAGTTCACCAATTCTGAAATATGGTGGGGGACTACTCCCCGCATAAACCACCATTTGGGGAGAATTCGGTGGTGTGAGGTCGTTATGATTCACCCAGATCAATGGCATCGTTGTCCCACTGAGCCGCTTTCGCCGGACAAAAAGCTGAGACCCTTGCCACTGAGCGGCTATTCGGCGATTCGGGCTGTCTTTTTGGGTCTTGCTTTTTGGGGGGGTTTTAAAGGAACACCAAGAGGGGGGGCAACAACAACATTCTTCTAGAGGTACCTTCTGCGTTCTTTCCAGGGATCCTTCTTTTCAGGACATCAACAACCCAGGGGGAACAGCCTGTTTTTGAAAAGAACGATGGTTGAAAAGAATGGGAATCAACCCCTAGAGAAACATTAAAATTCTGAGGCCCAAAAAAAGAGGCCTAAGTTGCTTTTGCAGGAGAAGCCGTGGAGATGAGAGATCAAAAGGGCCCGCATGGATTTGTGACCAGGACGCCCTTCTAAGGTGGCTTCTCGTCGCATCTGCAATAGGATATGCCCACAACCTGAAATAAGAATTGGATCCAAGAAAAGGACCTACATAGTTTTCGCTTGTTTTGCCTCCTGGTCGGTGAACTCGCTCGAAACAGTATATAACATGGGTGTGTCAAGGTGTGTCACGGTGTGTCTGTGTCTTGAGGGATCCCAAGAAAAAGTAACTTCCCTTTGGTTTCCCTTTGACAACCACCACAAAAAGAGCATCCTGCAAAGGACATCTTTTGGAGTGATATACTTCTTGGGGAACCCAAGGAGCAACCACTTTGAGTCATTTTGAGGGCCCCCGCCCCCCAACAAGAGGACACAACTTGACCCCCAAAAAGCGCCTTACATGTACTTGGGTGTCGCGGCAAACAAATCGTCGGCCTGAGCTCGCTTGGTGTAGGCAAAGGCCATCAGGCCGTCGTACTCCTCGCAGCGTTTTCCGGCGGGGGGACTCGCCTTGGTCAACCTCTTGCTGTGGCCTCTGCATGTCAGACACGTGTACTACTGATCCATGCATCCATGGACCATATCCGAAGGTCCTTTTTGCGGCGATTCGGTCTAAACCAGTCATGTCTCCGGCGGGTTCTATCACTAGGAACTGCAACCCTTTTCATACAGTTTCGCAAACAAACAAAACAAAACAAAAGGAAACCAACGGGCCTAGAGCGGTCCCCAATTCTGACAAACACCCTGCCGTTGAGCAAAAAGGGATCCAAAAGCATACAACCTCGCTCCAGGGGGGCTTGACCAACAAGCCCAAGTTCTGAATACAAGGGAAACAGTTGATGCCACTTTGGGGGAATACAAATGCGTCCAATAAGGTCGACGGTCTAAAAAGGACAGTTCTGATAGGTACAGGCGTGCAAACGTACCTCTCTTAGTTGACCTTGCAGTAGCCATTCACCCCAGAGTTCGGAAACGTCATCTCCCCAGCTCAACTGCCTCCCGGGCGTTCATCAAATTCGCTGCCCGCAAACCTCTACTGGTACCTGCAAAGGCTTAGTGGACGAGAAAAAGGGCGCTCTTTCTTGGTAGTTAATTTTGAAGGAACCTTCCAAACTCAAAAGAAACAACCCGGAAGAGGGCACCAGTGTACTGTACAATGCCACAAGGAAGCCAAGTACCAGAAATATCGCCATGGAAGGAGTTGACCTTGTCCCTTGGGCACTTGGCTCGGGCAAACTTGGCTTCTTGAAGCCCCTGGCCCGCCTTTTTGTTTTTGTTGGGTGGTTTCGAGGGAACGCCAAGAGCAAACCACTAATTTGGACAGTGGGGTTCCCCTGAAAAGGACACGCCCTCCTCGCCAAAAAGCGCGTTATTAACCGACGCCTAACCTGCGAACCCACCTCGACCCCCCCCCCCAAGCCACGGCTATCACTTTTTCCCTCGGACGCATCTGTTCACGCGAGGATGCCCTGCCGGACCCATGGGGTCGAATCACGCGAGTCTGTACAAGATGTGGGCGCCCCGCGGGGTGGTGAAAATGTCGCTCAGGCCGCCCACCTCACGATTTCTTTCCCCACTGGCGCCCAACAAATGCATGCAGTTGGCGGAGAGTGCTATGACCATGTCAAACAAGAAAGGGAGAGTTTGAGAGAGAGAAAGGGAACAACAAACAAACAAACAGGCAGGCAGCAGGAAGGCAGGCAGGCAGGAAGGCAGGCAGGCAGGCAGGCAGGAAGGCAGGCAGGGCACGGGCAGGCAGGCAGGCAGGCAGGCAGGCAGGGGCGGGCAGGCAAGCAGACAGGCAAACAGACGGACAAAAAGACAAACAAACAGAGAGAGAGAGAGAGAGAGGGGGAGGGAGAGTATCTCAACAGCTAGAATTCTGCAGGAGCTTTTTGGATTTGACCCACCATACCATACCCCAGTTATCATTCAGGTTTCCTTGGCTCATGTGCCTGGTGTTCCCTTTGACCAAATGTTAAAACTGGTTCACAGGGACAGCATCACCTGAATCATAATCAAAACCCGGTATGTAAAGACTTAAGAAGGCGGCCGCAGATATTTATGGTTGGGATTGTCCCTTACCAACCTTCATCTACCCGGGTTTTGATTGTGCCTCACTCTGGGGTTTTCCCACCCAAAAGGCCCCGTGCTGAAAACAGCCTCCAGCTCGAAGGCCACTGCGTCGAACTCCTTGCCGAATTGGCCTGGCATAACATATGTACATGGAATATTTGTGCACTGCTGCCATGTATTGGCAGAATTCCCGACACCTTGCCTGCATGGTGCAAAACAATAATAAGTATACCACATGCTTCTGCATATATACCACTTCAATGCTGTAAGTTTCAAATCGAACTCCGAAGTCCGAATTCGACCGAATCGTGCAGCCCCGCCCTCTGTTGGTTTGGGTGGTTCCGGTTGGGTGGAGTGGGTTCCCGGATCCATTCTCAACATTCAAGCCAGGGGTTCAAATCCAAAGCCAAATCAAAAAGCTCCTTCTCGCTGAAGATGGCTAAAATCCTCAACATGGAGCTGTCCCTTGCCTTTGGGGTCTGCTTGTTGAGAGGAAAATGCCCCACTGCAGGTGCCAGTTGCACGCCACTGACACCTTCACGCCTAGGGAGGAGAGTCATGAGCCCAGTGCGATTCCCAGCGCAAAGCTAGGGACACGGACCATGGGGTATTTCAAGCCTGCACAAAAAGAAGCGAGTCCCTAAGACTCAAATCTGAGTACATACCGGGGTAGATAAAGGGAACCGCTTCGTTTGGCGAGGTTGGAAATCTCATCTGCAAATTTAGATACATTTACGACATCTCTCCTGAAACTTGCGATTTGTGGATCGTCAAGGCACGACTCTCTCACGGCTTCTCGTTTTCCTCCTGCGAATCGGCGGAAAATCGATTTACACGGAACCACATCTCAGTTGCCCACAGGACCCAGAAATCAGAGGTTAACCTTTTGGGGCCATGACAAAAATGGACCAAACTGGGAAAACTACAAGGTGAAAAGGTCGAAAACGCTTTGGCCAACTGAGCCAATGATTCCATGGGGAGCCATGGGAAGGTCCTTGGCCCCTAGCAGATACTAGTACTAATAGGCGCTATTGACCCGACCATGTCCCTTGGGAAAACTAATCGGTCAAATCGCTTTGGACTGAGAAATAAATCAACTAGGTCCTCCAGTAGAGAGGATAGAAGTAAGGGTACCCGTTTTTTTCTCTGTAGTCTACTTTAGCAGTTCAATTTTCCCCACCAAAAAAGGTTGGTAGTTCAACCCTCCCAACCAAGAAAGGGGAGAGAAAAAAGCGGGCACCAATTGCTGGGGGACCTAGTCAAAACATCGAGTCGAAGCCGCGAGTCGAAGCGAGTCGAAGCCGTCGAAGCCGATGCCTTCCAGGACCCAGCCCAAATCCGCGTGGGGCTTGTTGGTGGCCGACTTGCAGTCCTCAGCCACCGGCGCTCCCGTGCACTTCCTCCCGGCCCCCGCTCCCCACAAAGCAGCGGAAATTCTAAGAGTTGATTCCGATTCCGTTCTTTTCTGGAAAGACTGGGGGGAGGGTACCCCTAGTCAACGAGTTTGGGGGCACCTCAGTTTGGAGTTTTCGAAGGGTTGATTCCTTCTCCATTCTTTCCCACCATCCTTCTTTTCGAAAACCGGATCCGCTTTCAACCTGGGTTCCCGAAGGTTTTCTAGAAAGAAGGATCCCTGGAAAGAATGGGGACGGTAGCACTCGAGAAATGGGTGTTGGTGCCCTCCCACCATTGTTTTCTACATGGAACCTGACGTTCGGACCTGGTCCCTTTGAAAGGAAAAAGGACCCCGAAAGGTCAGGTTCCATGTGAATTGGTGGGAGGGTACCAATGTCAAATAAAGCGTCCGTCTTCCGTGCGAATGTGAGAACCTAAAGTGACCCGTTAACCAGAAAGCCAAGGGAAGCACACCAACACAAATATATACCAAGCACATGTTTTTGCGTACCGGTTCCGCTGTATTGAGACAACCCCACATGTTCTCGATTTGGTAGAAGCCGGCTTGCCTTGTCCACCTCTCTTCTTTCTTTTTTTAGCTTTTTGGAGGGATGTGTTTTTGGAATTGCCGTAACGCGAATTGAGTAGCCCAGGTTCGAACACTTGTTGCAAGGGGCTCTTTCACCAAGCCGGTGGAAGTGAAAACCGCCAAAAACACATAAGCAACAACCGCCGGCTCCCTCCGGCAGGCCCTTTAAGGGGTCTGCAGTGTCTCAAGCGAAGGAATCTCTTTAAGGCATCTCAAGTCGAATTATTTTGCTAAACGTTTCAACATGAAACGTCCATTCCAACATGCTTTTAGTTGAAGTGCATCGTGATTTTGAAGGGACACCTCAAAATCAGAAGAACATCTTAAGACTAAACAGCCAAAAACAACCTGAGGCCAGGCACCTTCCCTTTCCACAAAAGGAAACGTGTGGAAAGCATTCCTTGGGCTCGCCTCTCCGCTCCTTTGGCAATTGGCTCCGGGTCAAAGGAACTGGGGATCCATTCCGGCCCATCCAATCGAGTCCGCTTGAAAAAACCCTTTCCAGCGCGAAAACCCGGACGACGCTGAAGGACCAAATGAAGAATGCGAGCCCCTCGTTTCAACACATTAGGGTGACCTCGCCAGATGTTTTGAACCAAGTGAGCTCAAAACCAATTGTTTGATCCCCCGAAGGCCCAAGTAGTTAAGAATGTACTCTCCCACCTGACGGGGAAAACTGGAAAAAATCCAAGACACCGCTGTCAGGTTCCATGTTAATTGCTTGGTGGGTACGTTGACCGCCCGTTGTACCCCTCAAAACACATCAAGGGGTCTCGGCGGGAGCGAATCCGCTGCGAGCGAATGAACCGAGGAGCGGAGAACGCCTCGCACATCGCGGCGAACTTTGAAGCGAGCTCCTGGACTCATCGCGTGGATTGCTGGCCAGTAGAAACCACACCGTTGAACCAAAATTTGTGGTTGAAACAAATATGAATATATCAATTTGGGGGATAAAGCACAGGAATCTGGTGGTTGAAATTTAGGACCCATTCACCAAAATCAGCCTCCAAAATGGTTCACCCTCTGAAACCAACAAGCACCCCTTTTTTCAGCGAACCAGCAAACCGTTCACCGACAGATTGGCCAAGCCCCACAAAAGGACAAAAGCGGATTTTCAGCTCAAGGCTTTGAGCCTCAAGGTGTCTTGGATCTGAGTCAGCCTCGCTGGAGCCTGGAACCCTTTGGACTCGGTCAAAAATGTGTCAAAGGCTGGGCTTCTTGAAAACTCCAACTAGGTTTGCTCAAAGAAAGCACCCTCACTTCCTTGGTCAAAAGCTTCAAATAAGTAGATCCAAAAACAAAATGGTTGATGTGAGTTGAAATGCACAACACGGGTTCCCTGGTGCCCTCCCAATTCATCCAGGGGTCGAGCTCAACCGGAAATTAGCACTTCCCACAACCCCGGTTTTTGGTCACCCAGTTGCCGCGTTTTGCCGCGCTCACGGTTGCGGAGAAAACCGGGTACGGCAGGGCGCCGGCAATGCTCCGCGATACGGTGATACCAAGCGAATCCCCGTCAACCCGTCAGCAAATAAACTTTGTTGTTTGCAGTCCGGTGCACATGAATCATAACATGGAATAACTGCTAATATATCAAACACATGGGCCCGCTGATATCAACAAATCCACCTTTTTGTCACATGAACACAAACCACAACCATCAATGGCCAACTGCCGGCCGTCCTTGGGCTGAACCTTGGCGAGCTCCTCCAGCACTTCCATCAGCGCCTTTTCCGCATTGGCCTCTCCAACCAAACGCCGGCGCAGCAAAAAACAATTGCAACACACTGCTTTTGGCACCTACTTGAATCCTCCCAAAAAGACAGGAGACGACTGAATTTCTGCGACTGAATATTGAGGTTCTAGTTCTGTGGCTTTCGATTAGTGAGCAGCACCCCCCCCCCCCCAACCACTGCTTTGTGGACAGTAGCAAGGGGAGTCTGGACGTGGTAAGGATCGCAGTTTTTGGAACCCAGCGGACTCAGGTGCTCGGATCTAAAGCTCTTTTTGGGTTTGCCGCTCTTTCGGAGGCAACGCGCTCGTCGCGCTCCAACAGTTGATCTCTGCTGCTAAGGGAAAGGTCCGGCCGGGAAGTTCCCTGAAGATTCCTTGGATTTGTTCTTTCTGGAGGTTAGTGACAGCAGGCATGCAAAAGAATAGCCAAATTAATCAATATTGGACTCCCACTGTATGTTTCCCACATGTTTCCCAACCAGCATGGAAGCCTTCTACTACATTGCCCCTCTACGGACAGCAGACTGTTTTAGACGGTTGCATTTGGTGATTTGCGATGGTGTCTTGGTTTGCTTGCAACGTGTCTGCGGGTTCAGTCGCAGTTGCAGGGGCAAGCACCAAAGGGAAGCAGTCGTTGACCCTTCCAAAAAAGAAACCACACAAGGAATGGGTGCCTAGTTTCTGCAAGGGAAATTCAAGGGCATACGGGATTAGGCGGCCCTATTTTGTCGACAAGCCATGGGGAGTTGTCAAAACCCATTGACTGTTGGCTCTGGTAGAAGCACCTAGTAACACTGCAAAACAACAGTTTGGGCAGTTTGGGCACTGCTCATATGGCACCCTTAATCCAGCTCGGCAGAAGGGAAGGAGAAGTGGACAGTTGGTTGTTTTTTGGAATTCTTTCACCAAATTAAGCAGTAAGCTAGTAGGCAATAGCTTTTTGGGGGTATGCTGGCATGTTTGAAGACGCGCCAACAACCGTAAGGATATTGTAACATGAGCAATGGACAATGTTACCTGGGTATCAGTAGTGGTGGGTTTATGGGCATTGGTTTTTGGTGGCTGCCGGAATCTTGTAATATTGCAGGCTGCCCACGCATCTGGGCAATTTAAGCAATGCATGAATGAGCAGATTTTGGGCTCATGCATCTGCTCAAGTTGATATTCATGAAGGTCATGCAACTTAGGGAGTCCTCCTTTCCACTTTGCGAGTTCTAGCAATTTTGACCAGCTCATGATGAAGGGGCAATTTGCCCAGGTGTCGTAATCAACTTTTGCAAATGTAAGCATCCCACGTTTGAAGATTCACTCAAAGGCGCCTGCGTCCGCCCGCTCGGCGCTTTACGCCGCGCCAGAGAGTCAGCTTCACTCGCCTTGGATGGAGATGGGTCTCGGTCTCGCGCGTTGAAACAGGTGGCACTCGCCACGAAAGAACCTACTCTAGGGGTACTTCCCCATTCTTTCCAGGATCCTTCTTTGCAGGAAACCATCAAAAACCCAGGGGCAATAGCAGGTTTTTGAAAAGAACGATGGTTGAAAAGATGTCAAAGTCTTCTCTGATGACGATCCACCAAAATGGCAACGCAATTCAACGCAAGCTATGGTTGCATCTTGCCCACGGGCGCTTCACCTAGAACCTGGACCGTGGCTTTCCCAAAACGAGGGGGAACTGGGTGGGAATTTGGAGAACGGACTCCACGACCCCACTTTGGTTTTCCCTCAGTCTTTCCCCCAACGGTTGGTTGAGGTGTGCAGCTTGGGGATTTGAAGCCCTGACTCTTGAGGGCGAAAGAGCCACTAGCCTCCAAACAACCACTAGCCACCATCTGGAAGGAAGCTGAGTGTCTGAATCTGGGCTCCACAGAGATTTTTCGGTTTGCGTTTCATACCTGAAACAGACTTGAATCTGTCATGGTGTTCACCAACCCAAACCACCCATTGGGGGGGGGGGCGGGCGGTTGGGGTGGACGAAAACCGCCAAGTCGGAAACGCGCCAAGTTCCGAGGTGCGCCCGAGTACTTCATCAGCAGCGAGGCCACGCGGACCTTGCGCTTGCCCCCCGGCGTGAGGTTCTCGACCTGGCACATGTTGCTTCAATGGGCAGATGGAATCTCTGCTGGTCGTATTTTTCTACTGGGATGCTTGACTTGTCAAGTTAGGTGGTTAGCCTGGACCAGAATCCACTGATGACTGGGTGAACCCCACCATAAGCAGGTGACCTAGGTTACCACCAACTTACTAACTTGGCGAATCGAACACCTAAGTAGTCCTTCTCCAATTCCCAGGCACCTAGCCTTCATTTCAACTAGCGCTGGAAATGCCCAGACAGGTCCGGAGGTGGAGGCCTCTTGGCGTCTTGGGATTTCGCCAGCTGTTCTATCTCTCTCCCCCATGCACCTGAACCCTCAATATTCCCCATAGAAAAGGGATTTAACCAAGAAAGCTTCGGACAAGAAGCATTTATTCAAGGTGGTTTGAGGGTCCTGGCACATGTTTTATCTCTCTGACTGGTGAAGAGACTCGGGAGCGGGTTCGAGTTTGGTAGAAGGCTACGTATGGCTACGTACCTATTTGCCGCCTGTCAGGCAGGCAAGTTTTTGTGGAAGGGACATCTGGATTACGGATCGTCAAGCGGTGGTTTCAAGTTTACCTTCGGGGTCAACAGTAGGATTTTAGTGCCTCATGGCTTCCGGCAGACTTGGTTTGGCGGGCTGTCAGGCTGTGGCTAAAACCCGAAGCCATTTTGCCGTCCCGGCTTCAGGTTATGCGCAAAAGCCACTGCAACGTCATCTTGCCTCAATGGTTAGTGACGGGAACAAACGGCACTCTTTCATGTGGATTACTTTTGCAAAGAGCCCTGCTCTTGCAGAAGGGTTCTCCGGGTCTTTGCTCGGTTTTCTCAAGGTGCTTGAGCTGGGTAGTTGGAATTCTAAATGCTGGATATCAGAAGGGGCCCTCAACGACAGATTCTCCATGGCTATCGTCAAAATGAATGGGCTTTCTGTGCTTTCGGCGTTTGGCTTTTCCTTTTGGCCTCTTCTGGCTGCTGACAACGGGGGCCTTCCAAAGCACAGAGCTTCTAAACTTAGCTCCTGAGTTGATGGGCCAAAAAAGTCCAAACTGTTTGACACTAAAATGCTCTTCCCACAAAGTATAAAGTCCGTGGACTGAGGCAGTGAGCAAAAGGCAAACCACACGGCCGCCAACCACTAGTGAAGGAACATACCTTTTTTCCCCCTGGGGGGGCAACGGCTTACCTGCCGTTCGAACACAAACTTGCTCCGCCCCCGCAACAAAAACAACTCAAAAAAAATAGAAAAACTCTGGAGGTTTCAGTTGCGGTTCCAATTCTTATCTTTTCAGTCTTGCAAGTATTGTATAGACTTAAGTTCGTACCCCAGGTGAGCTCGAAAAAGGTTCCCTCCATTTGGACCCGCTTCAAACACCAAAGGGATACACAGGCGAACGCGAGTTGTGGTCCCTAGATACAGGTGATAAGGAGCTGCCTCCGTGCCTCCCAACACCAAAGGGAACCCACCTCAAACGGCCCAAACAGGTGATGTTAAAACCGGCACAAACATGGGCATGCGGTGTGTGTGTGTGTGTGTGTGTGTGTGTGTGTGTGTGTGTGTGTGTGTGTGTGTGTGTGTGTGTGTGTGTGTGTGTGTGTGTGTGTGTGTGTGTGTGTGTGTGTGTGTGTGTGTGTGTGTGTGTGTGTGTGTGTGTGCCTGTGTGTGCCTGTGTGTGTGTGTGCCTGTGTGTGTGCCTGTGTGTGTGCGTGTGCGTGTGCGTGTGCGTGTGCGTGTGCGTGTGCGCGTGCGCGTGCGCGTGCGCGTGCGCGTGCGTGTGCGTGTGCGTGTGCGTGTGCGTGTGCGTGTGCGTGTGCGTGTGCGTGTGCGTGTGCGTGTGCGTGCGTGTGCGTGTGCGTGTGCGTGTGCGTGTGCGTGTGCGTGTGCGTGTGCGTGTGCGTGTGCGTGTGCGTGTGCGTGTGCGTGTGCGTGTGCGTGTGCGTGTGGGTGTGCGTGTGGGTGGGTGTGGGTGTGGGTGTGGGTGTGTGTGGGTGTGGGTGTGGGTGTGTGTGTGTGTATGTCTGTTGTAATCCCTCAAAGTGAGGGCTTTGTACGGGTTCCCGGCCCGATCATAATCAAAAAGCATCCCAACTAGGAAACCATCAACAAACAAGAGTGTCACTCTGATGCTTCCCTCCAATTGATGGTTTGGATTTGGTGGTTCAACGGTTGGGGGCTGGTTTCCCATTTACCTCTACTCAGTTTGCCAAAAGGACCTGGACATCAAAGCTTTACCTTTTGGGGCCATACCTAATGGTCGCCAAAACCGGAAAAAACCAAGTGGAAAAAACCCGGTTGATTCGCTTTCCTTGCAACTGTGCAAGAACCAGGGCACCGATTCAAACCAGTCCAAACGGACCCCGGCGACATCCGCGAAACCGCGAGACCGCGCGACCTCCGCGCCTTCCGTTTCTTGGGCTCAGGGCCCTTGTCCGAGGCGCGCTCGCGCGCCTCTGTCTCCACTCCCACCTGCCGCTTCGAAGCTCGAAACGAGCTGGGCGTAGGATGGCGGAACGGTCCAGGAAAAGGGTCGCCAAATAACACATGTTTCCGTGCTTGAATTTAGAAGGGCAAAAAGAAACAAGGCGTTCACCCCAGACCGGTTGGAAGCCAGCTCTTAAAATGGTTGGTTTCCTCTTGCTTTTCAGTCAAGAATTGCCCAAGAATCTAGGATCTCCTTACCCTCCTGCCCACATACAGGAACCTAAATGGAGGCCCTGGGCTGAACAGAACCAACCTTGAGCACCTTCCGGCGGATGGGAGAATGAGATGGGTAAGCCACACTTATAGAAACAAATGGACGCCTGTTTAGTTGTCCGTTTCTAGGTCCCGAGCCTACAGAAAGAGATTTAGGTATCCACTTTCAATCAGAGAGAATTGCGGGTATTTCTTTCTTGGTGATTTAGAATGATTTCGACCCCCCAGAAGAAAACATACAACATGAAATTGCCTCCCCGTCCGCCGCGATCATCGAAAGTCCGAACTTCCAGACATCGCGCCTGCAGCGTCACCGCGATGACCCCCACCGCCTCCTCTGGTGCGCTCTTGCCCGCATCCGCGGCGATGCCTCACAGAGCGAGGGATTTTAAACAAAGCTGTTCTCTAGGGCCTCCTTTAGTATAGAGGTTTAAATAAGGGTTCCAGCTTTTTGCTGTAGTCTATTTTAGTAGGGGAACTCTCCCCGAAAAAAAAGTTGGTACCAGGGCACTGCTGAGGGACCTAGGTTCTTTATTACCATGCGCTTGCCGTTCTCCTTGTAGCTCCTTAGCTCCCTCTATATTCAGCAAATTTGGACACCCCCAGCTCCTCGGCTCCCTTCCAACCACCAGCTAGTTTACTGATCAGGTTTCTTGAGGTCAAACATCTAACATGTTGCCCAACTCACTGCGTCAGGCACCCTTTGAGGATGGCTTTCGAGGGGTACGAGGTCAAATCCTGCAAAGGTAACGGGTTGACTCACATTTGCACCTTTGAACCCTCATACCAAAGCTCGCCAGGCAGCTTCGCCGCCTGTAACTTAGACACCATCCCCCCTGCTTTCGTCACACCGGGTAAGGATTCAGGACCATTCGAAAGGCCTGAAAGGTAACCCCGTTCTTCCACTTGGGTGACCAAATGTAGCTTTGTCGTTTACCATTGTTGTACGTGATGGTTGTCCCTGGCTACCTCCAATAGTCTTGACTGGGCCCTGCCAAAAGTTTAACCTTTTTCGCGGGCCAGATGGACATCTCCGTTAAACCCTAAAAGTCTAAAAGCCTAAGGAAACGCACGGCTGAGAACCGCCAAGTTGACTGGAACTGGGCAAGCTGTTCGTTGCGAACGAGGTGCGCAAGGATGCAGCCTTGGGACGGCTGCCATGGACCTGGCCGGATGCGCCGGGCTCGGCGGATGCGCCGGGAAACCACCCGGGGCTTGAGTGGACAGCCGCACCCTAAGGCTCAACGATGAAAACGGGCTTCATATTTGTAACCTCTATTGGCTGCCTACGGATTGTCATGATCCAAAAGTGGGTCAACCATTCTTTTGATGGGGGGTGAACGGGTGAACCCTAGAACCCTAGAGCTCAGATTTTTGTTTGCCGGGATGTACAGGGCTTTTTGCGGCCGAGTATCGCTGCAGTGCTGAGGAAACCAAATCGCGGGGGGTGGGACCTACGATCGAAACCTACGGGCTGGTTCTACGAGAGGCCATACGATCGAACCCTGCTCCAAATGGCTTACGAAAAGAGACACAGGATCCGGCGAATGGGCTCCGGAGCGACTTGAGTGTTCCCAGGTCTCGAGAGAACCCCATTTAATGGCCGGCTTGATGCTCCTCAACCGTCAAATTGAGGGGCCCTAAGCAAATTCTCAACGGGTTCGTGCTTGCACCAAAGGATGCTCATGCGCGTATCATCCTTGTTGGAACCTATTTTCTTAAGAACAAAACCGCACCCAAAATAGACCCCCCAGGGTTCCAAACAAATTTGGGATCCAAGGGACCCCCGAAAACAGAAAAAAAACACACACACACACACACAACAAAAACAAAACGCCGACCCAAAACAGGATCCCCCCCCCCAAAAAAAAAAGGGGCTCATTCCCTGCCCCTCCCGCCCTCCAACCAGCTGCCGGAACTCAAGGGTCATCACCTGTTGGGGAAGCCCAAAAAACAACAAAGAAACCCCCCAAAGTGGTCGTTTCAGGTCGCTCCGCTGTACCAAAGCTACCCAACATAGGAGCAAACCAAAAGTGGTCAACACCCCGGTCGCTTCGCTTTGAACAAAGCTGCGCCCACCCCCCCCCCAAAAAAAAAAAAAAACGAAGCCACCGCCATCCATCAGCGGCTCACCCATGTGTCCTTTTGGGAAAATGGATGGCCCTGGTCAATGGAATAAAACCCAACCTAAACCAGTGCCATCTATTCACCTAAAAAGGACACCTCGCTTTAGCCAACAAAATCACCCAACAAACCACCTAAAAGCCAAAGGCGCAACCCAAACCCGAAGCCGCCGCCCGCCAGCAGCGGCAGCGCCTCAGCGAGCTGGGCCAGGCGAACCTCGTCCAATCCGCGGGCCCCGTCCGTGAGCAGCGCCAGGAAGTGGAGCCCGTCCTGGAGAACGCGAGACGCGTTTGCGCGTTTTCGCCCCATTGGACCTCCATTTGCTTCAGTCCGATCCAGCGGAGAAAAAACAACGCCAAAAAAAAAACATCGGTGAATGGGAGTCGTCACCTACCAACTGCCGTATTGGGGTTCTTCCATTTGCCTAAGCCCCCTGGAAAAAAAAACATCCAGTAAAAGTGAATCACTTGTGGTGGGTTTTTAATGGAAAGTCCCAACACGTTTCCCAGAAAATGCACCATCAACACCAGAAAAAGACTCATCTTCTTCAGCAAAAAAAACAACACACGAAACAAGTTAACTTGTCTCAAGATCCGACCCAAGAGCAGTCAAGAAATCTCCGCCACCATCAGTGGTCTTTTTGAGAGCATAGATGGCCCTGGTGTTTGATTGAACCGCCAGGCTAAGATGGAAGCTCCCAGGACCACTTTGGTCATGGCTCCATGTGTGGAAGCCTTCTGGGAGCTTCCTTCTGAGGGAGTGTACCGAAAGCACCCCAAGAAAAGGCTCTTTCCCTCAGTTCCACGGCAACGGTCCGGAGAAAGCTAAAAAAAAAAACGTGAGCACCACAAAAAACCGTCTTTCTTCCGTGGGTGGACCACCAATTCACCTCGCAGCCCCTTGGGCGCCGCTTCTCTCCCGTCGAGCCGGCGGCCTCGAGCTGCAACACCTCCGAGGCCAGCTCCAGCCCCACCAGCGGCCTCCCAAAAAAGGGCCCCCAACCCCGGGAGACGCCGAGGGTGAAGACCCCGGCGATATATCCAGCGGCTTTTGATAATATATATATATATACATGTATATAACATATAAATATATGTGTGATTCACAAACCGAAATCATAGCAACTCCATAGTTTTCTTTTTGTTGAATCAAAAAACGAAGAAAAGAAGAAACATACAAACACGAGTGGCAACCTCAATTGTGAAATCAGTCTCTGGGACCCTTCCGGAACCCGACAAGGCCAAGAAAGACGCCGCGAACCAGTCCGAAGCCTATCTGGGCAGAGACCCCACAGCTGCCAGCCGTTGAACCGTTGCACAAAAAAAGAAAGGACTCTGCCTGTATTTGTTTCCCATGAATAAAAAATCCCAATTACTGCCCAACATATACAAGAAGTGGTTGGGACTCGAGTGTTGGCAAAAAAACAGAGGCCGCTTTGTAGCCCAAACCACACCAAAACTCAGGGACTTCAGACGTTCCGCCCAAAAACAGGGAACAGAGCCTCCAAACAGCGGAAACCACTGTGGGTCTCTTTTTTGGGGGGCACCCCTAAATAGCGAAAACCACCTTTCTGTTCAAACCACAAACAAAACACCGACCCCCTCCGCAAGGCTCGACGGAAAACATTGAATCGGCACCTCTGGCGCTTGAGGTCGCGAAAGCCCAGGGCGCGGGTGACCCCCACCGCTTTCTCCGTCCTCCGATCTCTCCCATTCCATGTGGGCATGTGGCGTTTCTGTGGTGCTTAAAGGGAAAGCACGGGGGAAACCATCATTTTGTTGGGGAAACCATCATTGCGGGGTCTGAAAAACCACGATCCACCAAAAGGAGATTCTTCGAAAATGGCGAGTCTGCAGGAGGGTGAGGTGCCTCCTCTGGGCTATCTGATAAATCGCAGGAGTCATGGCTGTCACTGAACAAAAAAACGGGGGAAACATGTCCATGGCAGTGGGAAACTACTTTAAATGTGTGATGCCAAAGCTTGCCATTGAATTCTTCTGGCCTGTAAGACCACCGCAAAAATGGTTGGCGAACAAAACAATTTCCGTCCCTGGAAGACCAGGTCCCGCTCACAGAAAGCTTGTGTCCTTCAAATTGATGTGGTTTACAAATGGGAAAGCTAGGAAGACAATGATGGTCCCCCTATTGGAGACAAACCCGTGCGAATGCGCAAGATGTCCCTGGGTCCATGTTCATGCGCAGGGGAAAACATGTGTGCATGTGTCTGTGTGTGCAAATTTGGTTTAAAGGCAAACCAAAGGCCTGCCCATGTTGGTGGTTCCCCCAATCTTGACGTAAACCCACCGAGAAGGCGAGTCTCCCTTTGGATTCCCTTTAGACGAAACAAAGCAAAAAGGGTCACCCACCCCCCACCCACCCAAAAGACAAAGAGAAAAGAAAGAACGAATCACAAACAAACAACCCATTTGATCCGCGCCCTGGCTTTTAAATGATTTTTATTACAAATTTCTCAGGAACAGGAGCAACGGGTCACTTTACGGGCATACTGGGGTCTGTAGTTTTGAAGGGGTGTGAGGGGTGCTTACATTTCCCTTTTCACACCCCATCCTAAGCAAACTCACTTTATGAAGGGCCAACAACACACTTTACACACTGCCGCCAAAACACGGAAGGCTGGGAAGCCTGGGAAGTATATGGAACCCCGGTGCCCAAAAGGACAATTAATTGGCCAAATAATTCCTATAATTTTGAGACCAGAAAATCATACTCTCACATTCAATTTCATCATAAGCCAACCCAACATATTAAATAACTTCAGAGAAAACCCCAGTCAAAGCAGTCAACATCTTCACTTTGTTCACCCTTCCTCCCACTAACATAGCATTTCTGGGAGGGTACCTGGGTCTGGGTCAAAACTAAACCACCAGAAAACCGCAGGTTTTGGTCCATGTTTCCACTTACCACGGCCCACGGCAACCTATTTGGGGCACCTATGTTTGACCCACAGCCACCTGGAGGGAGCCTCTGGGTGCCAGGTTCGTGGAAGTCAAAATCTAAGTCGTACTTCTAGTGAACATCCCAACCCCCACTAAAACAAAGCCTAAAACAGGTGGCGCACCTACCGACCAAAATGCGTGGTGCACCTACCAACCAAAACGGGATCCCACGGGTTTATGGTTTTGACCCACAGCCATATGCTCACTTGCCCAGTTCGGACCCAGAAATAAAAGGTGATCACCTTCTGGGGCCATGACCAAAACTGGACACCCACCAGGCGGCCCGCGTCTGCTTCCGAGGAGCGGCACCCACCAGGCGCCCGACTTGGCCGCAGCCTCCGCCAGCTCCGCCAAGATCCGCAGGCCGCGCTGCGCGTGGCTGGGGCCTGGGTCTCGAGCTCGACGCTCGGACGCTTGGGCCCGGAAAAGCGCGCCAAGCCCAGGCTCCGTTTGCTGGGACCTAGAGTGTTCCCACCTGTTGCCCTGAGTTGGTCCATATGTAAGGTATTCTTTGGGTGCCATCAGCTTGGACTCTTGCTTTCGTCATGCTTAGTTGAGCTACCAAAACTAAGTCCTCCAGTGGAGAGGGTAGAATAAGGGTACCCCTTTTTTCCGAAATCTCAAAGAGGGACTGTTCAAAACCTTGGCTTCTGCAACGACCCCTCTGCAAAAAGTGAATCACGTTTTGTGATTTTAGTGGACAACCCCTTGATTTTCCAAAAAGTTAAAATCTAAAGATCCAACCTAATAGCAGTCAAGAACCCATGCTTCCATTTTCCATGCTTCCATTTGCTGGGTCCTCCGGTAGAGAGGGTAAGGGTACCAACTTTTGTCTGTTTCTATTCCAGTAGGGGAGCCCTTCCCCGAAAATGGGTAGAGAAAGGGCACTTCTGGGGGACCTAGTTTGTGTGTTCGCCCCCACTGGAAAGTAACAGAAATATATGTCCAGTAGTGAAATCGATTCCCTTTAAAACCCATAAGGGAAATTACAAGATATTCTTAAGCAAATGCAAGCAGGGTACCGATGAAGCCATGTGTTCCAGGTACATTCAGCTTGCTCCGTGTGCAAACTCGAAGATGTGTGTTCAAAATTGGGAAAAAAACAGGATTGAATGGTACAAGTTGTTGAACATCATGAGGCAACAACGAATTCACCCAAAAGCATTATTTAATGGAATTTGTGTTGGCAAAGTTCAGGGGAAAAAAACCCAGGAAGAATGGGACAAGTCGAGAATACTGTTCCCCTTTTGGAGTCGCTTGTGCAAATAAAACAAACCATGACCAAAAAGAAACTCATCTTCTGGCCCAACAGGCGATGTTGAAACCAAAGGGGAATGTCCCAAAGCGGGTTTGACTCCATGTCTTACGAGACCCCTCTGCAAAAAGTGGATCACTCATGATAACTCTGTGGGTTCAATTTGAAAAACCCCATGATTTCCACATCTACCTATTGGCAGCCCCCCCCCCCCCGTGTTGTACATTTTCCGCCTCAGGAAAAGTGGCCTCCGCAAAGTGGCCAAGATTTCCCCAACAAGGTACTATCAACACCAAACTAGGTCCTCCAGTAGAGAAGTAGAGAGGTTAGAATAAGGGTACCCTTTTTTTCTGTAGTCTATTTGAGCAGGGGAACCCTAGCTGGGGGACCTAGCCAAAGAAAGGACTCGTCTTCCTCCGCCAATTTCCCCCGCCCGTTGAACGCCGCGCCGCTCACCGCCGCCAGCTGCGTCATCAGCGCCCGGTACCGGCGGTCGATGCCCGCCTGCGCCGCCGCCTCCCCGCAGCCCGGCTCTACGCCTCGGATGTGTCGAACGAAACGGAGGCGACGGGTTCCATTTGCGTCTTCGTTCCATTTTAGTGGGGTTCCTAGGATTTTGAGTGGGGTTCATTTATATGTTGCTTTTTTTGTTTGGTCATCATTTCCGGAGAGGAACACCTCCCTATTAATACTGTGGATGGACAAAATCCTGCACCACCGAAGAAGCCTTGCAATCATGACTCCACCGTAAACTTCCACAAACAATTGTTTTTCATGGGTTCAAAGTGGTGAAGGATTTCGTCCATCCACAGTATGTTACCAGGAGAAGATGGGTTCCCTGAAATTTACATAAGTAGAAAAGAGACTCCCTGAAAAATACATGCTTACAGCGAGGAAAGAAACCAAGCCATCCCCCCAGAACCATGCAGGATCTTGGAACCATTCTGGAAGGGGGGTCAGATCGAAGGGTGCTTGAAAACCATTCGTGTCATTGTCTGTGAATAAATGGGGCAACGCGTAAATCAACAAATCAGATGTGGGCATGTCCGAAGGCAGCGTCTTGTGGACGGTGCGTTGGAGGAAACAGGAAAAATAACGAAGGCACAAGGTTGCCTGCCCGAACTTGGGTGCTTCTCAAAATAAGTTGGGGGAATTCTACGCATGGTGCCCTTTTGGTTTCCCTTTATATACAGACCCTGACCTCACTTCCTGAGACTAGCCAAAACAAGCCACCAAACTGCCTGTATGCCACTAATATGGTCACCAACCCCCTTTCAATGGTTTAAAAAGTCCGAAACGGAACTCAGGGAGTGAGGCCCTTTCAGCCGAACAGCCGCAGAGAGGAGATAGGAGGGGAGAGGAGCGAAGAGGGAGGCTCCTCTGTCCACTTCCGCTGGCAGCCTTTGCAATGGGCTGCCCTCAGATCCCCCGCTGAAAGTGACCAACTTTTAGTGGGTTAAATGGAAACTGCCACTAAACACCAAAAGCTAAGAGGCTAAGGAACCGGGATGGCTGGCCACCAAGAAGCATCTTCACCCAGCTGTTTCCCTAGACGTCCTAGGGCGGTGACAAAAAATCAGGCACAGGCGCCCAGGAGGGCGGCGGCACGCTTTGGTGTCACGATGCCGTCCTCCTCGTCCACCAGGTAGTACCTGGGTTGGGGGATTGGGTTTCGGGGGTTTGGGGGGTTTGGGGGGTTTGGGGGGGGGGTTTGGGGAAGTTTTGGGGAGGTTGTTGCGGGGTTGGTTGGGGGGCCCTCCAAATGGGGCCTGGTGAGATTTGTTGGCTTGGGGGTGGGTTTCGACCCAAAGTGCCACGTTGGTTGGCAAATTGGCGTTCACAACGCGATTTCGGTCATACAAAAGAGCAGTCAAGGTGCAACTCTGCCAGGATCTGCGTCACGTAGGCGTCCATGCCTGAGGTGAGCGAAACAGTTGTTTCTTGGGGTTGAGTCCCAACATGGGGACCTTGGCCTTTTGTTTGGATGGCCTTTGGAAGGAACACCCACCGCTTTGGGGAAACAGCTATTATAGTATGAATGACTCATTGTTCATTCTGTTCAAAAGATCGTTGTGTTCAAAAGCCAGCTGTTCTCTCTGGGTGTTTGGCGGTGTTTCGGAAAGAAGGATCCCTGACAAAAAGGGGGGCCTAGCTCGATAATCTAAAAGAAACCCAGGTGGAACATGTTCAACAGAAAAGGGCAAAGCAACAAGGGCAATGCAACAAGGGCAAAGCAGCAAGCAAGCAAGCAAGCAAGCAAAGCAAAGCAAAGCAAAGCAAAGCAAAGCAAAGCAAAGCAAAGCAAAGCAAAGCAAAGCAAAGCAAAGCAAAGCAAAGCAAAGCAAGCAAGCAATAAAACCAAACAAAAGGGGGGTATAGAGTGCGGGGTGTTCTGTTTGCCCAGGGCTCGTTTTTCCCAGCGCTTGGTTTTTCGCATCGCAGGCCTACCAAAAAACACACATCATTCCAAAACGGGGGACGCCATGGGATCCGCATTCCATGGGAATGCAACGGTGTCGATCCGAAACGGAGCACGCGGAGAGGACAAGGCACTCATGAAGGACTCCACTTCCGCCGCTGCCTCCCGCACCTCATGTGCGAGCGAGCGAGGTCGCGGCCTTCTTCTCAACCGGGTGCTGAGAAATAGAAGGTTCCAGCAGTACCCTCCCCGTTCTCTTCGGACATTATCTTCAAAGAAAGGGCCAAAACCCCGGGAAAATGGATGGTTTCGGAATCAAACCTTCGAAAGGTGGTCATCCCCCCCCTACCTTAAGGGGGAGCCTGGTGGGGGGTCCGGGGCGCTCAATTCCCCATAGATAAAATTGGAATTGCCAAAATGGAGATCTCCAGGGGCCGAAACCCCTCAACAAATTCCATGTTCAAGGGATGGTGATCACATGCTGGGGTCATGACTAAAAGCGGTCAACCGCTTTGGGGTTTAAAACTCTAGGTCAAAACTTGCTATTCCAATAGCTCAACCAGTCCATTCTTCCCCTGGGAGTCTGACTTTTGACAACCTACGGCCCTGCAAATTAACGGAAGGACTGACCAAAAGGGGCCCCTCAAACTCACTGTCTGACTGTGGCCAAACACTTGGAATCTTTCAGCATTTCACCCCGGACAAGAGCCCAAGCGTAAAGTCCAATGACTGGGGAAGTGAGAACTGATGTTCCTGCAAAATGAATTAGATGGCGAGCAAGGGGTGTCTTTAGAGGTAACTGGGATCCACTGGTTTAGTTTGCAAGAAAGAACATTTTAGGATAGGGGCGATCTGGCACCTCCGATCTGCGGGAAGCGAGTGGGCTAAGAGGGTACCAGGACCCAACACCCATTACAATTTTCCAAGTCATCCAACCACAAAGCAGCGTTCAATCCCAACCTCCCCGCTGGGGCAGCCGCCACAACGGGGCTCGGAGTCGGAATTCCGGGCCAACAAATCCACCGGTCCCAGACTCCGATCTCTGCAACAAGTGGGCTAGAAGGAAAAGTGAAGGGAGCCCAAAAGGGCAAAAAGAAGGAGGAGTAAAAATTCGGCTGTCCTCAAATCCCCTGCTAAAAGCTTAACGTTTAGTGGGTGAAATGGAAACCCCCACCCCACCAACTAAAAACAACTAAAAACCTAAAGAGCCGGACGACTCGCTGGGAACCACCGAGAAAATTGATGGCTCAGCGCAATGCCCAGGCCATTGTAAAGGAACCTGCGACGGCCCTCAAACGAAGCCAGGCGGCTCTGGCAAGTGCATTCTCTGCACGCTCGCGGAGATGATCCTGCGCTCGAATCCCTACATGAGGCCTTCCTGGCTGGTTGGGTCTGTCTTTTGTTGAGTTGGTACCCCCTTTTTCGTTATTTTCAACAGCAACCAACAAGGAAAACCACAATTTGGAATTGAGGGGGGCTTAAAAAAAAGAAAGACGCACCCATTTGCCAACCAAGCGATATTCTTGAACATTGTGGTGAGTGTGTCAACAGCCGGGACCAGGGAGTTGAGGGAGACAAAGATATATATATATATATATATGTATATATACGTGTGTGTGTAGAAAGGCCATAACTAGGATAAGGTTGAGTACTCTAAACTGTATCCAATCCATTTTTTTTCTAGAATGAAGCCACTGGAAAGGGGAGCAGTTCCTTGGGTAACCCAAGGTAAGGATTCAGGACTACCATTTGAACCCAGCTAAACCCAAAGTTAATCATATTGGAGGAGAATGGGACCAAGGACTAAAACCTGCGGACCACATCCTGGCTGAATTCTGAACTATACTGAAACCCCCCCCAACACCCCCCCCAGCACCCGCCATGAGAGGGAAGAGTATGTATAATGTGCCGGGGGCCCTCTCTGTCTGGGCATCAACGTCACACTGAGGGCTGGCTTTCAGGCAGATCTGGTAGGAATTGATTTCATAAAATTGCAAAATAGTCTGAGCAATTTGCTTCCAGGGAATTTGGTAGGATAAAGAAAATACTCTCTAAAATCACAAATTTTACAAGTTCTAGTCTGAGAAATTGGCTTCCAGTGGAATTTGGTAGGAATTGAATTGCGAATTTAGTAAAATAATTTGTAAAATGTGTAAGGTAAAGAAAATATTCTGGTCCAAAATCACAAATATTACAAATTCTAGTCTGAGAAATTGGCTTCCAGTGGAATTTGGTAGGAATTAAATTACATTTTTTTACAAAATTTCCAAATTTTACAAATTAGTTTGCAACAAAATCTGGTCCAACATTACAAATATTACAAATTCTAGTCTGAGGAATTGGCTCCCAGGGGAATTTGGTAGGAATGAAATTACAAACCTTACAAAGTTTACAAGTTTTACAAGTTATTTTGTAAAAATTAAAAAAATCTGGTCCAAAATTACACATTATACAAATTTACAAACTAATTTGTAAAAAATGTAAAATTTGTAATATAATTCCCACCAAATTCCCCTGGAAGCCAACTTCTCAGACTAGAATTTGTAAAATTTGTCAAATTTGTAAAATTTGTGATTTTGGAGAAGATTTTTGATAAACTTTGCAATTTAATTCCTACCAAATTCGCCTGGAAGCCAATTTCTCAGACTGGAATTCGTAAAATTTAGAAATGTTTAATCTAATTCCTACCAAATTCCCCTGGAAGCCAATTTCTTAGACTAGAATTTGTAAAATTTGATATTTTGGACCAGATGTTTTTGAAATTTTGGAATTTTAACAAATTAATTTGTAAAATCTGGCAATTTCACTTTTTACACATGCACCTGCGAAATTTGTGAAATGTTTAAGTTTAAACCATATTTGTTGGAATTTGGCATGGTTCAGAAACTAATCTGCTAAATGTGTATAACTTGTAATTTTAACTCCAGCCAAATAACCCCGGAAAGCAAATTCCCCAGAATAAGTTTCAATATCAGAAAACATCCGATCTAGAATTACAAACTGGATTTGAACAAACATTGCTCGGGGGTTGCAAAAATTACACAAGCTACTTTGTAAACAGTCTGTCCAGAATTACAAAATTTACAAGTAAAGGTGTTAACATTGTAAACTTGATAAAACTTGATCACCGTCCTTCCCTTAACGGCTTTTTGGGGTCAAGTTTGTTTTCATTTTGAATCGGTTGAAGTTTGGTAAGGAAAGGGGGAGGAAAGCATACTATCTTTTCATTTGGAATCTCTCTTTTCTGCTATTTTCATGTATTTGCTTTTCTTTTCGAATTCATACTCCTTTCTTAATCTCTCACCCTCTCCCCTGTCCATTTCTTCCTACAATCAACTCAATAACTAGGATGGAAAGACAGGGGTAAAGCAATAAACATAAGATCGGTAAAGGAGAGGGGACATCTTCTGTAACACGCTTCTTTTGGATTACTTTCATATCACACATACCTGATGAAGAAAGAGATGGAGAACTCTGCGCAAAGAGAAAGACATGGAAAAAGCTGCTGGCATTGTTGGGGTGGAGTGATACGTCCTTTCCGTCAAGCTTCAGTTGTATCTCAGAGATTTATCGCATACCAGGTTAGACCAAGCGATGAAGGTAAGGGAAAGGTATGACAGATCATCATTGTAATATACTTGTTGAATCGGGAGGAAGGTATAAGAAAATCTTCCGCCCAGCCCAGACATCACGCAGAATGAAACCAGATAGCCTGTCCGTGAGACTTGGAGGATATGATGATTGAAGATTCCCTCACTATCCCTTTCCAGCCTGTCTTTGGGGCCTCTTCCAAATCATTGCCTGCTTCCTCTTGTCCATCCATCCTCATCCTTTATTTGCATTTATGGATGGGTAAGAAGTGACGAAAGCATTTGCAGGTAGTAGTAACTACGGTACAAAACGTTCTTTTCAAAATCCTGTTTTACACAAGCTAACGTAATTCAAAAACAAAAACCATAAAACATTGCGCGAGACAGTTATGACAAAGCTAAAGATAATTATGGGTGGTGATTACAAAAGCTATCGAATTTATTACGTGCTAATATATGCTTCTAATCTGAATACCACACTTACATTCCTCGCTCTTTTCTAACTATTTTATTATTCTCTTCTTGAGATTCATTACGCTCTTTTTTGTGAATGCTTTTGGCTGTCCGGTCGTCTCTGGGGCTCACTGAAAGGAAAAAGGTTATGAGTGCTTTTGGCTGTCCGGTTGTCTCTGGGGCTCACCGAAAGGAAACAGATTATGAGTAGGTCTTACTCATATTATTTTGCTTGTGTTTTACTATCTTTTGGACCTTTCATCCTTCACCTTTTTCTGTTTCCCTTTTCAACCCTTGAAGAATGCCAGGAATCGAGCGGTGAAGGAAGGAGGGAGAAGCTAGCCCCCCATTCCTTCTTCTCCAACTGTATCGCTAGTGGGGAGAAGATAGGAAGGAGATGAACCGTTCCATCTTTACCTTTCCCTTCCCCGCTCCATGCATACGTTCTGGAGTTCGGTCACTACGAAAGACTCACGATGGAACAGTCTAAAAGTGGGACGAAGGAAGGGATATTGGCTTTATGTTTGGTTTACTTGTAAAAAGAAAGCCACTTTCCACAACCCGCTTCTTTCTGTAAAACACCGATGGAAGATGACCTTTCCTTTCCCGGCCTAGCCAACGCTTGTCATTTTCCTTGCCTTGTCTTTTACATTGCCATTCTTTGAGACACCTGAGACACCTGAGACACCCACTAAACCACGAACAGAATCAGGCGTGTCTCAAGCTGTCTCATCTCGTTGCTATCCAGTCACAAGCCAACCAACGGAGATTTGAGACAGCTGAGACACGCCTGAGACAGTTCTGTTCGTGGTTTCTCAGTTGTGTCAGGCGTCTCACCCCCTTATCTCCGGTCAGGTCCCCCCATCTTCGGCTGGCTGTGGTCTGCCCAAACAATCATAGGGATGGGCTTCGGCCCACCCAAAAACCGGAGAACAAATGCACCCGTTGGGCGAGCTAGTATCAAAAGGCGTTGGGCGAGCCAGTATCAAAAGGCGTCGGGCGAGCCAGTATCAAAAGGCGTTGGGCGAGCCAGCGAGCCAGTATCAAAAAGCTTTGGGCGAGCCAGCCAGTATCAAAAGGCGTTGGGCGAGCCAGTCTCAATCCCCGTCGGGCGCCACTTACCCAGTGGGTCTCCTCCACTTTCACAGTGGGGTTTCTCCACTTTCACAGTGGGTCTCCTCCACTTTCGCAGTGGGGTTTTCTCCACTTTCACAGTGGGTCCCTGCCACTTGTACAGTGGCCGGCCGCCACTTACAGAGTGGCCCCTGCCCAACACACGACAACGCCCCATCCGGTGCTCCGTCAGCTCTTTTGCTGTCGCCTGCGATGCGGGTGGTTGATGCCTCTCAGATGGCCACCTGACAGAGGGACAACGATTGCATGTCATGTGAGCGCGCAATAAAAACGCGCCTCAAGTCGATCAAGATCACTGCTGCAAAATCGAGGGCCCTGACGCAGGCGCGGGGAACGCAAAGGCAACTTGGGATGCGACCGGCCTGCCCGTGAAAGAAAGAAAGGCGAGTCCTCGGCGCGTTCAAAAAGTGCGCGTGCCGACACTCGAAAAAACGAGCATCCGACAGCATCTCACTTCTCCTTTCGCGCCTTCTTCGGTGCGTTCGCCTGCCAAAAAAAACTGCCTGAACCCTCGTGGATCACGAACGCGCCTTGTCAAGCTCCTTCTCCATCTCCTTGACTTTGTAGACCAACTCAGTGTTGCGGGAAGTCAACTGAGCGTTGAGGGCCTGCGCCTTGCCCAGCTCGTCGCCGAAAGCGGCAAGTTTCATCTCGAGCTCATGCACCCTGGTGCCCTCGTTCTTGACCTTTTCCTCGAGAGCTCCCATCTTTCGAGCCTGGCAACAACAATGCAGAAAAAACTGACGTGAAAAAAAAGACCCATCAAACATGCAACGAAAGCTGCAAGGCCTGCTCCAACCTCATCCACACGCTTCTGATTGGTCTCTTGCCTCTTCTCGACCGCGCCTGTAGTCGGCCATGAGCGGTACCGGAAAAGCATCATACACACTGGCCTTGGAGCACGCCAGTGATCGTCCCGCCATTGCCCAGATGATGACATGGCGCGCCGGAAATCAATGCAACATGCATCTGCCGCCTGAACTTCGCCGGCCTGTGCATGCCACCTGCTTGCACCTGCCACCTACCCGGACTTGCCCACTGCACTTGAGGCTGTGAGCCTTGTGGCGAAACAAACGTCGACAAGTCAACCCATTTTAGTTCATTTCCTTCGGGATTGGGACGCTCACTGGAGGTAGGGAATTTTGAGCCATGCTCAAAGAAAAATCAAGGAAAATCATGCAAAACGAGCTCTTCTTCCAGCCGTCGATGCGCCGACGGCCTGGAAGATGGTTCCAAAACACGCAAAAATCGCGCAAAAAAAGAGCTATTCCTCCAGGCCGTCGCTGGAGCTACAGCCTGCGGGAATACGATTTGGGAAGCAAAAAGCCTCTGAGAGGCGCAAGCCGAGGAAAAATGCAAAATCCTGCAAAAAACCACATCCCCCAGCATCACGGCGCTGCGCCGACCAAAAAAATGGTCCCGTAAAAAAAGAATGCCGACTTGGGCAAGACAACGACAACAAATTTCGGAGGACGCGGACGGCGGCGCCAGGGGGCGGATGGAGCCGTCGTGCTGAACTTACGGCGCGGTCCGGGGGCCTACGCGCTGCTCTCGCGAGCGGACGGGCAGTTGACCCGCGCGGGGCAGCACTACTACTCGCACCTGGGCCTGCGCCCCCCCAGCACGGACTTCGACTGCAACCAGCCGCTGATCCGGGAGGAGGGCCCGAACGACTGCATCCTGCTGCGCAACGGGCAGAAGAAGCTCGTGCGCGCGTAAAGTGGGAAAGATATGGACGTGATAGATAGGAGGACACCATGATTTGTTTCCATTAATATTACTTCACGAAGGTATACCGCGCGCTTTTATCACACTCTCTCACAACCAAAGAAAGGATGTTCATCTGGTTTTCATCATCCCTCACCCTCTTTTCTATTACTACAAACTAGCTGGTTCTGATTGACGGTGAGGCATGCCAAGACATTCCATTCCTTTCTACTCTTGGGATTGCGGAAAAAAAAAAGAGTCCATGTGCAACGATGAGCCGTTGTGCTCTTGAAGGCGCGCGGCGGCACATTGTACGTAATCTTCCCTGCCACACCCCCGCCCCCACACATTCCCCACCTTATCCCCACCCCCACCCCCGTCCCCACCCCCACCACCCCCACCCCCCCACCCCACCCCCCACCCCACACCCCCACCCCACCCCCCACCCCACACCCCACCCCACCCCCACCCCACCCCCCACCACACACACACACACACACACACACACACACACACACACACACACACACACACACACACACACACACACACACACACACACACACACACACACCAACCCACACACACACACACCCTAACACCCACCCTGGACAGGGATCCTTACATTATACAGCTGAACATTGCCTTGTTCATGGGGTTGCCCTTTATTTTGGTGTTGAAAAAGCCGTGTTTCAAATGGTTGCGAAATGTATCTTTTAAGGAGCCCTGAGTAGGAACCACCCCTAGAACCACCCCCTTGAGCCCTACTTTTCCCCAAGGAACCCACCCCTTGGAGTAGGAACCACCCCTGGAACCAGCAACCACCCCTAGAACCACCCCCAGGTGTCCCCACGAATCGCCTCTTCCCCCACGAAAACCAGCGCCTGCGCCAGACAGGGCTGCAGCTGCTCCTCACACTCCGCCAGCGCCCGCGGCACCACCGGCACCCCGCCCTGCGCAGCGACGAGCAACGGGGGGGGGAGCTGCGAAAGGGGGGGGGGATAAAGATGAATCTCAAACTGGCTGGCTCACATGAAGGGTGTGCAGACTGGATTTGAAGAATAGCAAACTGGCGCACATCAGGGTGTTTCAGCTGGCAACAAAAAGAGGCAATTCCAATCGCCACTTGCTGTTCAAAGGGGTCTATTGAAAGCCTGTTCATTGTAGGGGAAGTCCTATGACTTAAGTCTGGTCCTATGGTGACTCCCCTTCGCTGGGTTTACATGGGTTGCCCAAAAAGGGCCCAGAAAGGGAGGTTCCTCAGAAAAGTTTGCTCCTTTATAGGTTCCACCTTAGTTTTCGGGGGAGCCACCTTCTTGTTTTTCGCCGTCTGCAAAATCAACTCGAAGTGTCATGACACCGGGGAGGGGGGGTGGTACAGCGGCAAAGCCGGTGTCGATTTCCTGCAACCAGTTGCAACCAGCGGCCCGAGTGGATTCCAACTGGAAAAGGAATGTACACGGCGGCCGACAGCTTTGGAAACCCGGGAGACAGGTTGGACACGTGAAGTGAAGCAGGGCCTGTGGCATCACAGCCTGACATCATATGGCCATGGGTCAAAACCCCGGTTACCCCCCGGTGTAGAAATGACTACAATGGGTGGTGCACCTACCCCAAAATGATTGGTTTTGACAACCACAGCTATATCATCCCAGGCTGCTGAATTTTAAGACCATTATGTCCCAATCTGCAGCTTTGGGACAAGAAACAGGCAGAAACTGGGGCAGCATGGAAAGCCGGTCAGACAAACAGTGATATTTCAAAAACCATTCGGGATTCAGTTTGAAGCTGTCTGGGAAAGAACTGGCCGTTGTGAACAACCCCTCAAATCCAACTGGAAGTCATGCAGGCTTCCTACACATGACTTTCTATTCATGAAAGCAACGCACCGAAATCGAACAAAAACAAGGGCAGCCTTCACGGATTGCAGCTGAAGCTAGTCTTGACACATTCCTAAGCAAATCGGTGGCTACAGATAACAACTAGGATCCTTGCCCTACACCGCGAACCAACATGGAAAGGGAGCTGCACAAGGTTCTTCCAAGCATGATGCCTAGGCTTGTTGTTCCATGTGAATATCTGCAGGGAGTCAACTTTAGCATGCCAAGCCAAGCCGTGCGATTTGGCTTGCTAAGCAAAGGCTTGGGCCCTACACAAGAAGCCAAACTGCAACTGCGCTATCCAAAAATAGGGATCTGAATCTTTAATCCCACGAGTTCAGCCGCTACCCTCTGTCACAAGGATCAGGGATCAACATCTGTCTGGCGCTTACCCACGCTCACACCTTGGGCGAGCCACGGGCTCTAACAAACTGGATCCTTTCGGAGGTTACACGCATGATTGTCCCTGGAACCCAGTTTGCTGGATCTTCCCGGAGGACAACCTTTTCTGGGTCCAGTGGGAAAGCCATTTGGGTGTGTCTTCTTTGAGGGTACCAATTGTTTGGTGGTTTTCAAGGAAAACCAGCAGGAAAACCGCCAATTGGGGACAGGCCCCATAAATGGGGGGCGAGTCTGTCGCATCAAAGACCGAACCTCCCGCCTGCAGGTTTGCGACAGAAAGCCTCACTCGCGGATACACCAGGACCGTTGATGTTGTTTACCCAGGGAGGTTAACATGGGTTGCTTCTAAATAGGGAACTCCGCAAAATTCGTGATTTAGTGTTGGTTTTCCGGGTCCATTCAAACCAACCCCAAAAAGGTAAGACACGCAAATCCAAACAGACCACCCACATGGGTTGTCTGTTAAGGGGATTCCCCATGTGCACAGTCATCTGATCGCTCGGCTGGTTCCATGTCCAAGGGGAATAATGGAGCTTTGCTCTGGCAAGTAGCCCTCTTCTTGGCTTCTGTTGACTCTGCAAAAAGCTTCACTGTGTGTGAGTTTAGTGGTAAACCGCTTGATTTTCCAAAAAGTTAAAGTCTAAAGATCCAACCCAATAGCAGTCAAGTCTTTGTCTAACTTCCTGAGTGGATTGGCCAACGTCCAAAAGCACCTGGCCAATCCATGACGGCACACAGTCGAGACAAATGCGCTGCAGACGGTCAATCACTACATGGAACATCCATTTTGGGTGTGTAAAGATACCCCACATATACATTGGGGATCGCCATGCCGGTTTGTCTCCAAATGGGGTCCCGAACTGCTAACATGGTTGTGGCTCCTCTTGGCTTCCCTTTAAAGCGCCCCCAAAAAAAAGCGGCACCCTCAAGCAAGAAAAACAACACGTGTCACACGGTCAGTTGGGCTCCTGGTGGCTTCCCTTTAACTAGGCTGGAAAAGACTTAGGACCCCAGCAAACAAATTGACCTTTTTTGCCTGGTTCGTGGAAAACAAAGGGAACCCAAAAAAGCAAAAATGCAAAAAAGGGGAGCTAATTCTGGGGAAGTTAAAAGCAATCCAACAAGCCGCACCCTGAAGAAAGCAACCGCCACGTGTCGGATGCCGGTCGAAGCAGCCCCAGCGCCGCGAAGGGGTGCGCCGCCCGGGCGATGCGCAGCAGCAGCCGTTCTGAGTCCGAGGGCGCTGCGGCCTAAGATCGACCAATCCCGAGCTTTGGGCACCTGAAGATCAACGGGCTACGATTTTCTCTGACATTAAAACCATCTCATTTTTTACCATTAAGACGCACTGCTTGTTTGAAAAGCACGCGCTTTTTGGACATTTACCCCTGGGAACCCACGCTGATACTAAAAAGATTGTCTTAATACCAAAAAGAGTGTGCTTAATGTCAAAATATGGAGGCCCAAGATCAACTTGCGATCATACGAGAGATGCAGGAATGAGACATGGAATGAGCCCGTCTATCAACCTTCCAACTGGTGGTTTCATTCAAGAGGACCCCAAAACGGTTCATTCTAATTCTCATTCCCTTCTGTTCAACCATGCATTTCAACAACCAGTTTCCCCTAGTTTTGTTTGCTGGTTTCCTGCAACGAAAACGAAGGATGGCTGGAAAAGGCTGGGAAAGCTTGCCCTATAGTGGTTGCCATCTAATTTCTCTTTCAACCGACCCAAAAGGCTTTGCCCATCTGGTTTCTCTTTTAACCAACCCCAACCCCCAAAAGCGTCAACCCCAACCCCCAAAAGCGTCGGCGCCGGAACACCGCACCAGCCCCACGTTCCGCCGCCCGAATCGCCGCATTCCCCGCAGTTCAGTCGCCAGCAGCTCGGCTCCGGCGCTCGCCGCATGCAGCGGGCGCCCTGCAGTCGCCAGGTCCAGCGGCGCGTAGGCGGCGCGCAGGCGCCGCTCCGCGGCGCAGTGGGCGGCTGGCGGCGCCGTGGCGGGGGGGCGCTGTGGAAATGGGGCTGTCCCGTTGTTTTGCTTTTTTTTTTTTGTACCCCTATGTTGTTGAACGGTTTCGAAGGGAAACCAAAGGAATCCATGGGGTACCTATTGTGCTTTGTTAAGGCAAACCAGGAAGAAAACGGAATCCATTTTGCGGGGTCCCCTTAATGGTGGACACGCTTTCTCACTTCCTTACCCCAGTTTAAATTCCCATAAAAAAGCCCCCCCTAGCCAAGCAACAGCTAAGTTGCACGAAGAAGGTTGAGTTTGGATTTGGAGAACTCAGTTGGCTGTGCAAAATATGTGCCAGAATTAACATTTGAAAAGACCAAACACTTACATTTCTGCACTTTGATTGAAAAAAAGGTCCCCCCCCCCCCCACAAAAAGGAAATCCAAAAAAAACTGAGTCCTCGCGATTGGCCCTGAAAGTCCGTCAAACCTCCAAAAGGATGTGTACCACTTGCACACTCCAAAAAAGCAAAACAACTCCAGTCAATGTGCGTGAAGCAACAGCTCCAAGAAAAAGCCCAAGTTGAAAAAAAAAAACACTTGTCACCACACTTCGGAAACATCGCAGAAACAAGCCGGTTCAACCCCAAGTTTCCACATGCACTGGAGATGGGCATGTCTTTTTCTAAGATCCTCCCAAATGCCTCTTGTTTTTTATTCAAAACCTAACCAAAAGAAGGTCCCCTAAAAAAGACACACCCACAAACAGCTTCTTCCCTCGACAGGGTCACAGCATCCGATTCAAGCCTGCTGTCGGGGCCAGAAGTCGAGCTTGCCGCCTGCGACGACTTGTGGATTTGGGGAGTTTCCTGAAAGCCATCCCAGGGGTGGAATACTGGGTTTCCCTTCAATGGTGCGACTAATACGCCAATTCCTCCGTAGCCCCCTCGCGGCTCTTTGAGTAGGGGGATCCGCCTTAAACGTGGGGTGGGATGGGAAATGTCCCTTCAAAGGCGGCCAAACACCTGGTTGGTGCAACACCGAAACCTTTTGAGTACTCGAGGGACCGGAAATCTCCAGGGTCGAAATACCCCGCCCTTTGCCTCCTTGAGTGGGAGTGAGGCATGTAAACCAAGCGAGTTTGTGGGGGGTCTCATTAACTCGTTCACCTTCATGGACAGTTCGCCAAAGACCCACATACCAGCACTAAGCGGCTGACCATTCGTGCAACCCAGGCTGACTTACCACAGCTGAAATTAATTCACCGCGAATTGCGCTGCCGCCTGGAAGGGGTGTCCAATATGAAATGGGCGGTTGGTTTCAGGTTGACTTCGCAAATACTTAGGGAAGACCCTGCTGGTTCAGAACGACTTTGGGCGTGGCCAATTTTCAAACAGCCTAAGGGGTTCAATGATATTCGAATCCATTCGACGAGACATGGATTCCCAAACCGTTCTGTTGGCCTCAGTCCCAAAAAAGCAGAATCCCAAAGGCCGTCTAAATCGGATCGACACCGTGCAACAGCGCTCAAGCCAGGCGTCTCTTGAGACGAATGAAAAATCTCAGCCTCGGATTTATAAACTGCCGGTTTCGTAAGGGAAATCATTCACAGTCCAATGGAACACTGCCTACGGATTGATTTCGGGGTCAGAACAACCTTGAAGCACACCTTACTGGAGTGTAGAGTCCCTAAACCTCACCAGACTTATTGCTGGCTGAAAGGCAACTTCTGATGGACACCCCAAAAAAAGGCGAAAAGTGGAAAGGGTAAGCGGTCCGTCCAAAATCTACGATTCCTCCCACGCCCTTTGGCCCTCCCGCGAGTTTGAAAGCAAACCAGCTTGGGAAACTCCGACGCAGCCCATGCAAAATCCGTCGCCCTCCGCTGGCTGCGTTCAGACTTGGGCTCTCCCTTTGGAAGTGAAGCCGCCAAAAGAACCAAAAGCCATCCTTCTAAGAAGCCTGGAAGTTCTACAGTCGAACTCCCTGCTTTTGATGGGTATTGTTGAGCAAATGTCCTGTGGAATTCTCAAGGGGTTGATTCCCGTTTTCCCCGGGTTTCCGGAGGTTTCCTAGAAAGAAGGATTCCTGGAAAGAGTGGGGAAGGTATCAGTGGGAGTTCACTGGAAATGACACTTCGGACGCCAAGGCTTCCCTTCCGACCGCTCGGTGGGTTGCGGAAGGCCTCTTCCGGCACAGCACCACGCGGCAGTCTCCCAAGGTACACACCTCGGAGATTTCTCGCGCGAACGAGCCAGCGAAAATAACATATTCTGCCTACCTGCCCTTTTGCACACATATTTTTCGGGTTGGCAAATGGTTGTTAAGCATGTTCTGAAACCAGTGCCATCGATGGTTAACCACTCTCACCTTAAACACCTACTCAAGTGAAGCAAAAACTCCAAATCAATCTCCTGCAGTTGCGTTCACGGTGCATTTAGATCATTTCAAGGTGACTTGGGACAATTTCTTTCTAGCTTGGTGCAAAAAAAGAAGAAAAGCAACAGCTGTCATCCCAAGCGTTTCGCTTCCAACCTTGGGGGACTTTTTTCTTCCACACCAAGCCCTGGACATGCCGCAGCCGTCCCCCCCCCCCCTTGTCACGGGTCCACCGGATTGATTTGACGCAGGCATCACATCCGAAACAAACGTGGCCTTCCTTCTAATGGACGTGCATAGCCCTGGTTCATCCTTGGCTCCCAACGCCAACAAACATGAAACATCTCAGTGCAGAAGTGGATTGGTCGGCCCTCAGGCCAACATGGAAGCTCCCAGAAGGCCTCTGTAAACAAGTTTTGTAAAGAGGTCCTAAAGCTTCCATGATAGCCTAGGGGAGGGAAAGAACGTTTAACACTGACTAGTCTTCAGTCACACCCCAAAAGCCCAGGAAAGGTCGGTGATTTCAGACGTCACCTTTTGGGCCAGGTTAAGCTGGGCTTTCCTTTTTGCGTGATGAAGGAAAATATGGAAGCCGTCAAGCCGAGAAATGACCCTAAACACCCGCCAAAGACCCACCCAAAACGCAGAACCCTGCCACTTCCCCCAGAAAGCTCCCCATCCCTCAGTTGTTCCGCTCGAGCTGGAAAAAAGGGAGCCCTTTTTGGGGAGAAGGCCATGTTGAGTGGGGCAGCCACCCCCCCCCCAAAAACAAAAAAAAACAACAGAATTGGTGCCGCTGAACAACTCGGACCAGCCCCGTCGCATTCACCGGACCGAGGCGCGGCGAGGCGGCGGCCCAGCAGCAGGGCCACGGCCACCCCGCAGCCGCTGAAGCGCGCGGCGCTGTCCAGCAGCGCGGCGTCCTAAGGGACACGGCTGGGATTTTGGCGCGCCCCGTGATTTTTGCGATAGGGAATGACATAGCATCCTAACCTACAAAGCATGAATTCAACATCGCCCTCAAGGAAAACGGGGCATCCACAAGACTGCCCCGTGTCCTCCCCCAAATGTCCAGTACCCCCCCGCCAACTGCACCCAGTTGTTCAGTGACCCTGGAAACCAAACAAAAAGGAACCCTTTTTGGGGAAGACAATTTTTTGTGGGGCAGCCACCCCCCCCCCAAAAAAAAAGGAAAAAGGGTGCCACTTTTTGGGGGGTTCGGGCTTGGACCATTTTATTTGTCAAACAACCGAGTCCCTGTCTGGTTCGCTGACTGCGGAAACCAGAAAGATGCCAGGTATGTATTTTTGTTGACGTGCCCGCGCCGGGAAGTTGGCATAGGGGGTATGAATCGCAGGTATGGCTCGGGGTGAAGGTATGGTTCAGGGTATGGCTCGCGCGGCTCTGAATTCTTGTTTTGTGGCCTTGGGCGCTGCAATTCGTTTACGCTGCCAAGCAGATGGCCGCAGCTGCGTCAGGCTAAACAGCCGTGGCGCACCGAAGCCTGACGCGTCCCCAGTCGCCAGGGCATGTTCTGCGGACCAGCTCAAACAACGGCCAAACCCTGTTTTCGCTTAGCAGTTCCTCCTCGCGGGCCCCAGAGCTTCCTGCCAGGCGCTGACAAGGACTTGCTTGCTTTGGCACGCACGCCAATGAAAGGATGGCGTCTTGCTGGCCACTCCTTCGAGCACAGGCCGCTCTTTGCAGCGCTCCCCAACCTCACAAGCAGCGCGAAACAATTCACTCTTGAAGGATGCAGCCCACAAGGGTTCGAACTCTTCCTTCAAGCTGCTGCAAACCTTCCGGACCGATCCTCTCTCCGAAAAGGACGGCGTCGTTCTGCAGTCCCCGGCCCCTGTAGCTTCACGATTGCGCCCAAACGCAAGAGGCTCTGGGTTGCAGATGGCTGCGAAAGGGTATGACTCGGGGTATGAATCGGGGGTATGAATCGCGGGGAAGGATTTTGCTAACGGAAAGACGCAAAGCGAGCATGGCTAAGAAAGCTCGCAATCATGCGCGGCTGCTGCAGGCGACAGCGCCCTTGCGCTTGGAACAGGCCCGCGCCATGTGAAGAAATGAAAGCAGAGCGTGTCAACCCGCGCAAAGTCAGCAAAGGTTTGGTTAGTGGTCAAACTCTCAACCGCGTAGCAGGAGGGGCGAGATGTCCGTCACAGAGTTTTCAAGCCTTCTGGAGCGGCAGTACACATACCAAAGCCGAGCGCGCAAGTCCACCCCTTGACGCAGCAGCGAAAGCGCACTTGGGATAAACAGCGCACTTGGAATGCCATAAACCCTTAATTATTTTGCGCATTAACCGTCTACTATCCTTAAGAATCATTAACTGTCAGAAACCAGCCCCTGAAGGGGTGAAAAGCTGGCCATAGGTTCATTAATCGGCTTATACATTACACAATGGCGACCCGGATCTAGACATTCTGATGCTCTGTTGGACCCAGCATGGCATTAGATTCCCTTGGCTTTTGCCCCCAGCTGAATCTTGTTTGGGAGTCTGGTCCATAGTGAAACTGCGAAATAAGTTCAAACACGATCCCAAACTCACTTCAAAGGAACTTCCCTCGATTGGCCAAGCATGCCAAGCAACATGGACCCCGACAAACAATTATGTAGTCCCCCAGCAGACTAATCCTGGCGGCATTTGTCGAGGCCCGGTGTTGCCCCCAAAAAGTGAGGTCCCCACTTCTTGGGACACCTATTCATCTACTGCAAAGGCCTAACTATTTGGAATGGGATTGTGGGGTACGATGAGCCCAAAATACTTCATGATCGTTGGACAAGACTGCGTGCAGTCATTTAGCCTCTTGCTTTTCCGGCCGCTCATATCCTGAGTGCGCATTAAATGTCGGGTTGCGTCAAGGCCCCCCCCAATGAGCAACAGGTCGCTCACCAGTTGCAGGTTTCATGAAGTCACTTCTGTCCAAAAAGTCTTTCTGGGGATCCAAAAAGCCACAAGTCCAGGAACTCACAGAACTGAGACCATCCATGCTCCTGTCTGTTTCTCCGGGAGGAGGAACCCGAAAAAAAAGGAAAGAACAAGCAACGCCCGCCCCGGGGTCTGTCTCACACGCGGTCGGTCACACGCGGCCACCGCTTGAGCTGAAAGGAGCCGAGGCGCCAGGGACTCCAAGCTGTCTCTCATGACGGCCACCAGCTCCTTATAAAATTCCCGCGCCCCGTGGGGAGTTTTTTGATTCTTCGAACCACCAACCTCTGCTTGCGGAAAACGCTCGGGGAACGTGGGATGTTTTTTGAAGGACGACCAACCTCCATCAGCAAACACTTGGGGAAAAATGAGATTCCAGGTTGGTTGATTCCTGGGCCATTCTTTTTTCAACCATCCTTCTTTTCAAGAACCGGAGCCGTTTTCCCTCGGTTTCTGAAGGTTCTCTCAAAAGAAGGATTCCTGGAAGGAATGCTCTAGAACAATGGTTCCAATAGTGAAATCGATTCCATTCAAAACCAACAGGGAGGGAATAAAGCAGATTCTTAGGCAAATGGAAGCCACGTCCTATGGTTGTCAAGGGCCCCAAAGGGAGCCAATTCCCCGATTTCCCAATAGGGGCGAATAGCTCATAGGGTGTAATAGGCTCATGGGGTTCCTGGGGACTGTTCCAGGGGGTTGTTTTGGGGCGGGGTCCTGCAGGCTTTCAGGTTGGGTCTGTAGTAAACCAGAAAAATTGGGGACCTCTAAAATCTAATGTCCCTTTAATTCCCTTTCCAACTACTCCAAACGCCGCCCTGAAAAGTAACGCTGCCCACAAATTTAAACACACACGCACACCGGCACGGGCCTTTGTAAATCTAGATGGGCCAACGGGTATACACATAAATAAATAATTAAATTCATATATATATATATATGTATCTATCTATACTTGGTAGCACCATCTGCTCAAACACCAATTTGTGTTTTGGGGCACGTCCCCTTCCGCCGCAGATCCCCTTCCGCCCCGGAATCAGCAGAATCGTCGGCTGATTATTCCTTGCACCCAGGCGACGTGAAACGAAGGAAAACGCAGCTTAGGGTCCACAGGAAGCCCCCAACACGTGCATTGTCTTGGACTTCCCCCCCCCAAAAAAAAAAAAAAAACCTCTCAACTAGGGGTCATTGGGTTTGCGTATGGGGTCTGAGGCATAAAGTGCTGAAGGGTCTCTTAGAATGCATTATTGGCCCTTGATATTGCAAAGCCAAGTCGAAAGTCAGGAGCAACTCAGCTGGCCACTTGCGGGAAAGGCGAATCTGGCTGGTTGCGACTTACAGCCATGAAAGCATCGGATCCCTCGTATTGGTGGTTTGGATTGTTGTGTAGGGGGTGGTTTCCTGTTTTCCCTCTAGAAGTTCAAATCACCGAAGCCACCTATCCCAACCACCAAAGGGGCACCTCAAAACATCCAGCAAACTGCAGAGTTCAGACACAGTTTACTCGGGCCCCTGAAAATGTAAAAGCAGCCCCTGAACCTGTCAAACAAAATGGAAAAAAGGGGTGCCATTGAACTTGTCTACTATTGGGTAAGACCTTGTTGGCAAACGACATGCGGGATGCAAGCAATTATATTTTCCGCACAGGCAATAATCACCAAGAATGAAGTGAACAACTGGATATTGCAAAACTCGTGACCTCGCGGCAACTTGCTTACGCTTGGCTCGCGACATCGCAAAAATCAAGAGGGTTCGCCTCTCTGGAAATCGCAAACTCGAGCGTGTGGGTCTCGAAAGGAGCTGAGCCATGAATGATTTGCTTTCTCCGCACTTGCGAACTCACCTAGGCCTTCTCTTCAGCTTGGGTTCTACATCCCCGCCCCAATGATTAATGCAAAGGGAGGGGTCCACATCCATTGACGGCCCCCTTGTCACATGCCGTTCCCATGGTCTCTTTGCATAAGCGAAAACCAAGGTTCTGCCTGCTGGTTTCCTTCGGATTTTCATCCCTGCCAATCAAATCACTTACCTCAAACATTGGTTTTGCCCCCAAAACTATGTCGAACTCCTGTTTTTTTCCGGGTAGTTTGAGGGTGCAGGCAAGCAACTAAGCAACTGGTGATTTCGTCAACCCTTTGGCTGGGCTTCACTTTTGGTGCCACACACAAAGCTGTTGCCTGCAGCCATGTCCCTCGTAAATTGATGACAGTATTAACAGGGCTCCTTAAGGGATACATCCAAAAGCCAGCTGATTTACAAGGGACGATCTAAATCAGCTGGCAAAGGGAATTGTTTCATTGGCCCAGATGCTTTCAATTGACCTTTACTGAAAGACCGGCGCTTCGCCGGTCTTTTCTACACCAGGGCACGTGGTCTTCGAGCGGGTCAGACCTCCAGGGGCGGGGGGTCGCTTGCCCCCTTTGCGCTTTGGGGGGCCCTGGCCAAACTATGGGCTAAACTGGGAAAGCAACGACAGATTACAGGGATCCGGATGCACTATACACCTGAACTTTGCACCTGAAGTTTTGGTTGATGGCACTTAGGGTGGAAACCACAAGGTCATTCAGGGATCCGGATGCATTACACACCCGAACATTGCAACTTGCAAATGGTTGTGTATTTCTGTGGAAAATGGGCAACATGTATCTTTTCAGGAGACCTGGATCACAAGGTCAATTCGCTTTGGGCAACTCCGTTCAGGTGACGTCCACGCACTTTGGAGGGGGTCCCTGTTAAAGTACAGGAAACTATGTAGGGACTGAAACAGGAACCTACATATCCCTGTCCAAGAGTGATGCTGAGAGGGGAAGCAGGGAATTCTGAGCCCTCTAGAATCTTAGTGAAGTCACATTTGCTCAACCAAGGTTGAGATCTGCGCCAGAAGTGCAATAGTTCAACCTGAAGTTTCTCTCAGGCCTAGATCATAGGTTTGCCGAGCCGTTTTTGCGAGCTCTGACCAAAAATGGACTCTGAGGCAAACCAGAAAAATGCCGAGGTAAGTTCCACTAACACCGAAGCCACCCGGAGAAGCGTAGTTTAGTGGCTAGAAGCTGATCGCATATATCCCTTTAGACCCGAATTTAGACCCGAGGTTGTTCTTCATCTACCCGGGTTTTGATTGTGGCCCACCTCGCGTTGCGCAAAAAACCCCGCGCCTGGCGCTGAGTCGGGGCAGGATCTGGGAATGGAAGCGCTTGGCGCAGAACTCCGAGGCCCCGTTGCTGCTCCTCCCGGCGAAGCAATTTTTCGGTCCCCCAGTTTTGAGAGGTTCGATTAAGTTGGTACCCGATTTTTTCGGGTTTGTCTATTGTAGCAGGCAAACCCTCCAGTAGAGGTGTTAGACTTAGAGTACCCATTTTTTTCGGCTTTGTCTATCCTAGGGCTTCGCAATGACCAGCTGCGCTGGCCGGTCGGACGGTGAGATGGGGGCTAAGAAGAACTCTGTTTAGGCGGGACCTGGTTTCAGAGCCTGACCTCCGGACCACCCATGCACGCGCTTGCTGCGAACCCACACGCACAAGAGGCTGCAAGGTTGCTTTGGCAACCCCCCTGACACTGAGCATGCACTCACCCACCCTAGCTTGAGCGCATGTGTCCCTGCTTGCGACCGGCGCTTGCGTCCGGCGCGCGTGCGCGCGCGCCCCGCACGTGTGTCACACCGAAAGCCAGCCAGACCAACAAATTCCCTGCCCCACAGAAACCGGATGAAAAATACAGAAAACACGGTATGCGCGATGTTTTCCTCGCAGTGGCGGCGGCCGCACTAGCGCAAGAAAAACCGCCCTACTCTCAGGGGGCCGTTTTTGAAGGGTTTGAGCGATGCAGGGGATGCAGGGGATGCAAGGGATGCTGGAACGCCCAGATGCTGTGATGCAGGGGATGCCGGGGATGCTGGCCAAGTTTGCGAGGATGCAGAGGATGTTGGCGGGGATGCTGACCATTCTCCGACTGTGCGATTTGCACAGTATTTACAGGGTTTTTTGAAGGCCGGGCAACGTGGAATCAGAAGCCCGTCGCAAGGCCAGGGAGGTCGGGGATGTTGTGGGGTCCAAGTGTTTGGGCCGGCCTGCGTGCAGGTGATGCAGGCAATGCTGAGGAGGAGCTTGGGGTGCAACAAAACACGTCAGCAGGAAACCCTACGGGTAGGGTTGCCCTCGCTCTTCGAGCTCGAAGACACACAGCGCAGCTGGATTTTAGTAGGGGCACCCTCCCCCGAAAAAGGGGAGAAGGGCACTACTGGGGGACCTAGTCTTGTAGCGGATGGATTGGGAACCGCTCGTCTTACTTCCATGCGCGTGTTCGCCCCCTGGGAAAAACAATGAAATATGTCCAGTAGTGATAGATGTCCCTTCAAACCAACAGGGGGGAAAATAAACATGTTCTTAAGTAAATGGAATATTCCCTTGTTCAAGTAGCTTTTGGAAGAAAGTTCTTGGTTTAATGGGAAACCAAAAGGAAAGCGCACCCAGTTTGGGGGCCCCCTAAAAAAGGGCACCTGATGTTGCCCTGTGTTGTACGTGTGGGTCTTCTCTGTTGTTCAGAAAAGGGAGCACCCCGATCATCCCAATCCTAATCCGCAACCTGCAACGCCAACAAGAAGGGAAGCCACTGCCTGTGATAAGGATCCAGGATTGATTTTGAACAACCCTCCCCGTGGATTCCCTGGCGTTTCGCCGCTATGGAAGGTAACCCTTCGCCATTGTCCTGTTGGTTTTTAACGACTGCCAAGCCAATCACTGGGTTTGGGCAAGTATGGGCAAGACAAGGGTTCAACCCACAGAATGGCCTTGGGACACAATTCAGATGATCACAATTTCTTATTGTATTGGATTGAATCCCAAGGGACCATCTCCCAAGACTAAAGCTGCTTAGATCCGACGAGAAATCAAACAACAATGCAATTTGAGCATGGCACAAACGGTTCTTCACTTCCGACGGAGTGGATGGCCAACAGAAAGTAACTCAAGCTGCGTGCAAGGCACTGGCCTCCAAACCCGACTGAAGTCCAGGAACTCCGGGAGTGAGCTTATTAATTTTGACCCAGGATTCATAAACCTGTCCCTTTGTTAGGGGGGTGTTCCCTCCAGAAATGGTCTGAATCCCCACTAATAAGGGGACACCCCCCGATCAAAACCACCAGGGGTTCATTTATCCCGGGTTAACATTCTGCAAGTAAAGGGGATAACCTAACCCAACATGGGACGATTGTATCACCCCTCTGTCAAACCAAGTGGGCGTTTGGGGCTTCCCAGGAACGTGAAAGGAATCTCTTGTCAGGCAGCCGCCGAAAGGAACCCTGTGATCAAACCCAACGGCTCACCCACGACAGGAAATCGAACCATTTTCTGGGCTCCAGTGTGCTGACTGGGGGTTCCCCAAAAACTCACGTACGCGCGCGACTGTGCTAGCATTCCTTGATCCACGGAAGCGACCCCCCAAAGCCAAACACTTGGCTTCCGAGCTGGGTTCCCAAGCAAGAAAACACGGGGAATATATTATACAAGACGTCCAAACAAACGGCAGGACCTGGGATCATTCCCTGACAAGCAGTGACGAAACTCAGTGAAGGGACAACATTCCCTGGCTCCCCTCACTGCACTGAATGTGAAAGAAGAAGGTGGCTTAGTAAGGGGCTTATGTTTTTGTTCATTGAAAATGGATGCCATCTTTCACAGTGTTGCAATGTAGCCCTTTCAGTGGGGCGTTCCTGCTTTTCCACTTGGTATTTTTTTTCTTTCCGGGGTGGCCCGGGGGGGTGGGGGGTGGGGGGTTCCCCCCAATTCCACGGAAAGGCCGAATCAACACATGAATCATGCCGAAACAAGTAAAACCCCGTCCAAATAATAGGGGGGGTGTCCCTTGCAAAAATGGTCTGAATCCCCACTGAAAGGGGACACCCCGCCCCCCCAGTCGAAATCAACAAGGGATTCCGCTTACTTCGGCAATGAATCAAAGTGTCTCTTTCGGGGTCGTGACTAAAAATGTGAAAAACGGGGAAAACAACACAAAAACATTTAGGTCGATCCGCTTTGGGCAACTGAGTTATTGTTTCAACCACCTTCTTCTCAGAAATGGCCGGGTCCCGCTGCGGGTCTTCGGGACGGTTTGCCGGGCCCCGGAGAAACTGAAAAACAACCAAATCCAGTCCTCAGGCCATCGACGAGCACCTCAACTGGGCTAGGCGAAATGCTCAGCTGTGTGTAGTCTTATTCTTTCCGGGGTCCCTTTCGGGTTGGTTTCGGGATGGTTTTCAGGAAAACCAGAAACTTACAGCTTTGGGGGTCTCACTATGTTGACGCATACCCAGCTATTGATCAACAGCTTGCGCGTTGCTTCCTAGGCCATAACCTCAGCGACCAGCTGTTTACTGCGCCGATCCGATGGACTTTCACAGGAACAAAAACCCGTCCAAGGAATCTCTTTATGTCGGGGACCCCTCCGGTCATCTGTCCAATTGGTCATCTGTCCTTTAAATGGAAATCCAAAACAAAAATCTGACGAATCACTCTTGGAGGCAATTCGATTGTTTTTGTTTAAGCCCACCTTTTCTAGGTCCTCCAGTAGAGAGGTTAGAATAAGGGCACCATTTTGTTCTGTCGTCTATCTTAGTAGGGGAACCCTCCTCCAAAAAAGGGGCGAGAAGGGCACTACTGGGCGACTTAGTTTTCTTCCAAAGGGAAATCCAAAACAAAAACCCGACAAATCACTCTTGGAAGTTTGTTTGATTTAAGTCCACCGTTCCTTTTGGGGAAAAAACACAAATCTGGGGAAAAAATCACAGGACCTCCCAGCTTTTCCTTTGGGGCAACACAAAACCACCTCCGCTTGGAACGGGGAAATGGATCCAAAGCAAGCTGGGCTCGGCGCGAAGAGGGCCGCGGGCTTGTCGATGAAGGGCACCGGCTGCTTCAGCGCCTGCGCGGTGCGCGGTAGGTCCAGGAGCGCCACCGCGAGGTCGTCCTTCCGGGCGCCCTCGGGTGCCTAATTCACGGGCACGGGCCGGCGGTGGGAAAAAAAAAACAAGCGGGCGAAAAGGGGCGATCTAGATAGGGAGAAGGACAAGTCCGGGAAAATGGGCATGAACCGGCTTTGGGGATTTATGAATGAAGGAAACCAGAGGTTGTCATAGGTTGGATGACTTCTCTTGGGGTCATTCCATTTCTCATTCCCTGCTGAGAATCAGCAAGAAGGAAAAACTGTCCAAAGTTCTCCCCTGGGCTATGTAGCACCCAGTATCAAATATTCAGCCAATTGATTTGGAGGGTTTCTTTCTTTGCGTTTTTTGATTGGGGGAGGGGGTTCCATTGTTGAAGGGCGGGAGGGGGGGTATATGGGCTAATAATCATGTCACCATTAAACTCATTTCCTGAAGGTCAACGCGGATAATTGGGTGACCCCTTCAATGGCTTCCAACAAATGTTGTTCCTTGCGGATGTTACTCACATCATTGTGTGTTAGCGCAAGCAACCGGAACCCGTGTATTGCTCCCTTTCACCAGATTGACAATCTTAATAGCTTTCCCGACTGGCACAAACAAAATATTCAATTATGTATCTGCCATCAATCTTTACTAAACCTCCGGATTACTTCTGTCTTCTTCTTTCAGTCTTCTCTCTTCATGCATGCGTGCAATTGGTGGGTCAGCAGGAAAAACGCTCGGTATAGCGCGTTCGCAAGCTCCAATGAAGGGCTTTAGATTGTGTCGGGTTCAACTGGTGTCAAACAGGAGAGGGCTGGACCAATCAAGGCAGGACCCATCGGATCATCCCTTTGTTTTACTTTTCTTGCTCAATGTGCACCCCTGCACCTAGGAGCTGTTTCTATTGTTCTTGCTTTCGTCAGCTTCGTCAAGGGCAACCAAGTTGCCCCTTAATAACATGGAAGTAGCAGGTATTCTTTATGAAACCTAGAGTATATATGGATCACATCAGGAAGACCAAAAGGTGAAAGGGTCGATTCACTTTGGGCAAGTCAGCAAAACGTCGACCCCTCTGTGACGATTTTGGCAGCCAAAGCTTCTGCCAAGGGCCCCTTCAGAAACATATGCCTAAGCCACCACTTCCCCACAAATTAACATGGGTTGCCCAAAGGGGTCCAGGACCCAAAAGGAGTTTCCGTTCCTACACGTGTATTGCTTTTTGTTGGGTTCCTTCCTTCAATCTGAACGGGAGTAACCCTGCCACTAAATAGTATGGAACCTGACAGGAGGTGCCTGTAAAAGGAAAATGGTCTTCCATGACCCCTTGTCATGCAGGATGCAAAATCTATAGTTTAAACATGTTCAAACACTCTCCTTTTGGCTTCGGCTAGCCGAGGTGCCGCGGAGGGTTGGCACATGACTCCGCTGCTGATGGTCACCGGGTGGCTCTCTGGATGATGGGGCGTGCCCGCCTGCACCCAGGATCCTGCCGCAAGCTTCAGTTGCTTCGGGCATCCACCCTTGACATGTTAACCAGTCACCTTGCCCCAAAGAACCTCACATCACAAAGCAACAAAACACCAAGCAATAAAAAACACACACACACACATGGCTGTGGCTCAAAAAACCGGTACCAAAATGGAACCCTGGTAAGTGGAAACGTGGACCAAAACCTGCGGTTTGCCCCTCCTGTGTAATTTTGAGCCACACACACACACACGCCAAGAAACGCGTGTGGGGTTTCCACCAGCCCGCTCCTGCAGCCTCCCACCGGTCCGCCCTTCCAAAGCTTACTCGTGAAAGCGACCCGACCCAAGGCTGACTGAAACCCCGGTGATAATCTTACCCCTTAAAGCTCCAAGCCCTGGGGAAGTTAATCTTTTACAGACATATAGCCCATGTTACGCAAAAAGTTGAAAAGTTGTGTTTTTTAAGAGGTAAGTAATGTTGACCCAGGAGTAATAAATATTCCGTCCCATTCTTAGGGGCGTGGAAACCCCTCCAAAAGTGGCCTGAATCCAACCACTAAAAGGGGACACCCCTGCATGAATGAACCAGGGGTCTATTAATCCGGGGTTGACATTACCAAAAGCTTTGGTTCCCATGACTTGACCAGTTTATACCAGTTTGAAGCGCATGTTTCTGTGGATGGCCCGCGCCAGTTGGTCAATCCCAGCATGGGGTTTCAACCGTGGCTGCAGAATGTCGTGAGTGTGAACCCAGAAACACCCGTAGGAACGAAGACTGCTGACGGCGCCCTTTTTTTGCGCAACCCATCGAAAAATTTGCAAACGAACGCCCTCATGGGAATCTATGTTGTTGTTTTCTTTCTTTCTTTCTTTCTTTCTTTCTTTCTTTCTTTCTTTCTTTCTTTCTTTCTTTCTTTCTTTTTGGGGGGTCTCCCAAACGGGCGGGGTTTGAGTGTCCTTTTGGTTCTCCCTTCAAAACAAAATAAAAGGGATACCGACACCGCGAACGATTCGCCGGCTCCTGGGGTGCCGTGCACCCGGCGGTAGTACCTGCAAAGCGAAGCAGCTACCTTTGTAGGCTTGATGCTTTGTCAACCCGCGGCAGGTGGAAATCAACCTCGAACCCGGTTAAACTTTAGCTTTGGCTGGAACATAGAGGGAACAAACCCTGAACTCTTCAGGTTTAGGTTGAACAACTCGGCTTAAAAAAAACACATAATTTCACCCGAAGGGTCTCCTGTTCCTAGGGCGGTTTGGTCGAAAAAGTGTCCACGCCATGACCTTCGGGCCAAAGCCAAGGCACTTGCCGCTGGAGGCATTAAAGAAGAGCCACGGCAGTGGGCGGCCGCCCTCCTTCGGTTCGGCGCGACGTTCCGAAGACTCAACGCCAACAGCTGCAAAGGCGGGACATGGTGTCCTTCCAAAGGTTCCGAAGCACAGCCAGCACCCCACAAAGAAAATAGTTGCACCATAAGAATTGCTACTTAGGGGAGCCGGTAGGGGTACAAGCAAAAACCTATCGAGAGTTCTGCTTCGATCCGCTCGACGAGTATGGAGTCCCAAACCGGGGGTAGGTACAAGGCGGGTGGGTAGTTGAGAGCCTTAGGGTTCCGTAGGGAGCCTTTAGGGAAGCCCCTCACCTTTGACCAGCCCCTCTTAGGGACTCCATTAGAAGAGGGGGGGTTGTTTTGCGCAACGGGTGGAAAACGATCCCGTCTTTTGAGAACAACAAAATGCGACTGCTTTTGGTACACTCTTATAAATATGGGAGGGCCTTCTTGAAACCAACTTGCCCAACCCTGCTTCTCCTGCTGCCGCTCGTGCACGTACCACACACCTGCAGGACGAAGCCCATATGTCTTTTTGGAGTACCCAATTGCTCGGCTATGCTCGGTGGCTTTTAAGGGAAACCAAATTAAGATCCTTGTTTTTAGCCCTACAAACAGCTACACCCATTCGTTTGGGAGAAAGGATCCACCCAAAACTTTCCCATCAGCAAGGAACTCCGATACTTTGATAAGGGCATTTCGTCGGTATGTGTTTTGGGGTGGTTGAAGGGTAGCTGATGGAGCTGGGGTGTGCAGTTTGTTTAGTTACGGCCAGGATGAGCAACAGGGGGCCCAAGAACTTGTTTTATGCATCCTCAGTCAGGCTTTCTTTTCAGCTTCCCAACCCAGCCCTGCTACCCAAGGAACGTCACTATCAACGGGCAGAGACTCCGAAACCCAACATGAACAGAACCTGAACTACCCATATCAAACACTGTGAAGTAAAGGGGTCTTCGGCCTCGTGGTTTGAAACACATTGCGTCGCCCGCTTGTCTACCCCAACTTTTGCCCCCAACTCAACACATGCTTCCAGATTACGCTCAAACAACAAGAACTAGGTCCAAACTCCCAATAAAGTTCAGTCCAGAAAACTGAGGAGGTAAGAGATTCATCCGCGCACGTCCCATCTCCATCCTCCCTTCCCCCCCCCGGTCCACGTGTGCTTCGGGGCGCCTGGCAAGCGCGGCACTGCCATCGCCTGACCCGCCAAGGACCAGCTGGGCCCCGCCGGCTGGTAGTTCTCCAACTGCTCCTCCTCAGAGGTTTCGCACGGAAGAAGGGGCAACCGCTTTTGTCAGCTTCCCTCGAAAATCGGTTGTTTGGAGGTTAAGCTGTTTCCCCAGTTTACTTGCTGGTGCGACTGGTAGGGAATGAGAAATGGAATGAAGCTGGGGATTCCTTGAAAGGAAACCACAAGGGATGGTTTATAGTCCTATGGGTAAAAAGGGCAACCTCTTTTGTCCGTTCCCCTCGAAAAGGGGGGCAATTTGGAGCCGAATCGGTGGTTTGCAGGTTAAGCTGAGACACCTAGCCTCTACATTCGAACCAGGGGTTCAAATTCAAATCACTCACCAATGAAGGGGAACCTCTTTTGGTTGATGGCACTTAGTTGCCCCTTAACTCAGAAGTCCAAAGAGGTGTCCTGAAGGATTGATTAACTTTCAAAAGTTCTTGTTCCAATGAGGAAGGTTCAAAGGACCACATACACCTGGGCAAACTCATAAAAGCTAACCTGTAAGAAGTCCGCAAGCACCAAAGATGACTGGCATAGCCCTCCCGTTGACCTCTATTTGTGGATACGTCCCCTGGCATAAAAGCATCGGGTAGGAATAGAATAGTGTTTTAACCAAGAGGGGGAAATGCATCAGATTCTTAGTTAAATGGAAGTGGAGGTGATCCACTATGACAGTGACATCCGATATGGGCGTGGGGATTTACGTCCACCAACAGTTTCGACATGTTTCGACAACGTTCCCAACAAGAATCTGAAGCCATATAGCCAGTTGCCAGTGATTAAGTTGCAGGGACTCTTGTCATAAGCACTCATGATCCAATGGATCGCCGGAAAACGGCACTAGTTGTTAGGGCTTCAGGGGCCAAATCATGACACGTCACCTGGACCTAGACAATGGGACTGTCCCATACGAAAAAAGTAATGACTGAGACGAATCATCCGGTGCAGATTCGGCAAAATAACGGTTGCCCTGCCTGGCTGGATGTGGACACCTCCCGTTTTCTCATTTGCTCGTTGGTGAAATAGATTCCCCCTGCTCATTTGCTCGTCCCCATAAACCAGCCAGCTGTGTTTATGATTTCACCCCAACAAAAAGGCATGCTGCCCGCAAAACAGAACAACCACTTTAAAGGAACTCCCTGTCAAAAAGGATTTTAAAACTGGGCTCCAATGAGAAGTGACCTCCCGCTCCCAAGGAGGCGAGGGGGCTGGTCGTTTCAACGGTTCGCCCACACCCAAGTGATCGCTCCTTCTTCGCATAGATCCACTCCCTGAGCGATGACACCTAAGGCAAACAGTCTGCCTTCGAATAGACTCGAGCAGGATGGTCTGGATTGCCCACAGGTATACACGCAAACATGTATGGCCATACATTGCAGGCATGCGAAAACCATCGAATTATATTGATTTAACAAAGGCCTGGACAAATCAAACAACTTTCCATACCCTGTTTTTCCAAGATCAACTTGATGGTTGTTAAACGGCCCAATTAGGCCTTCAAAAGGCCTCTTTGGGGGGGGGGGGTAATCCTACGAACAGGTTCATTTGGATCTCGAAAGGGTGTTTGGACCAAGACAGCACAACACAATCAGCTTGCAAACGTGATCGAGGAACAAAAAGAAGAAGAAAAAAAACGCAAGCTGAACAGGTCGGCTTTGAGCAAGTAGCAACCCCGTGCGTTTGCTTCCGGCTTTATGTTCAAATGGGCTTTATGTTTGGCTTCTTTGTACTTGGTTTGGATTGGTGGTTTCGAGGTTAAGGGCGGTTTCCCATGTACCACCTACAAGAACCAGGGGTTCAAACCCCCAAACCACCAATCCAACCTCTGCTTTGCCCTCCCAAACAAACACCAAGTCTTCGAGACCCGATTATTTCGAAGTTACCTACATCCCAAATCGTCTTACCCTCTTGTTATAATTCGCCCAGACTGGGTTGTGCATCCAGCCAAAGCTTGGTCACAGTTTGTAGGAATGGACAAATCATTCGGAGAAATCCAGTGGCCCCTTTGAATTCTATCCTTTCGAGCACCACACCTTGCATGGGACATTTCAGTTGGGGTATGCTCCAAGGGAAGAGGCTTCTTGGAGTGAATCCCATCCAAAATGCGGAGCCCTCTGTGAACAAGTGAGAAGTAATTACCTTTCAAACCCCCCAAAACGCCGAATCGCTGGATTTCCCCTTTAAACGTTGCGGCTTACTAGTGGTTTGCATTGAAACTACCACCTTTGGAGTTTTCAGAAATGGGAAATGAAGGAAGACTTGAGTGGAAAGCCCAAACTGCCTATTTTCCAAAATGTTCCAAACCCAAAAAGCGACTAAAGTCCGAAGCAGACCTCAGGGGGTGGGGAAATGGCGGAAGCCCTGTGAACAGGCTTCAAACCCCCCCCCCAACAAAAGAAAAGAAAAGAAGCGGCGTCCAGCGTGCCAGCCTCTGGCGACGTTGATTCATGGCGGCCGACCTCGCCGAGCCGCGCTCTTCTCCTGCTCCTTGAACTTCTCCGCCTGCGTGGCCGTAGTGAACTCCGGCAGCCGCCGCTCCGCGCCCTCCGCCACGTCCTCGCCGGCGAACACGAAACAAAGAACTTTCCCGGGGTTCAAACAACCTCCAGATTTGAGAGGTTAGAAGAAGTTGGTACCCGATATATATATATATATATATATATTTTTTCGGTTTTGTCTATTTTAGTAGGGGGGCTCCCTCCACCAGAAAAGGGTGCGAAAGGGCACTACTGGGGGACCAAGAAAACCACCCACCGACAGTTCAAACATCGCGGTTTTATGCGGGGGCTCCGAAGTTCCGGGACGGAGAAAGTCATGAACCAACTGTGGCGGGGCTTTCTGTGAGTTTCTGGCACTCTTTTTGAGCTAGCTTCTTTGACTCGGAGTTTCGGGGAGGCTTTGGAAGGTCTTCGGAGTTCTGGCAAAGTTGGGGGCTGTGTCCAAACAAAAACCGGGAACACCAATGAGGCCCATACAATACCCACCACCAGGATGCCAAAGGATGCCAGGAGTGGCGGCTCCTTGAAAGGCTTGCCAGGAGTGCAGCTGTTCAGCGACGGTTGAAAAAGAACTGGAGCCCCAAAGAAGTTTGCTATCTTTCGTTGGGATGCCAAACAACAAGTTGGAATTTTACACGGCGTCACTGAACAACTGGGATATGGAGATACTTTTGAACACCAGGAAATAGATACGTCATGGCGGCTTCCCATAGAGTCTATGGCATAGACAAATCGCAGAGCCCGAAAGAAAAACACCGGTGTGTCTTTTTTTGGGGGACCCCCAAAAGGAAGGTTTTCCTTTTGGTGTAAATGGGCAAAACCCTGCACCAGTTGGTAGGTGGTTCATCCCAGTATTCATAGGGCTTCATACATTCCAACTGGTACGAAACGGACTTTGTTATCCACAGTATGAACCAAGGCAACCTTTGAGTTAACCATCCCCACCCCACAAATTGATCACTCAAATCCTCCTTCATTTTCCATTTCTGGAACCTTCAAAGGTGCCAGTCTCAATGCAAACCACTAGTAAGCCGCAACGTTTGAAGGGCAAATCCAGCGATTCTTGGTCAGGTAACCCTGGTATTTGGAGGTTTGGATCTTCCCTTGGAGCTACCCCAACTGAAATGTCCCATGACGGGTGCGGGGCTCGAAAGGTTAGAATTCACAGGGGCCACTGAATTTCTCCGAATGACTTGTCCATTCCTACAAACTGTGACCAAGCTTTGGCTCGATGAACAACCCAGTCTGGGCAAATTATAAAGAGAGTGTAAAACGAATTGGGATGCAGGTGCCTTCAGAAAACACTTTTGTCTCGGAAGGTTGCATGTTTGTTTGGGAGGACAAACATAGAGGTTTTGATTGGTGGTTTGGGGGTTTGAACCCGTGGTTCTTGTAGGTGGTACATGGGAAGCCGCCAGCTGCATTTGGCTGAAAAGCCGTCTACATTTAGCCTGCAAGAAAAATTGGCTTTGGAGACCCCAGACAAGATCTAGGTCCTCCAGTACAGAGGTTAGAATAAGGGCGCCGTGTGTTTGTTTCTTTCTTTTTTTCTGCAGTCCATTTTAGCAAAGAAACCCTCCCGGTAAAAAAAAAAACGGTAAAAGGGCACTGGGGGACCTAGATATGGCTGTGGCTCAAAAAACCGATGCAAAAATGGAACCCTGGTAAACATGGACCAAAACCTGCGTAACCCCTCCTGTTTAATTTTGAGCCACACCCATATGGCAACGAATCGGAAAGCGCGCCCTCCTCACCCATGAGGTCCACCGCCGTCCACTGCACCTCCTCAAGCTCCTGAGCCCGCGCCAGCAGCGCCTGGCGAAACCCGCGACATCCGATCCGTGCGTCGCTTTAATGGGAAACCAACAAGAAGAAACCTTATCCCTTGGATTCAAACCACGGGATCAAAACGCCATGGGGGCTGGGGAGGAGGGAGGGGGAGGGTTTAGGGCTTAATAAGGGCTTAGTTGGGCTCCCTCCCCCCTCTCCCCCCTGCCCCCCAACCCCCAGGAAAACACAATGGGGGTCAATCCTGTGGTCACCACTCTTCACCTAAAATTGTCATCATCTGGGTCGACCATTCTTTTAATGGAGGTTGAACCCTCGGGCCATTTTGGGGGTCTCAGAAAAGACACCCCGGAACATCTGCTTTTTGGTCCCGGAACCCGTTGTGGAGCAACTTATTCCCTGCGATTCAAACCACTATCCCAACACATTGGGAGTTCCCCTCCCACAAATTAACATGGAGTCTTCCCTGGAGTTGAACCCTCGGGCCATTCTGAGGGCTCCAAAAAAGACGCACACACACACACACACACATGTATATCTCCCATCGTTTTAATCGCCGGGGAACACATTTAACTGGTGCTAGGCACCTCCTTGAAACCTGCAAGGAAAGTAAACACATATTCTTAAGTAAATGAAGGTTGGGGGAAGTAAATGGCTCACAATGCCCCTGTTTGGCCCACATCTGCGGCACACAGAACAATGCTCTCATGTCGCTTCACATTTAGTCTACGGGGCAAAATGACTAGTCTGGGGGGGGGGGAGAGGGGAGTTGGGGTGCCACACAACTAGTCTTCAGAGACTTTTTAGGTGGGCAAAGCCCTTAAAGGCCAAAGTACTTAGTTGTTCATGTTATGTTCATTTGTGTTTTCATGTTATTGTCCCAACGTGAAAACCACATGAACATGTCCTCAAGTGTGTTTCATTTGTGCTTTTCTGGGTCCCAAAATGGAGGAAACAAGCAAAATGAAAATAACATGAAAACATAAAAGACAATCAAATGAACATGTCCTCGAGTTGTTTGCATTTTTGCGTTCCTTGGGTCCCCAATGGAGGACAGCCGGCAAAATGAAAATAACATGAAAACACGAATGAACATAACATGAACATGTCCGCGAGTTGCTTAGCATTGTTGGTTTCGTGGGTCCCAAACTGCAGGAAAACCAGCAACATGAAAATATAATGAAAACACACATGCAAATCACATGACAATGTCCTCGAGTTTTGTATTTTGTTTCCCGGGTCCCAAAATGGAGGAAAGCCAGCAAAATAAGAATAAAATGAACATGTCCTCGACCCATGGACATAAAATGAAACCGCAAATGAAACTAAAACGACGAACCACATGAAAATGACATGGAAACAATGTGTTTTCCCCAACCCAAGCCTGCGGCCACTTAAAGCTAGTCCAAGTCATGGCTATGGGGAAATCATGTTAGACATCAGCCCTTGCATTGACTTTACAAAGCAGGGGACTGTGGGAGTGCATTTTGGCGAGTCTTATGTTTTTGCGAGAGCTGTGTAAGTTGCAGTGTTTGCTGTTGTTCTGATGCATTTTCGGGTTGCTGGAGAGAGGTAAAAAACACTTCAGAAAAAAGCACAACTCAGCTTACACCCAATCCTCACACAGTCTTTCCAACGGATGAGCCCTGCCTAAAGCAAACAAATCCCAAAAAACAACAGCGTGGTTGCACAACGTGTCGCATGACACTGCGGCACTGTTACACTGGCCGTGAGCCCGCCGCACACTCTTACTCTTCAAGTGTCTGCCTACGTGGCCTACAGGGCTTCCATAGGCGTTGCACTGCTTCCGCTGCCTACGGTGTTTGCGCTGGGGTGGGCTCCATCCAAATTGTCACTTTTGGAGGGCTATGGGTCAAAAAGAGGTACCCAAAAATGGAACCCGGGAAAGCGGAAACATGGACTAAATCCTGTGGTCCCCTGGTGGCTTAATTTTGACCCATGTCCACATGGAACTTCAGGGACCTTTGGTTTCCGGCGCCCCAGTCGCCTCGGCGTGCGCGCCCTTAGCGGCGTCCCCGGGCCCCACCTGAGGACCGGAGACATGGAAGGCCCGAACTGAGCCCTGGTCGGCAGGGACATGTGCATGAAAATGGACAAAAACAATTTGGATGAAAAAACTCCTGAGGTAAACTATACATTGTTTTGATGGTGGTTTGAACCCCAGGCTGAGTCTGAACTGAGTTCAGCCGAATCCCTTAAGATAGACTTTTAGTAAGATATGCCACAAGTCCCAAGCGCACAAACATCTAAAGGTTTAAGTTGGCATGGCTGGGAACCGCCAAAAAATTGTCATGGCAACCCCGATTCTGATTACTAAGCTCCTGGTTGACTTGGATGCGGGTTGTCTTCGCTGGATTCACCACTTTTGGAGGGAACAAGCCCCTATTCATCTGGGGTCAACATTAAAGGAATCTCCTCATGGCCTTTTTGGGGCATGCGTGCCCCGAACCGGGCCAAACACCGCTCCTGGCAAACTTTTGGCCACCGAAAACGGGCACCAAACGGTTGGCAGTTGAGTCTGAAGGGCCCAAGAAAGTGAAGCAGAAATCACCCCGTCACCCACAGGACATCCCAACGACTCTCGCGGGCTCGGAGCGGGCTTTCTGCATTTCCGCATTTCCGCATGTCCGCGCTCCGAAGTGTGACCTCCCCCCCGGTTGCCACGTGGCAACCGTCAAACCGCCGGCCCCGGTCCCTCGCTCCGCTCCGAGTGGCCGCGGCGAAGCGGTGGAAGGCCACCCGCCGCAGGTCGCTGCCGTCCTTCCGGGCCTCCGGGACCTCGGCACGCCCGGAGAAACCCGGTGAAACCCGGTGGGACCCACTGGGCCAAAGGGGTGAGGGGGGGGGTTGGGGGAGTTGGGGGTGGGGGGGACAGAGAAAACACTATGATGTTTCATGTTGCGTTTTCAGAATCCCACAATTCTAAACTCTGACGCGTTCCTCCAGGACAACGACTAACGCACACACAAAACCAATCAATGTGCATGCCGACCCAATTGAAGCTTCATCTAATTTCCGGATGCGTCCTCAGTCGCGCAGAGCGGCCACCAAAATTATACCTTCTCCTGCAAACCTTCTTCTCCCCTGGAACGCGTTTAATCTGACATTTAACCTTCTTGCGCGGGGAGGGCTTATGAATCCGACGTTAACATTGTTTAGCAAACTCTGACCTATGAAATCGTTTTTGGAGACCTTTCCCATCTTCGGGCCTCCGCCTTTGTGTGGGCACTCGTTTTGGGGGTTGATTTGATGTGTTCAAGAAAGCTGGTTTGGTTTTCCGACCCGGGCGTTGTAGCAAGGCGCTTTTATTCTCGCACCGCCCCCCAGTAAATAAACAACAATTCAAAAGCATGCCAAAAATGATGATCGTCAATCTCGGTTATTCTTTTTTGACATGTCTCGAACCTAACAAACTTCACCAAGGAGAACCATAAATGAGTCAAACAGCTGACGCTTATCACTCCCCAAACAGGGGAACATAGGGACCACTGTCACGTGCTTGCGTCAAATGCATGCGAGTTCATGAAATGGTGGAACATGGCAGCGGATTCACATACAGACCCTGGTTCATGAGTGAGGTGGGTCCATTCCACACCTCCATTTACTTAGTTCCCTCGAACAAAAAAATATCATCCAGTAATAATAGATTCCGAAATCCCTTTAAATTCAACAGGGGAGTAGGGTTGCTTTTTTGGGAAGGTAATGCCTGACGTATCAAACGCCTACGTCGGCGCAAACGCCAAGTGTAAATACCATGCAGGACGACCTACGCCAGGTGTATGTCCGCCTTAAACGCCTACGCGCGCCTAGTTGGAGTTCTTCTCTCAAAGTGCCGGTGTGCGTTTCGTGCTACAACTCGTACATGCGCACCTACTGGCAACCTGTCAAGTCGAGCCTACTCGCGCCTATGCACTCGCAGTAATATGCCTACGCGGAGCCTCATATGTCCATTCTCGTTTTGCCTTTTTCCTACCGAAAAAAATACTCCGCTCAGGGGAAAATAACATATTGGAAGCAAACAGGATTGATCCCTCTTCTCGCGGGGGAGGGGGGAGCACAACCCCAAGGTTCGTCTGCCAGGTTTGCGGGGGTGTCCTGAGGTCAACATGCGCCTCATGGTTAAAAAATATATATCTTTTTCTGAGACCAAAGTGGGATTCGCAGCCCCAAGAGCATATGAGCATCTTAGAAACCGGGACCGCAAACTAACGGCCGGCTATGGGCAATGTGAATGGGGACCAATACCTCAGTTGTTCAGTGACCCTGGAGAAAAAAAGGGAACCCTTTTTTGGGAAGGCCATTTTAGTGGTGCAGCCACCAAACAAAAAGGGGAAAAAATGGTGCCACTGAACAACTGAGATACTTTCCCCGAAGCCAGAAGAGGGCCCTGGCTTCTCCCGCGCTAGCCAGCCCCAGCATGCTGGTCAATGGCTTCCAACGAAACCTGTGCGGATTGGATAGGGACCTGAAGTGGCGAATGCTTCCCCCACATGTGACCTGGGTGTTTCTCTCCCGACTTCACAGGACCTCGCTAGGAAACATACGCGGTACCTGGGGGGGGCGGGGGGGGAACACGACACCCTCGGTTGGTGACTTTGAGGTTCGGCGCCATGTTACACTTCTCACTTGCCCAGAAGGGCCTAGGAATTCAAGGTGAAGCTGTTGGGAGGAGACTTGCCCATGTCTGGCTGCCACATCCTTCCAGACTCCACTTTGGGCAGCTCTAAAAGGCGCGGCCCCCTTCCAACCAGCTATGCGGCGAACGATCCACGAAACTCACTTGCCAAAAGGATTTCACAAACAAAAGCTTCACCTTTTGGGGTGGAAAAAAAGGGCCGATCTTTGGACAAGTGAGGCAAGGATTAACAGGGATCCGTACATTATACACCTGAACATTGCAACTTGTAAATGGTGGTGTCCCTTTATTTTGGTGGAAAAAGCCATGTTTCAAATGGTGGCAAACTGGAGATCTTTTAAGGAGCCCTGATCAAACCACAAAAAGCCGCCGGCTTCGGGCTCCCGGCGGTTTTCCGGCGCGGACCCCGGAGCCGCATCTCCCGCAAGGTGCCGTCGGCTTTCCTGCGATATGTCCAAAGGGTCCACGAGAAAACCCGCCCGTTTGAAACATCTGAGCCAACACTCCTAATATGCGCCATATGGCCTATGGCCATGCTCCCCTTTCCAGGAGTCATTGCAATGGTGATTAAGGATCCTTAAGTGGATGGCCATCCCTTTTAACCCCAAATACAGGGAACATGGGATTTTTACAGGGATCCTTACATTATACACCTGAACATTGCAACTTGTCAACGGGGGTGGTTCCCTTTATTTAATTTGGTGGAAAAAAACAGCCACAAATTTCAATTGGTGGCAAACTGGAGATCTTTTAAGGAGCCCTGTTTGAAAACCAGAAAGAAGCCCATCGCAGCTCGGAGTTTGCCATCGCCATCCTCGGTCCCTGAGCTCAATTCCCACCTCCCAAAGCGTGAAAGGCAAATCCTTTTCGCCTTCAAGCCGAAGTGGTGGGTCAAAAAAAGGTACCCAACATGAAACCCTGGTAAATGGAACCAAGGATGATTTAACCTGCGGTCCATATCCTGATGGTTTCATTTTGACCCAAACCCAAGTCACTTCGTGGGTGGATTGGCAAAACAAAAAGCCGTTCGACTCTGTCTTAAGCTTTCGCTCCCCTGATCAACATGGGACCCAGAAAACCATTAGTTTTAGAGTGAGCTCCTTTTTGGGAACCCCTTTTTCGGGTTCACTCCGTAATAGTTTGCGAGGTGTGACTTTAAACACATGTAAATTCGCCCAAACATCTTTGCCGCGGTCCTCGTGAACACGTTGAGCTCTGCCCGGACAGAAGGCCCCACATCATCGTTGATCACCTCGTGAGAAACTGTCATTGTTCAACATGTGGACAAAGCTCCGTTTGTTCTGCCTTCTCCGCTGGGCTAAGGCCCTGCAACCTCCGAGGACCGTTTGCTGAGTTTGCCGCATTCCTTCTTACCGAGCCCCGCGGCGCGCGAAAGGCGAAAAACCGCGGGAATCCCGGCATTCGACATGGTGACAAAAACAACACGAATACAGTAAATCTGCATAAATCGTACTCGAATGTTGCAAGTAAAGGACCTTTATGATGAGCTTGTACCCCTGGCCATTAGATACATCTGCACATTTGTTTACGATTCCACAAGCTGAAGGAAGGGATCCCCAAGTCAACCGATAGCACGGCGAGCTCGTAGGTGAGCTCGCCAATCATGGAACGTAGGGCAAAAAAAGGGGGGGTCTGGCAAACTGTTCTCAATTCTTCATCCCCTTACTGCTTCCTGTCAAGAACAAACCTGCCCAAATCCCACGCTGCTTGCCGACATGGGAGTGCACAGGTACCTTTTCCAAAATACCAAACCGTCTTTCTGCATCGGTCTAGTTTCTGTACTTCCCCAACGAAATCCGCAACTAGGCGGCCTACATCGCGGGAAACCCGGGGAGAGGGCCCATTGCATCCTCCAAATGCAATGTTGTTTTTCAATTCCAGGCAACCGCTGTCGCTGTGACACCCTTTGAAGGCCGCCCGAATAACTAATAGGCCAAGAAATGAAGTACGCAGACCCCTCTCGGAAGAGCACCTTTCCCGGAAAAGGGGGCCGTGCAAAAAAACAAGTGGTGCACTATGGCGCGCTTACGAGCAGGGAACCATTTTCAGGTTGGTTTTAAAGGTTCCGGGTCCCCCTATGTGGACACATATTTGGCCACACCAAGAGGAACCAACAAACCTTCAGTGTTAATACGTTTGGTGTCACCATGGTGTTGACTCACAAGCGCCTGTCGGTCAGAAAGAGCTACTGTGCAAAGAGCTCTTTCCATCAAACAAGGATCCTTTGCTCGTGGACCGTTGGGGAACCCGGGGGCAACATTGAACAAACAAAAAACGGACGATATTCCCCTGTGTCTACTGTAAGAAACGGGGATGGTTCGATAGGCATCAAATTGCAATTACGAAATGAAAATAGGACTTTGGCCAGTTGGGGACGATGAATCTCGGGCTGCCCCAAAATGGAAACCCACCAGTTTTGGCAGGTCCAAACTTTTGGAACACAACTAGTTCTTCTCGTGGGCGTGAGTAAAGGACATAGAGGCTCCAACTTGGCCACTTGTCTGAAGGTGACAATGAGCCTGGGCAAAAACGGAACCCTTACAATGGTGTGGCTGCCCTTTCTGGTTTCCTCAAACTCGCGGTGAAGGGAATCCCACTCGTCAACAAGAACATGAAGAGGAAGCCAGGCACGTGGAGCCTGGGTGAACTCAATCACGACCTGGAAAATGTTGTTGGTTCGCGACAACTTTGGGGTCCCATGATGCAACAATCTTCCCATACTAAACCCACATTTGTTTTGGTTGGGTTGGTGAACTATCATATTTCACACAAATCCCATGTTTTTGTGTGGTCTCACTTGCCCAAAGCCACTTATTGACCCAAAGAGTTTTGCATTTGGCACGCCCAATAAGTCATAGCTTGGAACTGTCTAACAAACACCCCTAGGCGCCTGGTGGCAATTTTGGATTTTGGATGTCGACATCTATCAAATTTGGGTGTGTCAGAATAGGCGGGCAAAAAAAGGTCCCATCTTAGTTTCCCTTCAACCCCTCCCTGAAAGAAAGGAACCACCCGCGATCCTGGCCCGGGGCAAACCAAACAATATGTTCAGACTTTCATCTTTAGCCTACGTATAAATGAATAGTTTTGGAGGAGACCCCTAGTAAAGGGAACCAACTACCATGCCCCTTACTTAACCTCCCAGCGGCTCCTTATCCTCTTCAAATGCAAATTTGGATAGCTGCGGAACGGCCCCGTTCCAAGCACCAGCTACAATGTTACAAACAACAAACCAGAACCACGAAAAACAAGCCAACCGCTGCTCCAACCGTTTTTGTTGGGCGTTTTGGCTCCCTTCATGGAGCGTTTCCCCCCGGTTTCCGCCTTCCCCGCCCGAACCGAAACGATTCGACGACAAAAAAATTGCCGGGGCCGAGCTGCCGAGAAGTCGGGGGGCGGCACCCCGGGCAGCTGCCAAGTCATCTCCCCCATGCGGCAGGCGGTGGCTTCCACCTGGTAAGGGCGTCGTCGTCGTCGTCGTCGTCGTCGTTTTTGGGCGTCGGTTTTTTGGGCGTCGCGTTTGGTTGTCGTCGCTCTTTTTTAACCAGGTTCTTCCAGAACTCCATTTCAGCCGCTCCCAAAGGCTCCTTCTTTAAACGCCAAATCTGATGCCCCCAGCGCCGGGGCGGCTCCCTTCTAAGCTCCAGCTACGGAAAACTACAACAGCATCCAGCTTCCTAAGCAAGGTGGGTTTGCAGCCGAACTTGTTGGGGGTACTTGAAGGGAAACCAGAAGTTGAACACCCACCCATGTCTTGGGGGGTCCGATTCCTAAAAGACACACCCAACAGTTGTTGTTTTTTGCAACACACCCAACACACCCAACACACACCCAACACACACCACACACACCACACACACCACACACACACACACCACACACACACACAACACACAGACACACACACACACACACACAACACACACACACACAACACACACACACACACCACCCCCCACACCCACACACACACACACACACTCACTCACACACACACACACCACACCACACCACACAACACCACACAACACCACACAACACCACACACACCACACACACACCACACACACACACACCACACACACACAACACACACACAACACACACACACAACACACACACACAACACACACACACACCACCACCCCGCACACCCACACACACACACACATACACACTCACTCACACACACACACACCCACCACACCACACCACACCACACCCAACACAAGAGGACACACCACACACACACACACATTTTGCTCGGCTGCGATCCATTGGTAAGAGGGCGCATGGTCATCCATGTGCTGCTTGTTTGCGACCCGTCCCTGAAACGCAGTTAGAAAATAATGTTCTCTGATCCTGTTCCACATTTGTAGTCTAGCCACAATCGTACCATAATCACATGCTTTGGAGGAGACGAGACTCAGTTTTTTGGAAAACTGTCAGCTTCCGTGTTGGAGCCTTGGAGTTTTGGGTTGTTGGCCGCACTTGCCTTCAGCTTTGATTTCTAAGGGAAATGACCTCGGAACCTCATCGGAATGTCCAGGACCTCCAAACCCCAAACCCGGCGACGCTTGCCAAACAATGGTTGGCCCGAAATCCCTGAGGTGGACATGCGAAATAAGAGGCTCGATTCGCATCTCCGGCAAAAAGTGGCTGCTCCGAATTCCGTGACACAAAATGTAGAGCAACCTGGCAGTCTCTGATTGCCGTTCTTGACCAAAACGAAAAAGGTTGCCCTGAAAAGCGTGATGCTCAGTGCATGATTCCCGTCCCACGGGCTCGGGAAGACCAATTGGACTGAAGGGACTCTACGGCCACTTCCCCGAGCCAGAAACACCGAGCTAAAACTAATTAAAAGCCATTGGCTGATTGGTATGATACTTACCCCTTAAATCTCCAAGCAACCTGGGGAAGTTTTCATCTTTTACAGACATATAGCCCATGTTACCCAGAAAGTTGAGAAAAGTTGTGTTTTTAAGAGGTAAGGATATAGGAGGTGTTCCTGATGGCTGTTTGGCGTCGCCGAAGAAACTCCGCGTTGTTTTGTGTTTCTTTTTTCTCCACGTGAATCCACAAGGCCAGAATCGGAACGGAACGCAAGGACAGTTGGTTCCTGGTGAAGCCATGGCTTTAACTTTGGCATGGTATCTACCCCAATCTTCAACCTCTTTATGCTTTCTTGCAGTTGGGTGAACGTACATGGCACAGGTTCCGGCAACGTTTGGGGAGACTCCTTGTGGGCCCGGTTTGGATGTTAGCAAGTCTGGCCCGTCGACTTCTTTTGCCTGGTCATGCAGTACAGCTCCTTGAACGACTTGAAAGCGAGAGACAACATGTGCAAGTCATGGCTGTGGCTTCCTTTTGGGAGAAACAATCAGGTTGCAATTAGTGCAAACGGCTCACCAAGCAAGACGAGCTGGCGTGTGGTTCTTGTCTTTGTTTTGGCGCCGTTTGTGGGCAAACTGGCCTCATTTCTTTTTGGCCAACCTCACCCCAAGTAGTAGCTCAAAGGAATGCGAACAATCAGTGGCTGACTTCAATGCTGCCCAGGAAAATAAATTAGTGCTTCACCAACCGGACAAACGGCACTCCCGATAAATGAACCCTTATCACTTTGGGTGCTGTCGGAAGACACTTGTTGACGTCGCGTTTTACTTTTGTGCCCAGCCTTGGGTAAGGGTTTTCAGCCCTGCCTTACTGCCTTTGGGTTCGCTAGGCACCAGAAAAGCTGCAGTTCGAGAGGAGTGGCACGTGGCCGAAGGTGAAGTCGGACATGATGGAAGACAACACTGCGGGTAGTGTTTTAGCTTAGATGTCCCATGCAAATCTGTTTCAGATATGTGGGTGTCTTTTTTGGAGGGATCTCCACCCCCCCACCCCGAACAAAAAAGCAGCGTGTTCCTTTTGGTTCACCTCTAGAACCCAACGAAACTGGGCTGATTTCCAGGAGTTCCACCTGGCAGATTCCAACAGGGGGGAAATGAAGTTGAGGGTACCCTTTGTCGCTTTGTGGGGTGCTTCTACAAGGAAACCAAAAGGACAAACCACCTTGGAGGTGCCCCTATTTTTAGACACACCCATGTAGCCCCTTGCAGGGGTCCACATGAAACTGTGCCCTGCCTCCTCCGCTTCCTTCTCCTGGTTCGAGTTGTCTTTCTGCACCTCGGACCCATCACTTTGAGGGCGAACACTCAAGCCCCCACAAGCCCCTCCTTTCTGGACTCCTTTCCGATGTTAAACAGAAAGTAGCAGCCAGCCATCAAATCATTTTGAGACACTACAATCACGCTGTTTGTTGACTCCCAGATTCATGAACCGCTGACATGGGACACAGAACTAGCCGCCCATACCTCAAGTCTGGCAGGGACACTGATTCGGGCGACCAACTCATCATCAGATTCGCTGAGGAACTGTGCCCTCTGTTTGTCAACGTGCCGTACGCGTACTGTACACCAATATATATATATATATATATATATCGCCCAAATGCCTTCCACGTCGATGGATCGAAAGCCTGGTGGACGGCTTAGCAACTCCTGGAATCCAAATTCCCTCCGGTTGCCCCAGCTTGCTGCGACTATACCTCGAGCTCGACCCAGCTTGCTCCTAGTCTCCCCCCAAGTACGGCCTCGTATCTAGGGTTGCCAACATTTTAGCTACCCTGGCCATTCCCAAGCAGATCTCCAAAACTCCCGGCGCAAGCTTTGTTTTCCGTGTTCGCGGCACCCCGCGGCTAACCAAGGGTACCGGCTAACCAAGGGTACCGTATGCCAAAGTGTTGATTCTCATGACTACTTTGTCAGAAAGGGGATTCCCCTGAATCACAAGTAGCAGTAAAACTCGATTTGTTGCAATCATGATTGCAACCCACCTAGTGTCTCTTAACGCCTATGTCCAACAAGGCCAAGCAGGAACCGCTCTTGCCCTCCAACTAGATGGGAACCCACCAGAAGGCCCCCGGCTTGATCAGACCAGGGCCCCCAGATTCAAGTGACACCTTCAAGACTACCTCTACAATTTGTGTTTTCCGTGGACACCAACTACTTCCCATGTGACATTGTCAGAACCTGACTCCAAAAAAACAAAGCCACGCTCTGAGTTGCACGTGCCTCAACGAGGGGTTTCCTAATTTCCACCTCTGGCTTCCTTTGCCTCGAGCAAAGGGTCGATCACCTTTTGTTGGGCGATTTGGTTAGGATGGGGCACCCTGGGGTTCATCCCCCATGACCCAATTTGGATGATGATAGTTCTTAGGGAACCCCCGTGACCCAAGTAGGATGATGACAACCCTTAGGTAATCAATAGCGGTTATTTTAACCCCCCTTATTTTACTGGTGGTTTGAACCCCAGGGGAAAAAGCTCCCCTTCCACTTCGAACTGCGCGCCACGAGTTTTCCCGCAGGACCCGCGCAACTCGAGGTCGAAGCCCCGATTGGTTGGGAAGCGGCATACTCCGGGGGCACCGAAGAGAAGATCCCAGCCGCACTACCGCCGAGGACCTCACGCTCGGGATTGATCCCGGTGGCTGGGTGGTTTCCATCTGGCTGAGTCGGTGACAACCTTTTGGCTTGGAGGAAAACGGTTTACACTCAGATGCCCAGTGGCCATGGAAAATAAAGGGCAACCTTTCTTGGCTGGTTGAGTTTGAAGGGGAACCCTTCACACAAAAAAGGAAAAAAGGACGCCACTGGGCAACTGGGAACAGATTGTTTGGTCACACCAAAGTCCATCCTTAATCCCTCTCGAATTGTGGGCTTGTCACCTTGCTCTTGACTGGGTTGTTCAAGCTGGAAGGGTCTCTAATCCGAGTCTGTAACCCGGGGTGGACAATCACTACAACAATGAAAGCCACTACCATTTGAACCATCTGGCATGAGGAGAAACTGAGGATGTGAGAAGGGTGCGATATCTCTTTCCAACATGGAAACTAAGAGGGTGTGCGAAGACTTTTGGGGGCGGGGGGTTAGCATTTTGTTTTGTTGGCAGGGGGGGGGGGGTCTTGAGAAGAATGGCCCCTAAGGGAAACCAAAACGTACCAACTTTCCCGCCGCGCAGCGCCACTTTTGCACGTTGACAGGTGGTTCCACCAAGGATCGACTGATACATTTCTATAGGCTCTACTCAAACCTTCATACAGCCAGGCAGTGGGACAACCCAAAGTGTCGCCCAACTCAGTCTCCCAAAGCTCATATGTCCAGTTTCTGCTTCGTAGATCCCCCCCAAAGCTTTTGTTAATGACTAAATAAATACACAAAAAAAGAATACACCAGCATAGACCCCAGATAGCAATGATTGCACACCAGCACCTCCAACAGCACCCCAAACAGCACCCCAAACAGCATCCCAAAACAGCACCTGCAGCAGCACCCCAAACTGCATGCCCCCTGCACCCTGCCGTCAATCTCGCAAACATGCGCCTGCACCGTCACCCTAAGAGCACCCCAAACAGCACCCCCCCAGACACCCAGCCGCACCCCAAACAGCATCCCAAAACACCACCAGCATCAGCACCCCAAACTGCATGCCCCGGTGCACCCTACCGTCAAGATGCAAAAACACCGTCACCCCCAAAACAGCACCTGCACCAGCACCCCCAAACTGCATGCCCCCTAGCACCCTACCGTCAATCTTGAAAAGATGCGCCCGCACTGCCAACAGCACCTCAAACAGCACCCCAATCCGCAAAAACCAGCACCCCAAACTGCACGCCCCTTAGCACCAGCCCATCAATCTCGCAAATCACTTCCCCCTCTTCATTAGAAGTTAGAACCCCTATATCTTTCAGCTATCTGGGGAATAAACAAAACAGAAAAAAATGAAGACCCCCGGTTTTAGGGGGAACAAAACAAGATAAAACAAGGCTGACTCGGTTTTGCGCCAAAAGTACCCGCCGCGATCCTCCCCCCGAAAGCTCTGGCACCTGGGTGGCACGGAACTTCACCTCAGAGCCAAATCGAACAAGACATTGACAGGGGTCACCGGAGGTCCTTCTGTGCTACATGCGCATGTTAGCTTCCCCGTTTGGCTACGTGGGTGGCTTCTTGGGTGGCTTTTTTGGGTGGCTTTTTGGGTGGCTTTTTGGGTGGCTTTTTGGGTGGCTTTTTGGGTGCCTTTTTTGGGTGGCTTTTTTGGTGGCTTTTTGGGGGGGATTAAAGGGCCACCGGTGGCCAAGGGCTCTTAAAGGCCATCCTTTTGGCTGTTCTGTGGAGATTTGCTCCAATCAGAATCTGTGCTACATGTCGCTTTTTGAGGCTGCGCCCCCGTTTTTGGCTTGGCTTTTCATTGGTAATTTCCTTCAAGAGTTGAAGTGCACTGGTGGATTCAAACAAACCTGCCGCTTTGCGAGTTTCAAGAAGGGACGCCCCTTTGTGATTGTGATCTAATGCGCGCGTTGCTGAGTGCCGCCTTTTTTGGTGGTTCTAAAGGGAAACCAAAAGGAAAGCCCACCATCTTCGAGCTTCCTTCCAAAAAACACCCGCCCAAATGAGCGTCTTCTTTTGAGGCACCCTTTTTGGGCTATGGCTTCTGGGAAACGACTGGCTTCCAAACCACCATTTTCGGGCTCCCCAATTTCGTGGGGACCCTTTACATCATCTAGCGGAGTCATGTCCACCAATCCCTTTTGAAGGGCTTCTCAATTCCACAGCCAAGCTGAACTGGGTATTAAATAGGCGCAAACACCCTGAATAAAGGCCACCACTTGGTGTCTGGGTTCACAAATTACACATCTCCCCTTTGGTTGCCGCTTTGGACATGTGATGGTAATGTCTGGGCTATTTAGTGTGGAGCGAAGTTGGAACGTCAAAGCTGATCTTATTTTATGTATGCTTTTAACAGGGCTCTTTCCAACATTGAAGGACCATGAACCACCACAATCCCCAATTGTAACCCACGAAGCAACCCACACACACACACCACCAACAGCATTAGCATGGAACCCACAGAGCGTCGTTTTTAGACTCCTTTTTGGGTTCGATGTTAACTTGCCGGGAGTATGTCCTCAGGGTTCACATTCCGGCGTTGCGCCTGGTTCAACCTGCAAGGGGGGGGTCCTCAAGTTCAAAAGCATGTGCGTACCTGGTCACTCCACGAAGCACATTTAATACCCCCACCTAGAATCAGCACTCCACCAGGGAGCTCGTGAATTACATATGCTGCTCTTCGTTAGGATTCAAAATCCCTAAACCAAAAGGTTAAAGTCGGCTTTGGATAACTATGCAAAAGGTTAAAACCCTCCCAACACTGACGTTGTTGCGGATAAGTCAAAACGAACCTGCTGTTCGCCAAGGACCTATTGCTCCAACCATTCTTTTCACAACTGCGCTGCGTCGTTTGGTTTTGGCGGTTCTCCGGAAGAAAGATCACTGGACAGTTGGAAATTTGCCCCTAAGCCTTGTGCATGACAACTCACGCCAAGCTATCAACAACTGGCGAGGCCCTCTTGCTTTAGGAGCAACATTGCCAGTCGTGGCGATGTCCCTTTCAAAACGACCGGACAAATATCACAAATCACCCTGAAGCACTGTTAGTTCACCAACTGTACAGAGAAACGAGAAACACTTGGCACACTTAGCGTTAACCGATACTTATTGCTCCCAACTGGCTTCCAAACTTCAATTTGCCCAGTCGACACTGGTGGAGCACGAATTGGAACCAAGTCTTGGAGGCTGATTGTGCTATCCCAGTGAGCCCGAAACCCAGGATTCGAGTGTGGAATCCACTGAGCAACTGATATTCACCACTTGGCTAAATTCCACCACGTGCGTTGGTAGGCTGCAGGTAAACCACAATGCAATGTAAAGAAACAAGCACACTTCCCTTGGCCCTCAACAAGACACCCCTCCCTCCCCTCCCCCCCCCCAACCCCCCCACCTCCCCCAGCCCCCAGCTAGTCCGAGCCAAAGCAGCCCAGGCGGAGCCCGGCGCCGGGCCGCGACCCCCCTGGCGTCCCCCCTCGCGGCCCTCCACCTGATCCGCCGGACGGAATCGTCGGATTCGGGCGGTCCAGCCGAAAAAAAGTTCGCAGAACCTGCGCCCCACGAGGATTTCTTCATTCTGATGCGAACATTTCATCATGGTGATGGTGAAGGCAGCATCATGATGATACCACAGCCATGGTCATTTAGCGACAGCGTAGTGAGATTCAGCATCCTTCAAACAAAAAGCCGAGCTCGGGGTGTGCTTTTAAGCGATCTGCTCTGGCTTGTCCATGCTTTTTCATACCTCAAAAGGAATCAACTACCTTGATGTCGCTGGATTTCTCTTGAGGTTGCATTTGATCCACAAGACTCCAACAGGACCTTTTCAAGGGAGAGGGGTTAGAGAAGGGAATGATGGCTTTGAAAGGCACCCTAATCTACAAACCCAGCATTGTGCCTGGCAGATTGCAGGGGATTTCCCCTTGGGCTTTTCAATTTACTGGTTGTTTTCCATGGAAACAAGCGCCCGTTCCAAAAAGGGAAATGGAGAAACGTTGCCGCTTGTCCGAAGGACCCGAAAAGGAAAGGTGATCGCCTTTTGGGGCCATGACCAAAAAAAGGGAAACCACAAGGTCAAAAGCCTTAGTTTGCCTTCATGTTGAACTTGGTTTTGCTAAACCCCTGGTTGATTAAAACGAAGCTTCCCTTGTCAGGGCTCGTCTTTTATTTTGCCTCTGGCATTCTTTGGCCTAAGTGCTCTTTCTGTTTGAGGAAGCCTAGGGTGAGAGGTTCGGTACAGGATGAAGCTGTATTGTTGCCTTGTGTGGCCGTTTGCTTTTTCTCCGATCTTTTTGAGCTGCCGGGTCTTTGGCAAGTCGCAAAGATTTTCCAACCCTTGATATGTTAGCACCATCATATTCTTTGTAGCTCCGCGGTGGCCACTGAAAAGCAAGCATTGACAAGCCGCCAAAACAGAACAACTAAAATGCAGACCAAAAAGTTGATCTGCGGTTCGAAATCGTTTGCTTAGAGCATCCATGCAATCCATGCATTCCATGCAATCCATGCAACTAAACCGCATAGTCCAACCCTCCAACCGCGTCATCCGCAGTCCGCTAATCATCAGGATCATCGGGGATTAGGTCTTGAAGCCTAGGTGTCTTTTTTGGCGGAAAAACAACACGATGTTTTTGTTTTTGTTTTTTCTCGGGAAGTGGCTTACAAAGCTTCATCTGACCAGTGGAAACCGTCCATTTCGAGCCAAACCGATCAAAAGAGACGCCTCTGGTTCCAGCGGTCAACGCTTCGCGGTTGGGACATGTTGGGACGGGTTCGGAGTTCGGGAGTTCGAAGCCGTGCCTCGGGCGGCATTCCGTAGGCTGCGCGGTTCCGTTCGGCGGCATCCTTGAGTCAACTAAAAGCGAGGCGATTGTTTCATGGGGGCTTGAGGGGGTGGGGGGGAGGGAGGGGGAGGAGGGGGGCCAAACAAGCCCTCCACAAGCCAAACAAGGGCTTATTTAGGGGCTTCTCCCCCTCCCCCCCATGACTGTTGAAAGAGCACTCCTCATGGATTTGTCCGGGCTGTGGGCACAAGGGAAACTTCTTGGAAAGGGGGGTGTGGGCACAAGGAAAGCAACATATGGATGGGGAGTTGTGTGCTTTCCACCTGAGCCGTGTTTTCTTACTTGTGTGGGGCCTATACACTGGAAGCACATACCTACGCAGAGGCTGTCGGGCCTAGGCACATCAAATTCACCCTCTTTCTTTGAAACATGCAAGCTTTTAAACTAAGCCTTTAGCTCAAGACAAAGGGGTTGACAGCTCCCTTTGCTAGCGGCTACGTGGAGGCTACGCGAGGCTACGCGGTCCGAGCGGTCCCCATGCCAGTTCCGCTCTCCTTTTGGCTCCTATTCCAAAAAAAAAAGCGCTGCTCAGCTGGGAGTGGATAGAAGGGACGGCCCAAGCAGGGCTCCATATGGTTGCCCAGGCCTAAGCTCGACTTAAAGACAGGGCTCTGCCTCTTGAAAAGGCAGCAAACTGGGTTGAGTCTCCCTTGGGGTGATCAAAAAAGGGAGCCCTGGCCGCCAAAGCGCGCGGGGGCTTGGTGTGGGAACCCTTCCGGGCACCCCCGAGGAGTCGTGAATTTCGCCAGGACCCTTCAAGTGCTTTGAACCTGATGGTACATCATCCTAACCCGTGGCATGTGAAAAGCAACAATGCAGCCCCACCCGGAACGCTGTCCGAGCAAAGAGCACAAAGCGAAGAAACGAGCCAACATGCATTTGCAATGCCAGGAACAGTGAAGAACAAATCAGGCAAATTGGCAATGGGAGTGGAACCAATTGATAATTCATGGGCCAGGGCCCCTTGAAGGAAAAAGCCACGCCTCAGAATGGCATGTCGTCTCCAAGCAACATATGTAGCAAACCAGAATATGTAAACTGGCTGGTGCATGGAATATAGACACCTCCCGTTTGCTCGTTTGAATTGCTCATTTGCGATCTGTCCAACCAAGGTCAAAGGTCATTGAGGTTCAAGATTTCCTTCGTCTGGCTGATTTGAACTCCTTTTCTCGGGTCAGGTTGGCCTGCCACATGGATTGGCCAAAGTCTGCGGTTTTGGTGTACCCCCAGACGCTCCCGATTCATTTAGGGCCCTCAAACAGCCAGGTTTTGAGACCCCCAAACACCTCCGGGGTGTGTGATGGAGGATCTGGGTCTTCCATTGAAAGCCCAGGAGCCTGTGGGCCAGTTGGATTGCCTTCCATAGAATGTACACAAAAGCCTCAGGCCTGCAGTTCAATATCCAACACCCACTCGTGGATCAAGCTGTGTGACCGCCACTTCCGAACGATCCCCGTGTGTTTCACCCCCAAGGCTCACCACACGTGACTTTCCTTTACTTTTAACGAGATTGCACCCCTCAAGTGGCCAAACATGGGGTTGTCCTAGAGAATTCTACCCCCCCCCCTTCCCTACACCCCCACCCCACCCATTCAGGAGCTTAAGGACCTAACAAGGGTTTGGCGGGTACTAAAACGACGAAGAACAACAACAAAATGGTCAGTTTCGTCAGATATCACTCCCCGCAGCTTTTGCTATCCCAGTGCTTTCCCGGTTGGGCCGGTGTTTCCCAATTTGGGAGGCTCGGGTGCGCGAGCGCCACGGCTTCGCGCGCCGCAGCGCATCACAAGATGTGAAATCATTGGAGTGCCAACCTGCAGTAAACTTAAAACACAAATGGAGGGTGAACAGTGGGTGCTCTCAATTGTGAGCGCAACTCGAATTGGATGATAAGTTGGGGCCTGGACAAATTGAACGACACGCTAACGACTATGCGCACAACGACACCCCTCCACACCACTGTCCCATTTCACGCAACCGGCGCGACTTCCCCTTTTTACGCCCCTTTTAAAGGGGCCTTTTTCAATCTCTTGCCCACTTTGCACCCAGGAAAAAAAGAACTTGACCTTTTGGGTTGCCATGACGAAACATGGGAACCGAAAAAGGGGAGGAAACCACAAGGCTAAAAGGTCGATTCGCTTTGGGCAAGTAAGTTCTGTATGGGGGCCCCAAAAAAAAAAAAGAAGTTCTTGTCACGCACTTGTCTGAGCCTCCCACCATCACAACATCAGCCGCACGTCACGTCGCCATCGCGCAGAGTTGATGTGGCTGTCCGCAATACGTAACTATGCTCCTGAACGTCACCTACGCTCCGGGAGCATTTTCCCACAACCGTCCTCATCCAAAAGCAAAACTGCCCAAAACCAGTGGAAACCACAGGGTTGGTTGTGTTACCAAAGCTGGGATATGTAAACCCTGTGGCTGGCTAGATGGTTTTTGTTTAATCAACTCAGCTTCCGGCTTTTTGGCAGGAAGTTGGAAAACGGGCCAAAGGCAATTTCAGAATGGTCTCCATCGGCTCGTTGTACTTCTTTTTGATCTGCTGTCGGCGTTGGCTGACTGCGGTGGCACTGCGAGCCTCACGTCACGTGACGGGCTCGAACTTTCACCCTGCTGCCAGCGCCGATGGTGCCATCAATATTCAAACAGCTATGACTCCCAAACTATAAGTAGGGACTCGCCCCAGAAAAGCAACGTCAAGCATAAGCTTGGTTTAGCCCTGAATCGTTGAGCTCGGTCTAGTTTCTCCAAAGTAGTTGACGGCTGTGTTTTTCATTTTGAGTCACAAGAAAAGGGCGATTTGAAATCTGCGGAAGTTGCTCTTCTTCAAAACTGGAAGTTTCATCGCGGGTCCAAAGAAACAACATAGTTATTAGCGCGAAGGCGCTCTATCCTAATCCGGTGATTTGGGGCCAGGATGCACAAATCCATGCGCGCTACGGGAGCCAGGAAGCTTTAGTTAAAACAAAGGCTGCCTTGACGAAATCCGAATTTGAGCATCACCGTGTATGGCTAAAACCGTGTGTTGGTTTTAGTCTTGATCCATGTTCAAGGGTCGCGGAAGTGCATCGCATCATTGATCGGTGCTGAAGGGCCTCCCCTCAACATCCAAAGGTTTTCTGAAGGCCACCTCTCCTCCAGCTCCGACATCAGCTGCGGTAAGGGTGGCACTGCAGTGCCGTACCTCCAGGGATGGCTTGGAGCCCCGTGGCTTGGTCCAGTCGACCCGATGTACTCCACAAGAACCAGGGGTTCACGTCCCCAAGCTACCAGTCCAAGCCACCATCTGTGGGTTACCTGAGTAAGTTGCGATCAGCTCCCTTAAAAGGAGCTGCGCGCAATTGGGGTTCCATGTGCTAGCTGACTATAGGCAGCCCTATGCGCGCTGCAATGCACTTGTGAAAGCCATCATCTATGCATCATCTTTGCCTTCTCTTTCAAAACGACCTGAAGTTCCTGAGTGCCTACATGATGATCACTGGCCTCAAATATTACAAAATAGAGCAGAAACAACAACTTCCCAGAAGGACAACAACAGCTTCCCACATCATTGGCTTTTCAACAAAATGCTGCGCGTGCTACATGGAAGGATTGGCAATCTGCATGTGCATGCATCGCATACAGCATGAGTGTGTTCTACCTTGGCAAGATGGACAACTAAATGTAACATGGTTGCATGGTTGTCGCACCAAGGCAGCCAACCCGCAGGTTGGCAAAGCTGTTCACTTTAGATCTTGGTTCGACATCCAGAGCTCAATGCCTGCAACTTAGGATTTATCCAGAGCTCAATGCCTGCAACTTAGGATTTCGGGTTTTATGTTGACCCCAGGCAAATCAACCTGGGGTGTTCCCCCATATGTACAGTATCTGCTCTAAAATGACCATGTTGCGGATGAATAACCTTTGCAAAGGTAACAGAGAGATACAATAACACAGGAAACCAGATGGCATTTGCATGATGAAGCACGAGAGGAGACAGCTTGCAAATGAGATAATAATATAATAATCGACCGTTCACAATCTCACAAACAAGGCCAACAGTGATCCGGAAGCTGTTCTCACTTCATATCACGATCTAAGTACTTGTGTATATATATATATATATGTTAATTAGAATTTGTCCTTCTAACCAAGATGCTATAAGTTCCTCCTTCTATATTTTAGCTATCAATAGTGTATGTGGTTACTTGTACTTTGGACCTTGTCAAATGCAATAATAAGTACTGTGTAAAATGATGTGTCTTCTTACCTGCTGTCCTATTGGTACGAGTCACATGTTTGTGGTTTAAAACGAAAACGTCTATTTTACCTCTCTTGTATGACCATGTTATGATCTACCCTGCTTATTTAGATTATCTTCTTCACTCTTCGACCTCATTGTTTTGTCTTCCTGTACCTCTTTAGCACCATCTACTACATGTTTATTTTAATGTTCCTGTAGATTTGGTTTCAGAGGCATGGTGCAAGTAATGTAACTCTGGAATCCAAATCCTTGAAAATAAGATAATAAACAGCCACGCAAAGGAAACTGCATGATAAGAAGAACATGCCCGTTAACTCTGATGTTGTTTCCCAGGGATTGAAAGGGTACAACTAATATTTGTTGTATTCAATCGTTTTTGTTCCTTCTCCTTGAGTTACCTTTGGCATGTTCTTGAGGTCACTCAAAAAAGGGGGTCCTGCGACAGGAAAGGGAAGCCATAATTCCTTCAATGATTGATGGCATGAAGACTCTTGAAGACAGGTGTGTACGTTGAAAATGCCAGAGGTGCCCAACCAATCAATCACTTCCAACTCCCAGTTCCCTCACCGTCTCTTCTGCGTTTATATCTGTTTGTATGAGTGACGAGAGAGGATTGGTTGTTTGCTTGCTTCCCAAACCACACCCGAGCTGTAGCAAATTGCCCAGACTTCTGGCGAGCAGCCCCGGGCTCAGAAGGGCAGAAACCCATGTGAGCAAGGCGCGAAACCGCGCGAAACCCCCCAACCGCCAACCACCCCGCAGCGGTTTGGCCGTGTGAAAAACATGGAGTACCCAAAATGGCTTGCCCTGGTACATGGAGCCAGGGACTAAAGCCTGCGTCCCATAGCCTGGCAGAACTTTGAGCCATACCCATCTAGGTCCTCCAGTAGAGAGCTTAGAATAAGGGCGCCCCTTTTTTTCTGTAGTCTATTTTAGTAGGGGAACCCCCCCCCAAAAAAAAGGGTAAATGGGGCAGTACTGCGGGACCTAGCCATACTTTTCCCCAGGAACCATCCCGTGGTTTAAATTTGACCCATACCCAAACCGCGCCGCGGTTTAAGCACCCCGAAGCCCTTCGACCCGAGGGGCATCTCCCAGCTGCTCACCAGCACCGCTCGGCTGTTTGGAGTGGCCTGCAGGAGAGGCATGGCCAAGTGACCTGAGGCGATCAGATCGAAGCGATTGGGCAACGTCCTCCAGTAGAGAGGTTAGAACAAGGGTACCAGATTGTTTTCTGGACGTTTGTTTTTGTAGGGGAACCATCCCTCAAAAAATGGTACAAGGGCGCTACTGGGGGACCTAGGCAATCATTTTAGGTGTCAACAAAGAAGTCGTTCCGCGATTCCCCAGTTCTCCAAATTCCCGACCTGAGATTACATGTTGGTTTCCCCAACCATGGCAACCATGTTAGTGGCCCCAAAAGGCGATCACCTCTTATTTCCAGGTCCCAAAAAGGTCGCGTAACCCCCATTTGGCGGATTGGATTGGTTTGGAATTGGCTTTTGAACGGCAGGTTCTTGTGGAGGGTGGATGGGGAACCACCAAAGCACCTCCAAACCACCAAACCAAAACACAAATTATGAAGGGAGGCTGAGTAGATGTGACCATTTGTGGCCCGTTTCCAGGGTTAGGAAACCCCTAAGCTTAGCTTTCCAAGGAGCTTTGCAACCCGCCGATCGAGTGGATGGGCCAAAGTAACCAAACTTTTTGTGCAAGGAGGAAAAATGGCTTGAAGCGAGGGAACTCAGGGAGTGAGTTTCTTTTTCAACCCACCTCACTTTTGGAGGGCCCTCAGACAAATACATGCACCAGGGTAAAAGTAGACACAGATTCCATTGTGGGCAAATAACCTTGAGGCTGGAAGATCACATCTTCTCACTCTGCTTCGTATCTAGCCTGCCCTGTAACATAATCCTGTACAGGGCATAGTGGAAGATTGCACCATCTACTTCACCAAAGTGTTACTGAAAAGCACGAAGCTGAACCTGTTTTGGGCTAAGTGACACAAACCGATTGAACTCGATCAACGTTCAACCTGGACCCAGCACTCAAAATCTTTGCTACCATCATCAACGCTGATGGTCAGCTCACTTCCTGTTCTGCTCCATCTATATACCACTAGACTGGTCGTCCGCTAAGAGTGACTAAAATCTTACCGAGCGTTGAGCCAGTGAAGACGTCCTGGACCTTAACCCCGGTAGTTTCTTTGCGTGTTGGCTCAAGTGTCCCCACTGACCGAAACAATTATATGCATGGTTGTTCCATGTGCCAAGCGAATCCATACGCTTAAGCATGCAATGGGGCTCCCCTTCATGAAGATCATGGACAACTGAAGGACAAGGTCCAAACTCCGAAGATGTGAGTCATACTGTGGATGGACGAAATCCACCACCTGAGAAACCCTGATGAATTCCTTGTAAATGGCAGCAAACAATGGTTGCAACCATGGTTTCCAAGTGGTGATATATAAATGGATTTCGTCCATTCACAGTCGTCATAGTCATGGTGCCCTTAGAGGTCCATGTCTAAAACTGCCGCACATGACCATCAGCGAAGCTTCGAGGGAAGAGGGTCTGAGATCTGGACAAACTCCTCTAATTCACCAACCGAACATCTGGAATCTCCAAAAAATGTGGCCCTCCTTCGGTGGTTGACCAAATGCCTCAGCTGCTTCATGTTGTAGAAAAGCAGGAAAAGGATACGCCAAGTCCCGATGTGGACTGGCACCTGGGACCCTCCAGCTTCCCAAAAGCACCCTCCCATGGTAGCCCCCCCCCGGCGTCCTCACTCCGGTTCTAACCCAAAGGAAGCCCCCGCGGTTCGCAAATGTGAACATCTCTCTAGGGGTTGATTCCCCATTCTCTTCAACCATCATTCTTTTCGAAAACCAGATCCGTTTCCCCTGCATTTTTGGCTGGTTTCCTTGAAAGAAATTCGGATCCCTGGAAAGAATTCGGAAGGTACCCCTAGAATCTCTCTCTCAGAGTGGACATCTCAACTGCTCAATTCCAGGCCCCGGAAGTAAGAGGCCCGCCCATAGCTGGCCGTTTGGAGAAAAATCGAGGTTTTTTTTCCCGGGTAAATGGAAGAACCCCCATCTAAACCAGGAAGTTTCTACTTTGTAAGCAAACCACCCCCCCCCCAAAAAAAAAAAAAGAAGACACCTATGGGCTCACCTTTTGGACCTCGAAAGAATGGGCCGAAAGAAAAAAAACAAAACAAAGGCTGCACGGTCGATGCGCGAAGAAGGACCTTCCTGTCCACATGGAACCCGCCAAGAAAAAGGAAAAAAGGACAGGCGCCTTCCGGGATCCAAAAAAGGTCAGGTTCCATGTTCACGGACCCCCAAAACGAGACATACAAACGAGTCCACACGCAAGATCTTCATGGGGAAGCTCGCTAAAAAAGATATCTTCAACATGGGGAAGCTCGCAAAAAAACAAAAACGCAAACCAAACCAGGATTCAACATATTGAGCTAGTCTTACTCGCAGGGAACTTGCATTTGCTTAAGCCCTTCCATACTTTCAGTTGTGATAGATTCCTACAAAAAGGAAATATGTTCTTAAGCAAATGCAAGTAGACGGCATCAAGGGCTCAAACCCCGGTCTGGCCGCACCTTGCCTCACCTCCAGTTGCTGAAGGTGTCTAAACATGGCACATGCACCAGTCATGAGCCATGACCACTTTCCTGGAAAACAAACAAGCAAACAGGAAAACACAAATCAAGGGCAATGAGTACGAATCAGGGGAGGTTCCCCTTGAGTAAGGAAATTTTCCATTTTAATCTCTTCCCCCTATTAATGAATGACCCCAATTAATAAAAAATGGAAATCCGGGGCCCGGGACATGATTTCCACTCCGCACAATTGATTTTCCATTGCGCCAATGCTAAACCAATACTAGTCTTGGAATCCTTGTTAGGGGGCACTTTTAACAAGCTTCCAGCCCCACTTTTAAAAAGGTGGGTTCCTCAAAAGATGAATTCCCTAAAAGGTTGCTTCCCCAAAAGCTGGCTTCCCCAAAAGGTTGGGTCCTTTTGGTGGGTTCCCCAAAAGGTTGTCCCTGACTCTCTCCCCAAAAGGTTGTCCCTGGTTGTCCCTGACTCCCTATCAAAATTTCCTTAATAAACCGCTTACTCGCGGACCTTACAATTCAATCCATTTCCTCCAAATCCTATGTGAACCCTCACATTGTTGGAAAAGCAAAAACAAAACAACAATCCTGAAAACCCAAATTAAACAAAAACATATTTATTGGGGATGATATTTTTTATAATTGGGGGGGGGACCCGTATTTATTAATGGGGGGAAGAGATTAGTGGATCCCCAGAAGAGTGGGGTCCTCCTGATTCATCGAAGTCAAGACATATTGCCTTCTGTGGGCGTGGGGTTCAGGCCGATCCTCGGCCCCCAAACATCTCTGCGGCCTGAGGGGCACAGCATGTAGGTGCCGACGAGCCTCGGATTGGATCGATCCAAGCTAGGCAGCTAGATGGGAAGTTCTACAGGACCTCCCCTTGGTTTTGAGAACTCCCAACCGCGGTTTGGACTCCCTATTTACCGCTTGGGTCAGCTTCCCTCTAACTCGTGGTTTGGATTGACAAACGGGGCTCATTTTACGTGACTCTCCTTTTTGATGGGTGACGTACCTCGAACCCCACAAGCTGAACAGTTCCAGGGCGTTAGGAGTCAACCCATGAATCGAAAACAAACTCAGTTGCCCCAGAAATCGAGGGTAGACCTTTGGTGCGTTCAAAAGATCGATCCGATCTGAAGCGAGAAGCACCATGGGTCCGTCTTCACTTTGAGGGTATACCCCTTTTTCCCCAACAGCTGAAAGCTTTGGGGTCGTCCGGGGCGGCCCTGAGGTAAGGTTCCACGAGGGTTCCACGAGGGTTCCACCAGAGTTCCACCAGCTGCGAGGGCTGTGGGGTGGTCCGGGGTGGTTTGAGGTAAGGTTGGCCCCACAAGGCTCCACAAGTTCCACAAATGTGTCGTGCGCCCACCATCTGAAAAGCCATCGGAGCAGTCAGAAGATCGCTTTGCTCATGGGCGGAACACTAAGCAAAACCGAAATCAATGGTTTTCAGCACACTTTCACTGTTTTGTCACTTGACCACTTGCTCAGGCAACGCGTTGGCTTTGTGGCAAAGTCACTGTGTGGCAGAGTAAATGCTTGTGATTACTGAGTACTACTTGGTGGGCTTTGGGTTCCAAAGGCTCCACGAGGCTGCGAGGGCTACGGAATAAGATTCAAAAGCGCTCCACGAGGTTTCCACCAGGTTCTGCAAAAGCTATGGGGCAGCCTTGAGGAAAGGTTCCAACAAAGTTTCACGCTGAGCCCAAGAGGGTTCCACGAGAACGGTCTGCGAGGTTCACCGGGCCCAGTCGGGCAGGTCGGGGCCCGATTGCGCCGTCGGGCCCCGATCGCCCCATCAACCCAAGCCGGTATCGCCTAGTTTTGCTAGATAGACTTGTAAGGCCGCATCCTAGGCAAAACCGGCGTTCAGCAATAATATGGGTGGCTGGGGTTGGTGGGAGCCCGCCTGCGCCACGGGACCATCGGGCCGCGGTCGGGGCCCGATTGCACCGTCGGGCCCCGCTCAGGCCCCGATTGCACCGTCGGGCCCCGCTCGGGCCCCGATTGCACCGTCGGGCCCCGCTCGGGCCCCGCTCGGGCCCCGGGCCCCGATCGGGCCCCGATTGCGCCGTCGGGCCCCGATTGGGCCCCGATTGTGCCGTCGGGCCCCTGTCAGGGCGCGATTGAGCTTTGCTTCACAAAGTTACAAGGAGGCATCCTCAGCAAAACCGGCGGTGAGGTGGGTCCCGGCTGTTGGGGATATCGCCTGAGCTTATTCTGGGTTGGTTTCAATCGAAGCCCAGAGGAAAAGCCGAATGGAGGTTTTCTAGAAAGAAGGAACCCTGGAAAGAATGGACATGGAAGGTCCACTTTTGGTGGGATGGTGGAAACTACCAGGCTAAATCAACTAAAGCTAGCACCTTACGGGGATGGCTGGGAATCTCAAAAAGCTAAAACCCCATAGCCCAAACAGGGATCCTTACATTATACACCTAATGGTGATTTCCCTGTATTTGGGCGGAACAAGCAGCATGTTTCAAATGGTTGCAACATGGACATCTTTTAATTGAGCCCTGTTTCATTTGGACCCCTCCCCATCTGACCCCCCCCCCCCCCGGGCTTCCTCTTACCTCCAAGGCCCCTTTCGTTTGGCTCAGGCGGCAGGTTGGCCGCGAAGGTCTCCTCGAACCCCTCCGCGGTGAGCCGCTTCGCCGGGCAGAAGCGCTGCTCCCCGCAGACCAAGACGTCGAGGCCTCGGGCGCTCCAAAGGCCACGAGGGCCAAAGGTCCAGCTCAACCCCCAGCTCAACCCGAGGCAAAAATTGACACACACCCCGGCCGGATCTAAAAAATATGCGGTGTTTTTCTTTGGCCGGGGTGGTGGACAAAAAACAAAAGGGACCCCAAAGAAGCAAAACCACATAAAAAGAGCCTGAGTAGTGGAAAACAAAGCGGGCCCCAAAGAAGCAAAACTATTCAAAAAGAGCCCGATCAGTGGAAAACAAATTGGGACCCCAAACAAGCAATCTTTTGAGGAACAAGATGGAACCACCCCAAACAAAACTTCTAAGGACACCTCAGGCGGAAAAATGAACAGGAAAAACTCATTCTGAGGCCACGGGCTCCGAAGGTCAACCCCCACCTCTCTGCCAAGTTTTCAGATCCGGGTCGCCCACAACCCACACACTTCCCCAGGCAAGGTTCGAAGGTCCACTCTGAGGTCCACTTTTTCGTATTTTAGTCAGGTCACATGGACTCCCCCAAGACCGACACACCTTGGGGAAAGGAATTCTGAGGTCAAAAGGAATTCTGAGGTCAACCTGCACCTCAGCCAGCAATCCACTCCAATTCTAAGGTCAAGCCCCTGCATCTCAACCCCATCTCAAGCCCTTGCATCTCCACTCCAATTCTGAGGTCAACCCCTTGCACCTCTGCCAAGAAAAAAGAACACCCGGAGGGACTTCCGCAAAAGCCGACTTGCACCTTGGCAAACACCGGTCCATTGGAACCAAAGGACGGCGGATCGCTTTCGCTCTCGCTTGGGATCCAGGAGTCTCTGAGTCCCGAGTGGGTTCCAAACCGTCATTCAGAGCTGCCGGAATTTAATCCCCACGGCTTCGCCCCCCTCAGTGGAAGAATGTGTAAAAAAGCTATTCAGGGTTGGCACGAGTTCATTCCTTAGCAAGAACATGCGCTCAAAGAACATGCGCTCCAAACAAAAAGGAGACGAGACTTCATCCCCCCCAATCAAAAAAACATGCGCGCAAAAACAACAAAAACAATGAATTCGCCCCCCAGAAGCCAACGAACACCTGCGAAGGGGTTGCCTTCGTTTGGGGCGGACCCAACCTCAGGCCTCGGCCCTCGCCCCCGGCAGCCGAGCTGCGCTTCTGCGGCTCTTTGGCCTGGAACTCGCGCCTGGGAGGTTCCCACCCCTTCCATTTCGGCGCGTTGGTTCGCCTCCAGTGAAAAGATGAGGTACTCATCGTCCAGTAGGGAAATCGAGTCCCTGAAAAAAACAACAAGATGAAAAAAAAACAGAACAACATGTTAATTTCGGCAAATGGAGGCACCGGGACGCTTACCTCTACCCCACGTTGCCATGGCACTCAAGATTTCAGTTCTTGAAGAGACCTCCATGGCAAGGTGGCAGCAAGAATGATGCGGTTCCCAGAACCACCCTGTCTCTATGGGAAGTGCCTCCGGTAATGTATGCTCCGGATGAATAAGCACGTCCTAGAGGTGCCACCATGGTAAAGGATTCCCAACTAACAGGGGAGACATCCTATGAATCCAGCAGGGGTTTGTTCATCCAGAGTTCCCATTGTTGTGAATGCAAGAGTGGAACTTGGAATCCAACGGTGCTGCTTGTCCGCCACATTCTCTGGACAAGTCCGACGTTGACCTTCGGTTCTGTAGCCCAAAAAAGCGCGGCCGGAGGCCAAGATTTCCTCCCACCTTTCGGATGGGCCTGACACAAATAGAAAAGCGGAAACCAAAAGGGTTTGGCATGTTAGGGTCCTCTGCCTCTTTGACACGCTTAGACCTCCAGGGCTTGCAAGCATTCTTCCAGGTGTGGGTACAGCAAAACCAAATTTAGTCATTAGTTTTAGCGTACACTTTTGGTGGTCTTTTTCCAGCCCTTATTGTACCTTGGAATCTTCCCTCGGTTTGCCATTCGGTGCCAACAACGCATCCAATGGTATCGATGTCGGGATCCCCACTGTTGCCCAAGGGCAACCATCGGAATGTACTGAATGTGGACTCACTCTCTCTCTCTCTCTCTGCCGTGAATGTGGACTGCTCCCTCACTTACTTTGCGCATTGGAAAGATTCGAACCTCTGGAATAAGGGATCCCAAATACAGGGTCATCCTGGTTCCAGGCGCAGATGCGCAGATACTGTTTGGGGGTAAAGGAATTGAAAAAGAGCTTCTGCAAACTGTCCACCTGAAGTTTACGGTTGGTCGCACTTACTTGAACAAATGTGCCACGGAAAGTCCACACTTCCCGCTTGCCACAACCAAAACAAAACTGTCTTCCCCTAAAAGGGACTGAACAGCCCCCTTTATCTGTTTAACCCAGAAGCCAAACTGTCCTCAAATCCCCCGCTAAAAGCTTAACTTTTGGTGAGTGAGACGGACACCCCCCCGCCCCCATCGGCCGCCCCGACGGCCCTCAGACGACGCATCACCCATCGAGGCGCCAGCAGCGCATCATCTCCGCCTTCAAGCTGAGGTCCCCCAACAAAACCTGGACCTCCGGACAGGCCTCGATTTTTTGCTCGTGTCGATTCTTCGGTGAGGCGAAGCGAATCTCGGCCAGGTGGCTTGGATTCGCTTGGATTCGCTTGGGAATTCACATCCCAGGGTAGAGGGCAGAGGGTAAATGAATGTAAAACAGCTAGGCAAAAGAAACCTAGCCGCAGCACAAGTACCAAACTAGACCAAGTACAGGCCCTCAGACCTTGTCGGATACCAAACCGGAGCAGGACGATTGGGTCAAAAAGCCCCGCAGGCCGTCCAAAACACGGGGATGAGTTCATCGACCAAGGAAGCAGGACACCTCTAAGACAACGCGGTGGCTCGCAAGATTCTTGACAACCCACCTCTAAATGGGACAACCCCATGTCCCAAAAACATACATCAACGCCTTTGAAAAGGAAGTTGGGATTGACGCTGAACAACTGCACTTGAAACGACTAAGCCAAAACTTCCCAAGCCCCCCCCCCTGCGCGAATCCCGGTGGTGCGAAGAATGGGGGAACATGAACATACATGTTCCATGAGTTCCCTCTGAGTTCACGGGTTAAGCCAAAGAGCAATCAAGAAGCACACCTCAGTACAGTGCAAATCATGCGCTCATGCCAGGCATCGGAAACAACACTTGGGAACATGACAACTAGGTATGAAAGTTGCCTGCCCAAAGCCTGGCAAAACTCAAGGAGGGCGGGTGGGACTGTCCCTTACACTCATCTACCCAGGTGTTAATTTTGGCCGACTTGGAAATTTCAACCAAGTTAGAGCAGCTGGCAGAACCAACAGCTTCATTCCAATTTTGCTGAAAGGTTGGAGCCCTACGCTCAAACGCGAAGTTGTTCGTTGCGTTTCGGCCATCCATTTCCTGCTCAGAGTTCGCTGCCGCAAAGGAGGGAGGCTCGGACCCTTTTGTGGGCGCCCCTAAGCATGACCACCTTCCATCCGGGCAAAATATTAAGGTTCACACCTTGGAAACATCAACCTATGATAAGAATGTTCATCCTGGGGTAACTCCCCCCTCGCCGATCGGTGCGCTCGTGAACTATTTTGCCCGAATACATTCCCGGTAGTGCCCCGAATCAAAAACATCAACTTTCTACCAAATAATTTCTTGGTTTCCAGTAGTGCCCCGAATCAAAACAACAACTTTGTAACAATTTCTGGGTTTCAGAACTCAGGGATTAGAGCTCACCAGAAAACCGGGTGGGCATAGTTTTCCGAGCGAAACGTGCCTGGTCTCGGGTGGCAAAGCTGAGCTGGTGAACCAGCTCATCTGCCACCGACTGACTTCGGCACACCTCAGCGCCAGAAATGCTCTGCTCTTTTCTTGGGAGCCCATTTAGGTTGGTTGGTAATAAACACCACAACTACCATGTCATTGCAGGACCCTGCTAGCGTAGCTCCCTCTTCAAGAGAAAACTTGGGAACCCTCAGCTCCTTGGCCCCCTTCCAATCACCAGCGAGACAAGGAAACCGAGCGCGTTCTCGGCTCCCTTTAGCCGGCCCAAATTCGTCGCTCGATTTGGCGGCCGCTCGGAAAAGTGCCCAATTGTCGCGGAACCTGCTGGCAAAGGAACCCAACCAAATCTATGCAGCTTTTAGAGGAAGGGAACTGTTGTTGGGGTCCTATGTTGTCGGCAGGGGGGGTAGTCGGCAGGGGGGTAGACTTCGTTCAGATAGGTTCTAATTCAAATTATTTCGGCCCTTCTCAGTTGCCCAAAGGACAGAAGAGTAAACTTTTGAGACCTTGACTTTAAACTCGGACCAACACCAAAACGCCAAAACTGCAACATCAAATGGTAAAAGGGTCACAGGTCTTCTTTCGGAAACTGCGCTTATCTTACTTCTATGCCCAGCCAAAGGCAAACGCCACGTTGCCCTGGCGAGGCGGGAAAACGAGGCGCCACATAGAGCGTGGCCCCGCACTCCAGGAGGAAGCGTGCGAGCTCGCGGCAAACCGAATCCGTGCCTGCCCAATGGGTGCTCAGGTGGTCGATTGTGTGGGTGGCTCGTTGGTCGGGTGGGACTGTAGAGGGGCGAGATCGTGCACCACTTTGATACCATGGTTGAAACCATTGCTTGCTGGTATTTATTGGGGAATTATCATTTCGGTTTCGTCCATCCACAGTAGGGTAGGAAGTGGCAAGTAGGTTCTGACCCCATGTGTTTTCCCCCAAGGTCGGCTCACCAACAGTGAGGTTGGGGTGGTGAACCCTGTCCGCGAATAAAGAGGTTTCTGCTCCAGAGTGCGTTGGAAACATATGGCCCATCCACGACTACCTTCATCGGGCAAGTGGATGCAAGGGGCTTTGGAATCAGTGTGGGAAGCCACATGTGATTCGAGGGAAGCAACGGGGAGCAAGGGGGTCGGTGAATGGAATCCTGTCACACAAGGGGTCTTGCTTCTCAAAAGTTGCCCGCAATTCGTTTGTTCCCATCTGGCTTCTCTGCGAATACCGCCCCCAATGGAAACAACATAAATGGGTAGTCGCGAGGACCAGGCTTTGGCTGGGGACCAAACAAAAACTTAAAGAATGGGGGGGTGCTTCGCCAAGTGTAGTCATAGCCCCTCAGAAAAACCATTCAGAGCTTCAATATGCTTCAATGGAAAACCCTGTTCAGTTTTTCCGATGGGAGTAAGACACACGTTCCTTTTTGGTGAAATGATGTGGCTCCCTTTTTTTACCTATCGCAATAGCCTTTTGGCACTTTGGCGCAAACAATGAGAATGATTCCAAGACCTAGAGGTTACATGCACTCGAACAATTTTACAGGTGAATGAAATTCAACCGATGAAAAACATGTTGCTCACAGGTTTCTTTTGACCCTATACTTTCTTGCTGGTGCTCAGTAGGGAACCTGGGAATGAACTCAGGGACCCCCTTAAACGAACCAAAAAACAAACAAACACCAGGGATGGTTTAGAGGGGGTCATTCCAGTTCTCATTCCCTGCATCTCTCGCACCAGCAAGCTTTGTTTAATCGTTATATATAAAAATATATATAGTTGTTATTCATTTATTTATGTGTTTGTTTATTTTTTGTTTATCATGCTTTTCTCAAACCATGGGTGTCCAAAGGATTTTGGTAGCTTTCTCCGGGTTAAACAGGTCAAGGCCCATTCGCGATCTGGGCAACTCCTGAGTATCTAGCAGGGCGATTCAAGCCCTTAGACATGCTGCAAAACCAGCATTCAACACTCTCCTTTGGGGTGCCTCTAAGCGGAATCAGTGCAATTGCTTGAAGAAAGGCTGCCCGGCTGCCCCAATATGGTACTCCGAAAACATCAAAGGAGGGTGTTCTGAACTGATTTTGTTCCCCTGGAGTCTTAATTAAACAAAAAAAACAGTTTGCGACCCCTAGAAATAGTCCACATGGGCATGGCAGTTCAGTTGGCCAAGCTGGGGCTCTGCAGGACCTATGGGCCTCACGGCCTCCGGCCTCCCCCTCGCGCGCCTGTCATTAAGCAAATGCGCCCTCCCATCGGGGCTCGGAAGGTCCTGAGACAAAAAACTCGACCTTCCAATTTGGTCCCTGCGGCCGAAAGCCGAAAAATACACGTTTAGACATGTTCAGATGCTGGCCCATGTCTGATAAACCCAAACAAGATGTTCAAATTATGGTCAATGCGTAAGTGCCTCAACGCATCAACTCAAACCAGAGATGTCATAACCCGGTTGCGCCAAGCAACATCACACATATGAAGAACTCCCTGCTGTTGCCTGTTGTCCAACACAAAGTGGTTCCTGTAAAGGGTTATTTTGAGGCGTGTCAAAGCCAACATAAGTCACCACTTCATCACCAGACAAAGTCGTGCTAGTAAGCGTTCAGCCCCCTATACTGGGTTGCTCCCCTGAGCGAATGGTCATTGGTGTGCTGGAATCCACTTTGACAGCAAGCAGCTTGTGATGGGTAAGCCTTGTTTTGTCAAGACAGAATCCATTTGGCAGTTTCAACTGACTGCCTAGTTCAAATAATTAGTATACTTTGTGTGCCCCCGAAGGCCCCTTAGACCTTGTGGAAGCAAGGGGAAAACGACGCAACACAGGGGTGTTTCTTATGTTTGAGGGTACGCTTATTGGATGGCTTTGAAGGGACACCGACCAGTAAACCACACATTTTGGTTTGGTGTCAGATCCTATGCGGAGACAAACTCACACCCTTTGTGCTTCGCTTCTGCTTCTCTCCCTATTCTTCGCCCAGGCTTGGGCCGCTTAAACCACCTTGTCTCACGTCTGATCGAGTGGGTTGGCCAAAAAAAGCAACCAAACTTGCTGTGCAAGCCACTCAAGCGGTCCAAGCCCCAAAGGTGACTAAAGTCCGAAACAGAACTCAGGCATGAGTTCTGGTTGCCCCTTCAAGGTGACCAGGCGCTGGTTATCTCAACATACGTTGCCGCCAAGCCCTGCCCTTTACTTCCCCACCGGTATGTCAGAAATCCGCTGCCAAATGGCAGCCCTTTGCGACAAACGCATCTCCCTACACCTTGAAACGCAGCTTTGACCACCTCCGGGCTTAATTTATCAAAATCTGGCGAGGTTGGGTCTTTCCCTGATTCGCACGGGACAAGCCCTCTCACTCAACTCTCCCAAACGCCAACTCAAAAGATCTCCAAAGAATCATGAAAGGCCCCCCGAAGACATCTGAAATCAGTCCTGTTTGGGGTTGGCTAGGGGCAAAAATCAACACAAAGAGTCGTCCCGCTTTGCGACGAGGCCTCCCCAAGAGATCCCAAAAAGTTTGGAACTTAGCATGTCAACCTGGGATAAATCGAGATGACCATCCTAAGCACTGGCCTCACTATTTTAAATTTATCAGAATCAAAAAGTCACTCCCTAAGTGGGTTGAAGGGAAACAACCCCATTTTGTGACTTTGACAACCCCTAGAAACAATCAAAAAGAAACACCCCAGTGCTAGCAGGGACTTCTTCTGGGAATGCTACTTTTTGGGGGGCCCTGGCGCGGCATGTCTCAAACAAATCCGAACCTTGGCACCTTGGACACGCCCGAGCCACCCTTCGAGTTTGCCAACTGAGGACGGAACAAACGCAACAAACAGGGCGTCCTTGTTCCTGGTTGATCTAATTGCCCTCCCCCCCCTCGGAAACAAGGGAAAAGAAGGCGTAGTCCTCTCGCCCCCCCCCCCCCCAAAAAAAAAAGGAAAAAAGAACGAGCGCAAGGGGCGTAGTCCTCCCCCACAACATAAAAAGGGAGAAAAAGAAACAACCGGAAGGCGTAGTCCTCCCCCCCTGAAACAACAAGGTGGGAAAGCCACAAACAAAGCGCAGCCTGAAGGTCTGACTCCCAGGCGCCGTAGGTCAGGGGCGCGGTTGGCATTGTGCGCCTCGAAGCCGGCCAAGGTAAAGTGCTGCCTGTCGTTCGCATCCGGGCGAGTGTCGAGCAAGGTCAACGATGCCTGTCCGGAAAGGAAGGACCCATCAACCACCACAACAAAACAAGGGGATCCTCTTTAGCTGGTCTTTGGGGGATTTGTTTCACTGGCAGCTGGCTTCCTTTAAGGGACGGTGACCCTGTTCGAGGCAAACCAAAACTGCTTAAACACCTTGGCTCCGTGTAATGCATAAAACCATGGCAATTGGCGATACACGGAATCCTCAGATGTGGACCCAGGAACGGGCTGGGGGTAAGGCCGGCCTTGGTTTGCTCAGAGGGTGGCGGGGGCCATGGCCTTATCCACCATATGATACTGCCAAATGGATTCACATTCAACAAGCAAAACAGCATGTTTTACAAACAACTCTCTGTCTCAGTTGCCCAAAGGGCCCAAAAATAACAACAACTCTTTGTCTCACTTGCCCAAAGGGCCCAATAATGAACACATATCTTTGTCTCACCTGCCCAAAGGGCACAACAATAAAACCAACTCTTTGTCTCAGTTGCCCAAAGGATCCAAACAAATCAACAACGCTTTGTCCCACTTGCCTTTGGGACCCCAAAAACAGAAAGAAAGAAACAAGTGCTTACCTTTGCGGGCCACGGATGGAAACCCAAAATTGGCAAAGATTCTGTCATTTCGAGTCTTTGGGCTTCAGCCTTTTTCAGGCTGCCGGCTAGCAGGTGCAGTCGTTTTGGGTGGCGCACCCTCACTTGCCCGAGTGGTGAGAAAAAAAAGTGAAACAAACAACCAGTTGCAAACTTCGATGCTCCCTAGCAACATTCAGAAATACTCAGAGGCCGCTTAGGGGCCGACATGAAATGGCAGGTGGGAAAACCTTCTGGAACCTTGAAAAATACGGACATCAGGGAATCCACAAGGTTAAAGGACGGCTATGACGGCAACAAGTACCTTTGACAAGGGACCAACACCAGTTGACATAGTGACCCATGTAAATGGGGCGGGGGGGGGGGGGCGTTGAACAATCATTTGCAGACCTCCCTCGGTCTCAGTCTTGCCTAGAAGAAAAATGGTTGCCTGGGTAGCTCCTTGAGCACAAGGCCTATATTGGGTGTCGTTTTTGAGGCTACCTCTGTTGTTGTGGTTTTAACGGGGAACCAACAAGACAACCAACATTTTGGAGGCCCCCATTTTGACACACGCACACCTTTTATAGGTTGAAGGGCAAAACCATCTGGATTTCCAAACGGCCACAAAAGTGAAAGAGCCCCTCTAAACTGGCACTCTGCATCACGCTGCCTATTCATAAACCAGGATCGACCAGGGGTTGATTCATCCTGGGATCACAGTAGTTGGCAAGGTGAGGGCCGAAATGGTCCCTTCGCTCTGTGCAAACGTCCCACCGCTTTCAAGCAACGAAGGAAGGACAAAGCACTGAACACCCTGCACCTTCACAGATGGCGTTTGCGACCCGCTGGGACCCCAATTAGGCAAACCGACGTCCCCAAAAAAAGGGGCCTCCAAACCCCAGCAAGAAACCGGCGACAGGCGGGCTCAAACGCTCGAAACCCATTGCCTTTTGGCTTGTGCAGGCTAAACATCAACAGTTTCGGCCGGGAACATTTTGGCCACAAAGCAAACCGCCAAACACCAGTTCTGCATGTAGTTGATTTTACTTGTATTTTGAGGCTAGGTCCTCCACTAAAGAGGTTTGAATAATGTCCTTTTTTCTCTAGTCTAATTTAGTAGGGGAACCCTCCCCCGAAAAAGGGGAGAGAAGTTAAAAAAAGGGGAGAGAAGCGCACTACTGGGGGACCTAGAAGGGCCCAGGATGAAGCCAGGTATAGCACAACGTAAAAACGCCCATGTTACGCAGCGCGGCGAGGCGAAGCGCCACGACGAATTTTCTGCCGCGATCACTTTCGAGCGCCAGTTCGCCCACTTTTGGGGCGCAGTGACCCCGGATGTTTTTCAACCCCCGCTTGATCTTTTCAGTTTCTGCCGAGGCCCCTCTGCAAAAAGTGAATCACTTGCAGGTCCAAAAGAAAATCCACTGCTTCAGGCAAAGTTCAAGTCCAAAGATCCAACCAAGTAGACACAAAGAATCTTTGTCGCAAAGGTGTAACCCTTTCAGTGATCTGGATTACTTTCATGGGCGCCACTCCCGACGAAAAAGACCAGTAGGATGGGTTTATTCATCCGGGGTGAAAAAGGGTAGCCCAGGACTCAGGGAATGGGTGGGGGTCAACCACTCCACTTCTCGACTGGGCAGCGGGGTCTTGGCAAGGCCTCTTTGAGAGGACTGGCCAAGCGCACGCATCGCAGTGAGCAAAGTCAGTTTCAAGTCATTCACGGGCAGGCAGCTAAGCAAACGAAGTTCCCGCAACAAGGGAAGAATAAAAGGCCAAGGACAAAGGAAGCAAATACCCAAACAACAGCATACACCCACTTGTTCAGTGATGCTGGTAGGAGACGCAAGGGAACCAGATCGTTTTGCGGGGGGATTTGTATTCGGGAAGTCACCGAACAAAAGATTCGATTCTAGAGGGTGCCGCTGAACAACCGCGGGACGGGTTGCTGGGTAAGTGATTGCCGGGGGGAATCGACTGCGTCTTTGGGTCAAATTTCTCAAACGAGGTTGGCTTTTGCCCCATGTTGCCGGGTTTTTGCCGGTCCCCTATCTGCAATCCAGTCTCTGGATTCCCTGGAGAGGAGCCACTCATCTTACTTTGACCAGCTTCACTGCAAGCCCAATGCAAGCCGGTCACTTTGGATTGAAACCTGGGTCAGCTTTTGTGGGGAACCAAACGGGGGAACAAAGAAAAAGAGGGATGCAAAAATCAGTGCTTGGTTCAGTGCTGAGAACGCCTGCCACATCCTCCCGGAAAACTGACTTTCATCTCAAATATGCGCCCCATCGCTCGACTGATTCGCCCGCCGGAAGCGGGTTCTGCATGTCTTTTTTCCTCGGGCGCTCAGCTGGGGCCTTTCACCAGCAGCAAATTCTCACGCTCCTCTCTCCAGGCTGTCGTGCTGGCCTTGCTTGGCTTGTTCCTCGGATTTCGAGGAACACCGACTCGCTCGAGCTGCGAGCTGCGTCGATCGGCTGGTGAGCAGTGAGCGATAGCCAAGACACGCTTGCAACCCCGAAATGAACCGGCTCATGGTCAGGAGCGAATGCTGGGAATAACCTCACAAAACCACCGCCTTGTAGTTTCCAAGGTCCATTGCTTGACATGTGCGATTTTGATAGATTTCCTTAAAGCAACAGGGGAAGACAAATGGGTGTCTTTTGTTGATGGTACCCCTTTTCTGGTGGGTGCTCAAGGGAAACGAAAAGGACGCCCTCGTTTTTGTTTGGGGGAGGGGTCCAACCGAAAAGAAAAGACACCCAACAAAAAATTGCCCTGGAGCTCTTTCCTAGGACATGCCGCGAAAATGGCACAAAGGCTTTGGATCCATCCTCATGTAAAAAAGTTCGCCCAAAGGAAACTACGGTAACATCGCTCAGCCCAGAGGAAAACTTCCTGAAAACAAAATCAAGCCTGAACTGTTTTTAGGTGATGTGGTTCAACATCATGCGGAAATGAACGGTAACGATTGGCTTACCACAAAACTCATAATGCCCCTCAAAAACTTCATTCCAAGTGGACTGACCTGAAAAAAGTGGGCACGCTTTCTGCTTGGTTCCAAGTGGCCCAAGCCCAAAATGATGCAAAGGTCGAGTGGGCAAAAATGCCTTGTTGTGGTTCAACAGGCTGACTTTAACAGGGAAACTCCTCAAAAAAGGATCCCTTAAAAGAATACACCCAAAGAAACGTGGTACACATAGAAACTGTCTGAAACAGCTGGTAGTACATGTGGGTTTGTATGTTTTACGGGGGCCGGGCAGGAAGGTTTGAGTACGGGGTATGGTTCGCAGGTATGATTCGCGGGCATGATTCGGGGTATGATTCGGGGGTATGATTCGCGGAAGCAGCAGCAGCAGTAGTAGCAGCAGTAGTCGTCGAAGTAGTAGTACTAGTAATAATATTGTAGTAGTGACAATAGTAGTAGTAGTAGCAGTAGTAGTAGTTAGTAGAAGTTCGTAGTAGTAGTAGTAGTAGTAGTAGTAGTAGTAGTATTATAGTAGTAATAGTAGTAGTAATATATTGTAGTAGTAACAATAGTAGTAGTAGTAGTAGTAGTAAAAGTAGCAGTAGTAGTAGTAGTAAATAGTAGTAGCAGTAATCGTAGTAGTACTAGTAGTAGTAGTAGTACTAGTAGTAATAGAAGTAGTAGTAGTGATAGTAGTAGCAGTAGTTGTAGTAGTAACAGTAGAAGCAGCGACTGTAGTGGCGCGGAAGCTTTGAAAAGACTTGGCGCTGGCCTTGGCAAGGCAAGTTCATTGCGCGGGAATGATTCGGATATGATTCGCGGGTATGATTCTCGGGTATGATTCGGCTAGGTGCAAAACGGCACTGATTACCATATCAGAATGATGAATGTAGTAGTAGCTGTGGTGGTAGTAGTAGTAGCAGTAGTAGTGGTAGTAGTAGTAGTAGTAGCAGTTGCAGAAGTAGTGGTAGCAGCTGTAGCATTAGCAGCTGCGGCTGTAGTGGTGCGGACGCTTTGAAAAAGACTTGGCACTAGCCTTGGCAGGGGAAGCTCATTGTCCGGGTATGATTCGGCTAGGTGCAAAACGGCACTGATTACAGACTCAGAATGATGTATGTAGTAGTAGTGAGTAGTAGCAGCAGCAGAAGCAGAAGCAGGAGTAGTAGTAGTAGTAGTAGTAGTAGTAGTAGTGGTAGTAGCAGTAGTAGTAGTAATTGGAGGAGGAGGAGTAGTAGTAGTAGTAGTGGTAGTGGTAGTATTGGGTAGCACTGGTGGTGGTTGCTGTGGAGGCAGTGAACAACACAAAATGGTAGAAGAACAGTAGCATCTTGCAGCATACGTTTTAAGGGGTATGATTCGGGGGTATGATTCGGGGGTATGAGTCGGGGAAGTCCCACCTTCTGCCTTTTGAAGCAACTCAACACACCAAAAACGGACAAACCCAGTTAGCTTTTGGTTTGGTATCGGACTGTACGGCGCAACCGTGGGTTGCGTTTTTCCAAACGCTGGCCGGGTCGCCGGCCGGTACAGCACCCGCCCTGCTCCATTTCCTTGGGATTTCCGACCGGTCACCGGATTCAGCGACTTGTTGCTTGGCGGGGGGAAACAAACTTCCATTCGCTTAAGCCCTGGAAAAATCTCAATATTTCCAGTAGATTCCTTTTAAAACCCACATGGGATATAATACATATTCTTAAGCAAAGAAAACAACAAATGCAAAACGGTTACAACTTACAGCCCTCTCTGCATCCACAGGCTACACAAAATGTCACAAAACAAAACCTAAGCCTAGAAATGCGGCACGTCCACTTGGGGATGTGAAAAGCATAAAGCCGTCAACATGTCTAACAGGATTTTAACTCAACACATAAGAACAGCCATACAGCAGTAGCCCAAAAGGCAAAGCTGTGCCTCTATGTTAAAAGCCAACACGTTGCAAACTTGCCGGCGCTCAGCAGGGAATGAGGGAATGAACCCTGTAAACCATCCATCCGATTTGGCTTCCTTTATTCGGGAATCCCAAAACGAATCAATCCATTTCTCATTCCCTGCCTATCACAGCAAGAAAAGGCAGGCTTTTGTCTGGCAATGCATCCATGTGGGGCAGTGATGGCCTGGTGCGGGTGCACCAGGCCGTCAATTTGCGACGCTGGGCATAGCACACCACTCCCGCCAGAAGCCTCGAACGAGGCGAAGGATGCAGCGACTCGGAGGGTCGGAAAAATGGGTGCGCAGGTTTTGATCCATGTTTCCACTTACCAGGGTTCCATTTTGGTACCATTTTTTCAGCCACAGAAATAAACGCTGATCACCTTTTGGGATGATAAAGAGTAGGCCAAAAAAAGAAGGTCCAAAGGTCGATGCAAAAGCCGGGTAAAGGGAAGCGGGAACTACTCTTGCTCGGAGCCCAGTAGCCCTGGACAATGTTGCACCGATTCCTTGTTTGGCTTCTGAAGGCCCATCCCGAAAAGGGGAAGTGTGGAGCCCACTGGTGCAACTGCTTCTTGTGTTCAAGGTGGCCTTTTGGACAAATGGATGGGCCCTGGTAAATGGAACAAAACCCATCTAAACAAGTGCCATCTTTTTCTTGACCAGGCTCACCCAAAAAGGACACCTATGCTTGTGTTTCTTCTCCAAGGCGCAGCAACAGCATGCAGAAGCTACCATAGTGGCTCATGATTAGCTCCTCCACGTCGTCCAGCACTCTGGACATGTCCGCCATGGCTCGGAAACCGATTTTTCCGATTTCGGCAGAGCCGAAGCTGTCAGCCGAGCTAACAACGCGAAAGCAAACCCGACCTACCAATTGGACTGAACCTGAGTCACTTTGGTCTATGTCTTCGGAAGTGAGATGCAAAATCTGCACCTGGGAAAAACAACTTACCCCTTAAAACTCCAAGCCCTGGGGAAGTTAATCTTTTACAGACATATAGCCCATGTTACCCAAAAAGTTGAAAAGTTGCGTTTTTTAAGAGGTAAGACAAGCTTCACAGGTTCCCTCCTACAAGCACCTTTCCCTAGTGGGCCAAAAAAATCGGAAACCAAGAGCTCATTTCAGATCGATCCGCTGGCAAGTGACTTGGATCCGGTCGAGTGGGGACCTGCCACAAACACCAGCCTCAAAACTGTTCGCTTGCCACCGAAAGTTTCGGCAACAACGCCCAACAAGTCACAGTCTGAGACCGAACTCACGGAACAAGCCACGCCCCTTTTTTCCACGGGCTGAAAAGGGAAACCGCCAGAAACGCCCCCGGTGCCTCCCTCGCTTTGGGATTTCGGGGGACCGACGTCGACTTCGATCCAGCGCGCCGGCCTTCCGAAGAGGTACGGCTGGGCCAAGGCCGCGAAGCCGCAGAAGGCCATGGAGAATCGAAACGACTTCCAGCGGAGCTGGTGAGCTGAGAAAAAAAAAAAACTCGATCCGGATGCCTCGTTGCTTTTGAAAGACTTGGAGGCCTTAAAAAGGAAGGCCTCTGCTGGTTAAAAAAAAAAAAAACACGAAAAACAACAGTCTGTTTTTTGTAAAAACAAAAAATAACCAACAGGACACCATGCTGGGGTCCAACATTCTGCGAAGGAACCCAAGGATTTACCCAAGAATTGAGCCTCGCAAGTTCTAAGGCATGTGTTGCCCGGATGCCAGCGATCAAACCTCCGAGCTCATATGTGGTGAACAGGGGTTCGGATGCATGACAACCTGAACATTACAACTTGTAAATGGTGGTTTCCAAACTTATTTTGGTGTTGAAAAAACAACATGTCTCAAATGGCTGCGAAGTGTATCAATCTTAAGGAGCCCTGGTGAAGTTGGCGAGGCGTCTGCTAACCGAAAGAAAACAACAGCCAAACATCGGGTCAGCTGCAAGCCGAAAAGCCGCGGAATCCACGCTGATTTCAGAGGATCACTAGTCGTATACTGATTCAAACGTATTCAAAGCCATATATGGGAGCCACAGCAAGTGACAATTATTGGGTGACCATGGGCAACTCTTCCGTCCCATTTGTATGGCTCTGAATCCGTGGAATCCACAGTCGATCTCGCAAGAGCTGGTTACGCGCAGGAAGCCGCAGCATGAGTAGTTGCACCAAGGGACAATGGTTGAAATGGTTGAAATGGTTGGGTATCAAAAGGGGAACCCCCAAAAAATGGTGGTTGTCCTTTTGGTTTCCCTTGAAACCAACTCCAAACCGGGGTTAAAAGGGCCCTAAAACAACACAAACAAATGCCCTTTGGTTTCTCCCTGCATGTTCTTCCTCTTTGATCCCCTACGGGTATGGCATAAATGACCCTGGCTCCAAATAGCTCACCCATAGGCACAGACTTTCGGAACCCAAACGAGAAGTCCGAGGCGGGAGCCGCGCAACGAGTCTCATCCAAAAACTGGCCCAGTGACCCCGGAAAGAACACCAGCAACCACACACATTGTCTTGGTGCTGCGATCGGCAGCTCAGTTGTTCAGTGATCCTGGAGAAAAAAAAGGGAACCCTTTTTGGGGAAGACCAGTTTTAGTGGGGCAGCCAACCAAAAAAAAAGGGGAAAAGGGTGCCACTGAACAACTGAGGCAGGGAATGAGAAATGGAATGACCCTCCCAACCATCCAACCGGTGGTTTCCTTTAAGGGGGCTTCATTCCCCAGCAAGTTGGCGTCTCGTTGTTCAGTTCTAGTGGGGGAAGCAACCAAGCTGAAACAGAGTCGGAGGCTATCCTCTTGCTTCTTCCCTGAGATTCGACGAGGATATAGCGCAACCGGGTTTTAAAACAACTCGCCACAAGCTGCCAACAGAGCGCATACTGTACAGCGCTCGTGTCAGAGGGAAATTGTCGGGTGGCAGCCGATCAAAGCTTCGCGAATGGTTCAATCCCGCGTTGATCCTTGACTAACCGGTCTGTGCCCATGATTCACCCTCCAAATTCTGCAAAACAAGGAACACCCACCAAACGGACTCGCTTGAGGAAAACCGCGCAAAGAAACCCGCTCGCTTCCTTGCCGGCCGGCCGAAAACCTGCTCGCGGGTGAAACGCTGGATGCCCGTGCCCGCATCCGATCACAACCTGCGATCCATGCGGCCCGCTACTGGGCTCCAAGCACACCTTCCCGCAAGTCCCAAGCGGAAGCCTGCACAAAACGGACTCTGCACTTCCATTGATGGGGTGACCAAATCGATGAAACCCCTAGGCCCTAGGCACGAGTTTTTCCGAGCTTCACTTAGGGCCAAACCGATGGAACCCCTAGTCGTTTGGCTTCATTTCAGGGTAAGTTGGCCAGCTGGACCATCCAAGCGGGAGCTCACGAAAACGGTGATGCCAACCAAACAGACAAGCTGCAACGCACCCAAACGCGCCTCCCGAGTTCCGCCTGCAGCTCAGCGAGGAGGACTTGCAGAGTCGCGGCATGGGCGGGTGCCTCAAGTTAGGCACGGCACGGGACATACGGCGCCCGAAATGGGCATGTACCAAAAATCCCGGAGGGGGGGGGGGGGCTTTCCTTGAGATAAGGTCACTTCGGGGAAAAAACAACTAAATTTCAAAAAATAATAATAAGGGATCCCCAAGTAAAGCAATAGCTTTACCATGGCTTTCGCTCGTTTTACCTCCGGATCGGTGACCTCGCCATAAAACAGGGGGTGGCTTTCCTGTAGACAAGGGTTCCAGCAACCACTGCTCTCAAGGAAAAGGGCGGGTACTATGCAGAACCTAGGTATAGGCCCCAGCTTCCGTGGTGAGTAATGGTTTGAAGGTGGAAGACCCTCTCGGACTACATGGCTCCCCTTTGGACTTGTGGGAAGCCAAGCCTTTGTCGGATTACTTTGTTGGTTGGGTCTTGGGTACCAAAATCCCATTGGGGTGGGGGGGTCCCCAAATTCGATTTGTCCAGTATCCCGTATTCCTTATGAGTGAAAATGGAACCAAAAATGGAGATCTCCAAAGTTCGAAATCCCCCCTTCCCAAACTCACTTTAAGGGACCCAGCTCAAACCGCACAAATCCGAACCAAAGGATATCTCTTCCGGTAAGCCCCAAAGAGTTGATGGCTCGATCGATCGGGCGGCTGATCGATCGATCCATGGGCGATCCGACCTCGGCGATCCACTGCCGGATGGTGGCCTAGCGGAGTTCTGAGTGCCAAAAGGATGGGACCTAGACACAAAATGATCATCGAGGGGATGCGGTTAATACTCACTTGCCCAAAGGACCCAGAAATGAAAGGTTAACCTTTTGGGGCCATGACTGAAACGAGACCAACAAGGAGAAACCAAAAGGTCAAAAGGTCGATTCGCTTTGGGCAGCTGAGAATATGTTCATGATACATCGAGATGGGATTCTGCATATGTTAACACGTGTTTTTTTTTGCATGTCACCTGAAAACCACTCACATGAAAGGTGATCACCTTTTGGGTGGCCATGACGAACAATGAACCCAAATTGGAAAACCGAAAGGTTGAAAGGTCGATTCGCATCGGTTGCAACTGAGTCTTGTGCGACAGGGAATGGCCTTCCGGGTTTTGGGAATGAACCGGTCTTGGGGGGGGTTCCCTTAAAGGAACAAACATGGGATGGATGATTTTGCTCGCCTTCCCCGCCTATGGAACTGATTCGCAAGTGTCCCCTTTCAGCAGATCGGCCCAAAAGTCAACTTCGCGCTTCCACGTTCGTAGGCGACTCCCACAACCCGGTGCCGTCAGTGTGGAGGATTTAGAAAGGTGCTTGATTCCACGAACCCTCCTTTCGCAGGAAACAAGAGTTTTGCCTCTGACTCAGCCAAACCCCCCTCACTCAACATGAAAGCAGTTTCTTGTCTTTCCGGTTTGCCCAGACCAACGCACTTGGTGGGGCTATCTTTCAAAAGGGCAAACCCTTCAATATGCCCAACCAAAAGTCCAACACCCACTTGGGTGTCTCTTTTTTAAGGCCCCCCCCAGCTGTTCCTCTGAGCTGTCGTTTAAGAACCACTCAACATGGGGGAACCCTCAAAACAAATCAAAACAAGGCACTTATTTGTTCCATCAGCCCTGGAAAGCCGCCCCGCCTGGATCTTGTCTGCCTGCAGCTTGAAATGGGCCTTGATGGCTTCCGCGAACTCCTAGCGGTGAGGGTGAGGAGTGTCTCTCAAACGATCTTTCCAACCCTTGGTATGCTAGAAAAAAACCGACCGTTTTTGCAGCCCCCGACAAAAACATCAGCAGAACCTGCAAAGACTACAACGTGCCGACAACAGTGAAGGAATACAGCTAAAAGTCGCCTGCAAAAGGTCGATATCATTCGGTTGAATGGAAAGGCTCCGATTTTTTCCCAAATGGTCCTTGTGGATTGCGACTTCATACCAAGCCTTGAGACCAATCATGCGTATAGAAGGCCACGCGGAAGCCCGTTAGGCCGTCTGACTGGGAAACCCGCTCGAGCGGGAAACGCTCCATCCAAAGAAATATCCTGAGAAGTTCAAGTCGGGGCCTAGATGATGAAGGGTCTCCAAATGGGGAAGCCGCCCAAGTTTGGGAATGGGCAAGGCCAAGTTCCACAATTTGTGATACCACCCAGTGCTTCCACTTACGGAAGTTCACCATGGGAAAGCAGCAGTTAAAAACCTCTGTAAAGTCATCTAGTATGATCATGTATGAAATCAAGCCCAGCAAGTGGTTGTCTGTATGGTGGCTTGCTTGAAAACCAGGGCAAGAACGCTAAATGTCTCCGAGCCTTGAAAGAACAGTACTGTAACAAGGTCCAATTCCTACGGAAGAGAACGTTTCATGGCATCAAACCCATCATTCCCACCTTTTTTTCACAGGAACATCACGGGAGCCAAGAGTCAAACAGGTATTCACTGTGATCACTGTGAGGGCCCGGAAAAAATGGCTGCCTCTATTTTTTGCATGGCGTTCTTGCAGAAGGACACGCCGACACATGTTGCGTGCTTGCTTTTGCGGTTCACGGCTGTGATTCTTGAAACCGTGGCGGGTCCAAGAAAGCGATGGCTTAACCGGGAGTCCATGGCTATGCAAAAACCGCCAAGGAATCAGGCATCATTTTCCTGGACTTTCCACGCATAGCTCACTTGCCCAAAGGACACGGAAACAAAAGGTTGGCCTTTTCTACGGCTACCTTCCCCATTGTTTCTAGAAAACCTCCGGAAACCCAGCGATTTTGTTTTTGAAAGAACGATGGCTGAAAAGAATGTGGAATCAGCCCCCAGACCTTTGGGGCCACGACTAAAAGTGAACCAAAAGGTCAAAAGGCAGCATAAGCCCCCCCCCTCCCCACGGGTCTATGATGTTTGGCGAAAGTAAGCTTGGTCGTCGCTCCAGAAACTCGGAGTCGCGTGGACCACGGAAATCTCAAAACTAGGATTGGCAGTGGCTCCGCTTTAAACCTAGAAAATACTTCTGAGAATATCACGAAGATTCCAGTTCAGCACCAGGGGGGGCAATGCAAGGTATGCGTACAGCTCTGAAACCTGAAACACCGCTGCACAGGCTTCGCGAGATTTAACTTAAAGGGTCCCCAGAACCTTGTGACTTCGATGCCCTTGGTTTTCCCTCACTGCTCAGGAAGGGTACCCCCCCGTCCCTTCTTACAAGGGTACCCACGCCCTTCGCACCCGAATCCCTCCCAGGCCAGCCATCAGGCCCCAAGGCCCGAAGCATGGCCATTTGGGAACCAATTTGATGACCCCGGAGGTTTCACTGCCTCAATTGTTCAGTGATCCTGGAAGAAAAAGGGGAACCCTTTTTGGGGCTTGGACCCTTTTTAGTGGGGCAGCCACTTAAAAAAAAAAAAAAAAAAAAAAAAAAAACAGGGTGCCACTCGACAACTGAGGTCCTAGTCATAAGGGGGTGCTTTCTTTCTCCGTAAAAGTGATGAATCGCCGCTAGGAGGACACCCTCTCTTCATCAACCAAGGGTTGATTCATCCGGGGTTCCCAGTATCGATAACACATGACTCTTGGGGGCGGCATGGGTGTCGCCATTTCTGTGGATGGACGCATCCATTTCGCACCACCGTTCAGAAACCCCGGAGTGATTTGATGGACCTGCAAATACCCACGAACCTTGTGGCCTCAACCATGGTTTCATTTCGTGGTGCGATGTCTGGGTTTCGCAACCATCCACAATATGGCTCGGATAGGCGACCTTGGATCCTTTGGTTGGAACCGTGCTTTCGCTTCGGAAACCCATGTCCGCTGGGCTTCCAAAAAATAATAAAAAAAACACATACCTCGGGTTGCGAGCTCCCAGGCGGAGCCTCCCAGCGTCCAGAGCGATGAAACTCCCGCAGTCCTTCTTGGGTCTCTTCAAGGCATCGATCATGGCCCACCTACAGGGCTAACCGTGGGCCGAAAACCCCCAGTGGGACCCGTTTGCGACCAGTCGAGTCTTCCATTTGCGGTTCTGGCAAAGAAAAACACGTATTCCAGTCGTCAACAAAAAAAAACCTTGGAAATGCAAGAAGGGGGAAAATAATTTTTGCAGGCCCCAACTCAAAATATGTCCAGTAGTGAAAGACCCCTCTTAAAACCAACAAATGAAAGTACACATATTCTTAAGCAAATGCTTGGAGCCAGGGCTACTAATGAACCACTTTTAGCCAAAACCCAGAACATCGAAACTTGCCACCAGTGCCCCGTTCGCCTAAAAAAAAGAGCTGGAAGCTATTCTTTTCGACGGTCGATTCCCAGCTTTTGTGGACGTTAAACTCACTTTCTGACTGAGTTGGTCAAAAGAGTAACGAAACTTGATGTTCGCCATTTTAGGGTGACTAAAGTCCGAAATGGAACTCAGGAAGTGAGCAAAGGGCCACTCAACTGGGTTCGTCTTACCGAGTTGAAGCAAACAAAGTTGGATCAAGGACGGACATTGACCAGGCAATGATCAATCCAGAGGTGATCAACCAATATTTCCTGCATGAATTGTGAGTTCTATGAAACCTCCTGCTGATGAGCCCAAATTTGTGAGAGATCTTGATATCACTTCTCTTCGCCGTGCCCTCTAACCTGGGCTGGCCAAACTGATCTCCCAAGGGTCCTGGGCTTTTTTCGTTGCCGGGGCACCTCCTGGCTCGCCCCATACAAGTCTAACCTGTGGGTGAAAATGGGCACCCCACACTAAACCCGCTAAAAGCAACTCGAAACCCTGGATGCACCGAGTGGTGGCCGACTCCTTCAGCAAACTGCCGGAGCTTTTCGGCCCAGGTCCAACAGCAACAGGTGCCTCGCGGAATGAACGAAAACCATGTTGAAACCATGGAAAACCATTGCTTGTTGGTATTTACGGGGAAATCCTCATTCTAGTGTTTCTCAACGGTGCCAGATTTGGTCCATCCAGTATGTCAATATATATGGTACCCCCCCCTCTGGCCAGAAAACCTCAGGTCAAAAACCTGAATATTTCAGGGGGGGTACCATGTATACATATATATATATATATTGAAAAAATAAAGCATAAAAATATACCCGCCATACTCTACCCCCTGAAGCCATGTCCCAAAACTGGTGCCGTGGATGCTGCCAAACCACCAATCCAATCCACCCATGAAGGGTAACTTGAATTTCCTGGGTTCCCCCCCCCCCCCTACCCAAACAAAAAAAAACACCAAAAAAAACACACCCCCCCCCCCCCCCCCCCCCAAAAAAAAAAAAAGATAGAAAGAAAGAAGGAAAACGGGACCAGCCCGTTTTTCACCGCACGCACACCTGGCGCGGCTCGGTTCTGCGGCGCCTGACGCAGTTCTCCCTCAGCGCGGCGTTGTAGCGAGCGCTGTGCTCCTGGCCTTGCGAGGTCCCGATCTCGCGCTCGAAGCCTGCGCCCGGGCGAGTCAGAGGCCGCCTGCACCGCTTCGGGGAAGGAAAAAACCAAAAAGAAACGAGAAGAACTACCCGGTTGCTTTCTCTAGGTCCTCCAGATTTGAAAGGTTTGAAGAAGTTGGTACCAACTTGTTTCATCATTTTTTCGGTTTTGTCTATTTCAGTAGTGGGACACTCCCCCTAAGAAGAAACGGTAAAAGGGCAGCACTGGGGAACCTAGTTTCTGCTCTGCTAAAAGTGGCTAACTTTTAGTGGTGGAATGGAAAACCCATGAGTTGGCAAACAGTGAAAGTCCTAACATCCAAGCAAAATGCACCAAAGAAAATGTGTCCAGCAGGGAAATCGCTTCCCGTTAAGCAGAGGGAAAACAACTTTAAAAAATGATAAAATGCAAGGAGGGCTCGGGTTTCACTAAAAAATACATGGTCTTCCAGGGATTCGACACGTCAGGGTCCAGGTTAGCGGGCCTGAAAAACAAAAGCCTTATTTTCAATCCATTCTGGTGTTCTGACCTGCTGAGTTGGCTGAAAGCAAGTTGTGATTCTTTGTGGGTCATTAAACATGTTGACAAACCTTTCAGCAAAAAGTTTTCAAAGTGTGCCAACTCAGGTGTCCCTCGAAGGAAGCTAGGGGCCGCTTGAAACCAGAATTGCCCCTGCAAACCGCCCAAGGCCAATTCACCCCCTCAAAAGCTGACCAAAGCTTCCTGACCGCAAGCATCTTGAGTCCATTTTGGGCCGGGACTGAAACGATGATGAAGCCTGCCAAAAGAACGACTCAAGTGTGGCAAATTTGAAAGTGGGCCTGGGTGACAGCTTGTTGGGTGTGCCGTGGCGTGTCTCAAAATACGGGCAACCCTCCCCCAAAACCCACCCAGACATAGGGGCACCGTTGTTCTCTGCTCCGCACGGCAAACACGGAAAAGGCTTGCAATGGCTCCCCCTATCTCCAGCCCACCATGGTTTTGCTTGTGCCGACATAAGCTGATGTGCCAATCTTGCTAAAGCTATTTCTATAGGGCATTTCTGTCTTTGGGGGTTCCCATGGGTTCCCGCAATTTTTGGGAGGCCCCCGATTTCGGAGACATAGCCCTTGGCATAGGTCAAAGTAGGTAGAAGCACCTACCAAAATGGCCAATCGGGGGTTCGCTTCCGTCGTGTGTGATTTCGTCCGGTTTCGTCCCTTCATGTGCGGGCCGGGGCATGCCCTCCGGTGCATTTCCTCCCTTCGGTCGCAGCTCTCATCCGGGACCCCCGGGAACATCAAGTTACTAAGTAGCCCAGCTGCTACTAACGAATCGAGCTCGAAGGATCAGCTTTCCCAAAATCATACAAGAAGTGTCATGGAGTCATGGAGTCATGGAAGGAGCTAAGAGGACAGTCTTCCAACACCCTCTTCCATGGGAAATAACATGTTCGACCTGGCTACGTATCGCGTTTTTTTGGGATGTGTCCTTGGCGTGGGCACCCATGGCATACTTGTTGATGCTTTCAAGGAAGCAAGAATTTGTCAACCGCGATCCTAATGGTGCTCCTTTTCAGTCTGCCTCTTCCCCATAAATTAGGATACCCTGAAAAATACGGGTACCCTACTAATTCGTTGGGTCTCGCTTTAAGGGAAACCGCCCAAGCCGTCGCCTTGCCGCGGGGTGTTCGATCGAGGTTTCGAATTCAAAACGATTTCGAAGCGCGCGCCGGGCTCGTTGAAGTAGGGCTCCGGCACCAGGATCAAAGACCTCGTCGCCGCTAAGCCGCTAGGCGCCCAGGGGCCCACGGGTGAGGCACCCTTCCTTTTCACTCACAAGAAGTAGCCTCCCACCGATGAACATGGAACCTGACAAAGGGTCCCTTTGAAAGGACCGTGATCATGGTCTTCCAGGACCCGAACGTCCGGTTCCATGTTAACTGGCGGGAGGGGAAGCAAAGTGTGCATTTACCACCAAAATGGTTTTCCCAAAAAGGGAAAACACGTCCAGGAACTCAGGAAGTGAGACAAAACAACACATGTAAAAATGATCTAGGAGGTGATTTGTTGCAACCTGCTTCTGATTTTGCTGAGCGGCCTGTCCAGCTTTGCCAAGGATACATACAGCCTTTGTTTAAAGTATTGTTGGTTTGGGGTCGCAGTTGGCCAAATAGATTGGCGTTGAGGTTCCCTCTTTGAAATAACAGCCATTTGTGTTTCGGTGCTTGATTTGTTAAATTTGCAGTGAGAAGGAAGCCACAAAACAAATCAGGATTGAGAGTGTACTGAACAACTGGATTCAGGGAGTTGCTTTGGGAATTGGGGAGGGTGGGGCTATCACCTAAACCCTGCTGGAGGCTCACCCTAAGCTCCAGTAGCCGCCCGTCCCGGCCCTGAAAACCCACGAGCAAAGCTTTTAATTTGACATGGGTCCGACCCCAATCGGAGTGCCTTTGACCAGGCTGCATCTTCCACCTCAGGATTAAACTGCTTCTATGCACCTTGTGTAAGCGGATGGGGCTCACCTCCACCAAGAGAAACTCACCTTTAGGCCAAAAAGAGTGAGGTCTAAACCACCACCAACAAAAATGCCCCTCAGCAAACATCTCAACCCCCCCCCCCCACCCACCCAAATCACACCACCACCAAACATCGCCAAGCATCGCCCAGCATCGCCAAACCTCGCCCAAGCTGCCACCCAAAACCTCCACACCCACAGCCCCGACCAAAGAGTTGTTGACATCATGGACCCCCGGGAGGGCCAGGGGGGGGAGGCTGGGCCAAGAACGAGCTCTTCATAAGGCCTTACTAAGGCACTAAGGGGGGCGAACTGGGGATGGGGGGGGAGGGGGGGGCGTCGCTCCCTTAAGCCCTTGGGCTGAAGGGACGTTTCCCCCCCCCCCGTCCCCCCCCATCCCCAGTTCGCGCCCCTGAGTCCATGAAATCGACCCGAGCGAGGCGCTGGATGGAGACCAAGACCTGCACCGCCCGGGAGCTCTTGGCGTCCCAGTTCTCGGCCCGCTCGCCTCGAAAAAAAAGCCGCCGCGCTGAACAAAAAAACGAGGGAGGCGTTTTGTATTAAGGCCAAACACTTGTCCTTTTATTCCCCCCCTCCCCCTTGTGAGCTACTTGGCGTCTCGACCCAGTCAACGTCCACAGGAACAAAGAATTGGCACCGACTTGTTTTGGCAGACTTTAAAGGGGTTCCTCGTTCCGGGGAAGGAACATAAAGGAACGCGGGCACCACTGAACATTTGCGAGTTGACACTTTGTTGGGTAGTGGGTTACAGGCCTTCCCAAGAGATTAAAGCTTATAGGTGCCCTTGTGTTTGTCCACATTGGCCAGTCACCACGCTAAAACCCATCACCATTGTAAGTCCCAGCGTCTTGTACCAGTAACCAGCGCCATTCTTTCCGGTACCCTTCCCCTTCAAGTGCTTAGGCTTGTTTGTACATGACCCTTGTTACGCAAAATATGCCTAAATAGGCTGCAACCAGGGACATGTACTTTCACAATATTGCAAAGGCCATGCCCAAGGAAACACCCACGCACAGTCATTTGTGCTATTTGGGTGTCTTTTTGAGGGTCCGTCTTTGTTTGGCCGTTTTGCAAGGGAACTCCAAAGGAAAACAACCATTTTGGGGGGTACGATTCCAAGGAACCACACACACATTTGAGAATCCCGTGCCCCATTTGCAGAAAGTTTAATTTGCAGGTCTTCAAAATCATGTCTCTTCTACACATTTCAATGGTTTCCCCCAAACCACCAACACAAACATTGCCTTGTAAATGGTGGTTTCCCTGCATTTTGGTGTTGAAAAAGCAACATGCTTCAAATGGTTGCAACAGGTATCCTTTAAGGAGCCCTGACAAGCCGCAAAAGAAGGGCGTTCCGCGCTTCGATTTCGCAGGTGGAAAGCGCAAAGGGCGTGAAGACATACGGCCGTGGGTCAAAACCCAAATCGTACCCCCAGTGAACGGGACCCAATCCAACCAAGAAATGGGCGGTGCCCCGACCAACCAAAACTTACTCCTTAAAACTCCAAGCCCTGGGGAAGTTAATCTTTTACAGACATAGCCCATGTTACCCCCAAAAAGTTGAAAAGTGGTGTTTTTAAGAGGTAAGAAAATGCTACCATGGGTTTTTGGGTGCACCGAAAACCCCCAAAATGGGATCACAAATGGGTTTTGACCCACAGCCATACCTCTTTGAGGCTTCAGGATTGCGAAGCCGCTAAGGCACCCAAGGGCCGGGCCCAAGAGCCCAGCTTCCAGCCCACCCCAATATGCCAGTGGCTTGGCTGGCTGGGTTGGAGGGGCTCGTTTGGGTTTCTGGGATCCGGGAACAGAAAAATCAGAGATTCAGGTTCTATATCTTGTCTTCCCCTCACTTCCCGCGCTGATTGGCCAGCAAAAGTCACCAAACTCCCAACAACACAGATCAGGTTCCCTCTATTTCCCTCTGATTGGTGGTTTGGATTGGTGGTTCGGTGGTTAAGGAGGGGTTGCCCATTTACCCCGAAGGGGTTCAAATCCCAAACCACCAATCCAAACCACCACCTACGGGTCAGGGAGTGAGTCCCGAAAAAGTTGCTGAGACCTCCAAACCCTCCATTTGCTTAAGTCCCTTGGACAAAAATAAAAATATTTCCAGTAGTGATAGGGTCCCTTTAAAACCTTAAAAAAAAGAGAAAAAAAGAAAGAAGAAAACAAGAAGAAGAAGCAGTAAGGATAGATTCCCTTCGAAACCAACAATGGCAAACAAACAATCTTCGCCTCAGTGGGAAAAACTCCCCAGGAATTCGATCGCCTGGCCAAGTCCCCAGGAGGGAGAGGCAGACCTTGCCGTTGCTGTAGAGGTTTGGGTTGAAGCACACGGTGCCACCTCCTGGATTCCGCCGATTTTGCCCTTTGGGAAGGCCCGGAAAAACCCCTGAAGGACCATTTTTTCTTTTAAAACCCAAGTTGGACGTGAAAGTCCAAAAGCATGTGCAACAAAGGCTCCCCGAAAATCCGATACCCAGATACTGACTCAGAGCCCCAAATTGTAACCTAATGAGAGGCGTCTTCCCTGCCCTGCTTCCCCCCAACAAAGGCCTTGAAACTCGGGGAAGGGACATCTCTCCAAATGAGTCGCTTCCCGTCAGTATCCATTTGAATGTTTAAATCCTAGAAAAATAGGGGGGCAGCTGGGGGCCATGACCACGTGCACCAGATATTGTATATGCGCATATGATAGTTTACGCATAAGTTGTATATGACCTCCATACCTCCAGAACTATCTGATAGTTCCCAATCAACCTTCACTACTTCTGGGCATATCTCCCCTTTTCGGGTACCTAGAACACGCAACATGTGCAGAGCATTTTGGGCCTCATGCTCTTTTGAGGGTGGCTTCCTCAGCAAGGTTCGCAGGACACCCAAAAAGTGATCCTCTATTTGCGGGGGTGCCCCTGATTTTACTGCTTTGTCAAGTATGGGCGGGTATGCGTCATACTCAAAACCGATCAAAATGGTCTACCCAGAGCCATGCTTCAAGAATTAAGAAGGCGGACATCCGCAGCTATTTCTGGCTGGGATTGGCTTGTACGGGTGTGATTTTTAACCAAAGACGCTTTGGCGGACATTTCGGTGGGGATGTATGATACCAACCACGCTTGAGCGGGTTCCAAAACGTGGCACGTATGGGTTGCAGAGTTTCTGAGTCGAGGCCTCCGGACTTGGCCGGGAGGGAAAGAAAGCGTAGGCCAACTGCCCGGGTTGTTTTTGCTCCTGTGCCACCCCTGCACCGTTTACCACATTTACGGCCAAGATCCTCGAGGGCAAGGAAAGAAACTGCTTTGGGACGGACACGGAAAATGGGGTATTTGCTTCTATGACCGAGGGGCACGGCAATTTGTACTCAAGGGAAGACTCGCCCAGCCCAGGGTAAGAATGGGAAAAATCGCTTTGCCCTCGAAAACCAGCACGCAGTCAAGGCAAAAGGGCACCTTGAAGACGGAAAGCGCATGCAGCGCACCCGCGGGGGTACCTCCACTTCCCAAGAGAAAACATCATGGATACACATCAAGTTGACTCGGTGATCTTAAAAAAGTTAGAATGGGCTTATGCGGTACTATGAAGTGAAGTCGCCTCATAACCATATGCAATTTATCGGCTTGACATGGGATTCGGTGTCTCGTGCGGCTTCCTAAATGTTGCTGGGGCTAAGTTTGAAAAACCTGCACCGAAGCATGGTATTTGGCTGGCTTACTTGCAACATATTCGCAGTGGTTCCCGGAACCTCTTTGCGACCTGTATAATGCTTATATAACAAGTATAGCATGGTCTTGAAGGGGGGGATTCTTCAGGTTTGCTGTTGCTCGGCTGATTGCCATCTTCTGCAAGACTCACATAGCCAGACAATCCTACAAGCTCTCTTTTCCTAGGCAGAATGTAAGGCGCGTTTCAATGACATGCGTTCTCAACCCCGACGCACCGGGATTCTCCACAGAACCGCGTCCTGAACGAGGGGGACACAACAGCACACAACACCGTAGTCGCGCATCAAATCGCGACGTCGATTTCTTTTGCACCGCTACAAAGAGATCTGGCCCTAAGATGCTTTCCAATACCCCCAAGCCACTTCCAAGTGAAAAGTCGATTTTGTGGTTTGGAGGTAATGGAAACCTTGCAATTGTCAAAATGCAGCCGCCACATTTGTGGGGAAAAGGCAAGGCAAAAGCTGCCTAAGGGTCGGCAGAAGGGCTCAGGTCGGTGATGGTTCAACGCCCCAAAACCGACCGAGCTAGAAGCAGGTCGGAAAGCTACGGCACGCAATTGGGTGTGTCTCATTTTGTTCGGGACCAATCAAAATGGAGGCGTTCCTTTCGCTTACCCTCAAAGAAAGACACATCCAATTGCCATTTGCGTTCTTTCGCAATCATGTCGCGACGAAGACGGAGGAGCCACTCAAAGCATCTTCTACAACTGGAGAAGAAGTCCGGCCACATACGGCCAAAGATGCCTGGACACCAAACAGGGGCAAAGTCTAGGCGATGCAAGGCGGGCACAGAAGCCAACCGAGCACTGAAACCCACTCTCAGTTGCAACCAACAAACCATAAGCCCTTTCACCAATTAACATGGAACCTGACGTTCGGGGGTCCTTGTAAAACGAACATGGTCTTCCAGAACCCCCCCTGTCAGGTTTCATGTTGATTGGTGGGAGGGTTTTTCAGCTCGGCAGTGGGCATCTGAGCCATTTCTGCCGCAGGTCCCAGGCGTATCGACATGTGAACCACTGCCTTCGGCCGATGTTCTGTTCGGGGCTGTGGCTTTGACATCCCCCCGGGTGGGATCCACAGCGATTTGAGACACGTCAAAGTCTGTCCCAGAGAAGTGATAAAGTTAGATTGAGTCGATTCCAAGCTTTCGTAGACAAACATGAAAGCGGCTGGATGACAATTTAGACTGGATGAACTTTGACCAAACCTCGCATGGAAGTAGCATGTCGGCGCTTGAACGCCACTTGCATATGGACCCCGCCCCCCGCTCACATTTGCATCAGGGGTGTCCTGTTGCGCCACTTTTCTTTGAGGAGCCATCCACGCGAGAAATTAATGTCTGCTCGTTTAACAACGTACCATGGAGGAGCAGCCGACAAATCGACCAAGGCTCATCCATCCGATATCATCCGATGTCACCATAAGATAAGAAGCTAAATGGTCACCAATCATGTTCAAATCTTCTACAATCATGACTTATGACGTAGAAGTACCCCACAACCCCATTCTAATTTTTTAGCCTTTTATATTCAAGCAACAAGAACACCCCCTTCGCGCAAATCTAGCGCTCATCGAGTCAGGGCATGGGGCCCCTCACCAAGAGCAAGGACTCCTGGCGTAGCCCGAAAACTCTCCCGGAAACGCGGTTTGCCGCAAATCATGTAAGCTCAAATGCCCAGTAACTATGGGAAAGCAGGGGATCCTTTTTTGGTTGGTTGACTGTAAAGGGGAACCCTCCCAAAAAAAGGGCAAAAAAGGCACCACTGGGCAGCTGGGTGAGTCATATTCGAAGCCCGATATTAAGACGATCTACCCAGAATGATGTAGAGGATTAAGAAGGCGGCAGCAACCATTCATGGTTGAGATTGCCCCTTACTAAGCTTCATCTACCCCGGCTTTGATTGTGGCACTCTCGGGTCTGAATTTAATCGAAGACCCTTTGGCGGACATTAGGGATGTATGATCCCCCAAGGTTATCATGCGAGTCATATTCAAAACCCGGTAATAAGATGATCTACCCAGAACGATGTAAAGGATTAAGATGGATTAAGAAGGTCTGCTTGGGAATGTTGGACCCTTTGGTGGACATTTAGGCGGGACATTTAGGCGGGGATGTATGCGGTTCCCTATGATTCACGGCCATGACCTTGGATTCACAAACCCCCTCCAACTAGAGGGGGTGGCTTTTCCTCCAGAAGTAAGGAACCACCCCCCTTTCATCAACCAGTTTACCCTGGGATTTGCATGGGTCCGGCCATGGGTCAACAAAAGCCACCAGGAGAAAAAGAAGAGCCCGCAGCAAGACCTCTGTTGCCCCAGGACCCGGAAACAAAAGGTGATCACTTTTGGGACCTTGGCGCAACCAAAAGGTCCTGGTTTCTTTCACACAAGGGGACCGAGCCCCACAAAAAGGCGAAAGAGGAATCGAGTGTTCATTCATCATCCTTCCTCATGCCTTTCCTCTCTTTCTATCTCCCATACCTTTATCACCCGAACTCTTCATCTTGGTAACAGATGTTGGGTGAGAATGTGGGAGAGGTATAGAAAGGGAAAGGTGTTCTTTCATTCGTCCACATCCACCTGTTCCTTGTATTTGCGAGCGAACCCGGAATACAAAGAAACCAAGAGATGTAAAGAGAGATGGACTGAGGTCGGGAATGGCTTACAGGCAACGACCAGAACAAATTGTTGAAATGATCACTTTTTCCTACTCCATTCTCATGTTTAAGCCTCATATCCTATCTCTTGACCGTTCCAACATGTAATCATTACTCCCAAGCCTCTCCCACTCTCCAGGAGACACCGTGAGAAGGCGAGTGGAGGCACCGAAATATGAATCTTTGACCGTGTGAAACCGTAGCTTTCCCTCCCACCCTGCCCGAGCGTCATGTTCGCTAAGGACCTCCAGTCAGGTCACATGCTAGCGGGCGAGAGAATGCTTGTTTGGCCTTGCGGTATTTAGGCTTCCTTGGCATTGTGCCGAATGTTGGCCTTGTGTGACCAACATGCTAAATGAATAAGGGCAAACAATGCAGACTTGTGCTAAGCAATGCCAAGTAAGTCCAAATAATGCAAACTAAGGTTAAACTTTTTCCCTGAGGTCAAGCGAAGCCAAGCCTGAGAAAGGGCGGACTGCAAGCGGGCACCATTTGCCAAACAAGTCCTCACAGATCTCGTCTCTCCAAGCGGTAGCAAACCGCAAAGCTAGAGTAAACAGGCGGCACAGCATGCCTAAACGAGTAACAGCAGGTAGCCGCAAACTGTCCAGCCCGCACAGGGCGGAAGTCGACCGCCCCACTGCTACAAAAACACCTTCCAGGTACAAACCTCAAGCACTGTCTCTATTGCATTTATGTAGCCTTATGTAGCTTTAAGTTTGCGCTTGCTGGCCTTATTTGGGTGCAGCATGGCGCTGCTTTGTTTAGTTTTACTTGGGTGACCTGGCCTTCTTTCAACATACATTCGCTCAACTTGGTTGTTTCGCCAGGTTGGTTGTTTGGTCGAAACGAGACTTAGCTGTGTATGTCATGGCTTTACTTTGCCGGCCATTCAAAATCCCATGGGCCGTTTTCGCAGGATGAGAGTTTCTTGATTGCGTTGCTGGCTAAGGCATGCACAGGGGC